ATATTTCTTATCTTTTGTACTGTAATATCTTTAGAATAGTGTCCTCCTAATATTCCTTCATGTGCTTCTGCTATAATTTTTCTTCTATTCGTTTCAATGTGTTTCTTTATTAAATATATTTCCTTGTCACCTCCTTTCCATATTTTAAAAAGAATCCTCGATATTTTCCTTTCATCTATATCCTCGTAAATAATTCTTAATCTTTCTTCTTTAGTTTCTTTTTCTAAAAATTCTGATAATTGATCATCTGTCACCTGAGGACTAATTTTTATTTTGTCATTTTCTTCTGTTTCTTCGTTAGTGATCCAAATTTCTTTTATCCTTGTCGGTCCAAATTCTCGTTTTATAATTAACTGTCCTGTTTGTTCTATTTTGTTTCTTTTTAATCGTATTTTATTCGCGTCATCATTATCTATTTGAGGTATATCTCTGATCCATTGTACTTCTGTTTCCTCGTTAAAATCTCTTACTACTTTGTATATAGCTCTTTCTTTAGGTATTGTTTTTCTTCCATAAACTAATATTTTCCAAATATAATTTGTGTCTCTTATAGGTTTAAGTATATCTCTCAAGTTACTTATCGGTTCCAAAAGAGAATAATTTGCATACCCTTGCCTTTTTTCTTTAGTACCTGTAATCAATTTTATAGTTTTTATTACCTTGAATTCGTCTTTAATTATTGATTGATCACTTTCTTCTGTCTGTGAATCTATTTCCATATTTTCGTATTTATTTTCGTCATCAATGATTGAGTTGTCGTCTTCTGTTTGCGTATCTACTTCCATGTTCTCATTTTCCTCGTTTACACCTGTAGTACGCGCGTTCTGCTGTTGTAACGTATCATATGTACCGTCTGTTGTCATCTGAACCCTTGGAATGCGCGATAAGGCGTCAGCGTTTGTGTTGGCAATTCCTTTTTTGTAAATAATTTCATAATCGTATTCTTCTAATTTTAGTCTCCATCTCATTAATCTGCTTGTCGGATCTTTTACATTAAATAACCAAACTAAGGGTTTGTGATCTGTTACAATTTTAAATCTTCGTCCAAAAAGATGGTGTCTAAAATGTTTAACTGCCCATACTATTGCTAATAATTCTTTTTCAGTAGTCGTGTAATTTATTTCTGCCTTATTTAAAGTTCTTGAAGCAAATGCTATTGGTTTATCTTCTCCGATGTGTCCTTGTGATAAAATTGCTCCTAATCCTTCATTTGATGCATCAGTTGTTAGAACAAAAACTTGATTCCAATTTGGAAATTGTAGTATCGGTGCTGTTATTAATTTATCTCTTAATTCGGAAAACGCGTTTTCTTCTTTCTGTGTCCACTCAAATGTAGTTTCCTTTCGTAGTAATTTAGTTAGTGGATTTGCTATTTTAGAGAAGTTTTTTATGAACTTCCTGTAATAACCAATAAGTCCTAAGAATTGCTTAATCTGTTTTTGAGTTTTTGGTCTTGGATAATTTTTTACTTTGTCAATTCTATCTGGGTTTGGCTTTATACCTTCTTTTGTAATAACATGCCCTAAATATTCCAGTTCTGGACGCAGATATTCGCATTTATCTGGCTGTAATTTGAGTCCAACTTGTCGTAGTCTTATAAATAAATTCTTCAAATTTTTATTATGTTCTTCCAACGTTCTTCCGTAAACAATAATATCGTCTATATATGCAAAACATCCATTACCTATTAGTCCTTTTAATCCATTATTTATCATTCTTTGAAATGTTGGAGGGGCATTTTTTAAACCAAAAGGCATTCTATTATATTCATAATGACCTTCGTTTGTGCTAAAAGCTGTTTTTTCTTTGTCCTTGGGATTCATTCCTATTTGATGAAATCCGGAAGCAAGATCAAAACAAGAAAAGAATTTAGAATTTCCTAACTGCTGAATTATCTCATCAATACACGGTAAAGGATATTTGTCTAAAATGGTTTTTTCATTTAGTTTTCGATAATCTATAACAATTCGCCATTTTAATTTGCCTGAAGCGTCTTTCTTTTTTGGGACTATCCATAACGGTGAATTGAAAGGAGACATACTTTCTCGAAGTATATTTTTCTTTAACATTTCTTTAATTTGTTGGTAAACTTCTTCTTGTAACATAGGTGGATATCTATATTGTTTTGTATTTACAGGTTGATCGTCTGTTGTTCTAATTGTATGCTCAGTTAATTTAGTTAAAGGTAAAGGATCGTTTCCTAATGGGAAAATGTCGTGAAATTCTGTTATGATTCTTAGTAAGTCTTCTTTTCCTTCTTTGATATGGTCTAGTCGTGTTTTAGATAATAATTCTTTAATTCTTTCATTATTGCTGAATTGGTACATTTTTTCGTCAGTCAGTTTTTTTATAGAATCTATCCATAAGTCTTCATAAGCATCATACATACTTTCAATTTTTGCTGTATTAGGTGGTAAAATTGGATTTCCTTGATAATCATATTTTGTGACTGCTGAATATCCTCCTTCAAAGTTAATAAAACAGATTTTATCTTTCTTATCTGCACTAGGTTGTGGATGAAGTATTTTAGGTCCTAAGTTTAAAATACCTTTTTCTAAGTCAATTTTAAAATTTTGATCGTAAAGTAAATTCATTCCAATTAAACCATTTTCTCTAAATGCATTTTCATCTTTCGTAACTTGAAAAACTGATTCTTTACCATAAAGTTTTAAACAAATAGAATATTCAAATGTTACGGGATTGTTTCCTATTGTTAAAACGTTATGAGGTGCGTATTTTTTAAAGTTTTTTCCTTCTAACATACTGTTTTTTATGATTGATATATTCGATCCTGTATCAACTACAAATTTTCCCGATTTTAATTTATCAAATTTTAAAGCCACAATAGGTGTGTCGTGTCTTCTTCGTTCTCTCGGGATCGGTGGAAGGTTGTGCTTAGCGGGTTCTCCGATAAAGAAAATTCTTCGTTTAGCTGCACTCGGTCTGGTGGTTTGCTGTTGATCGATCGTGACTGAAAATTTTGAGTTTTCTCTTGACGTGGTGGTAAACCTCTCAATTTTCCTCTACAGACATCTTCTGTATGTCCTACATTTTTGCAATGGTTGCATTTTTCTATATTTGTCTGTTTACTAAATCTTGGTTTTGGAACTGGGTTCTCATTTCTTGGGTTTCTTGTAAAATTTTCTATTCTTCTTTTATCTTTTATATTCACGTTAATTTCTGAGGCAATATTAAAACATTCATTCAGAGTTTTCGGTTTCTGAGGACGGATTCTAATTTCAAATTCTTCACGTATATTTCTTAAGAATGTGCTGACGCTTGCACTTGTTTCTATTTCCTGTCTTACGAAAGTTTCTTCAGGTGTTATATTCATACTATCTATAGACTGCCTGATTTTATCCTGACACTGCATAAATCTTGAGGTGAATGACTCTAAACCTTCATTTTTGCCCATTATACATGAATCGCGAGCCCTTTGAAGTGATTCTAAACTATCCTTTTCTCCAAATAAAATTCGTAATCTTTCAAAAAAATCAGCAAATGTTTTAACTGCATCGGCTCTAATTGTGTTTGCCGCTTTTCCTACTAATTTTTGTGCAATTATTGCATGAAGTAATGTTAGTCTTTCATTTCTTTTTGTTTTCTTTTTGGACAATCTTATTAAATGAATGAAGTTTTCTAAACCGCTCCCGTTAAATTCTGGTATTAATTTTATACTTTTTCCAAAATCATATTCTGTAACTTCTTCTAATTCTTCATGATCGCTGTTTAATTCATTCTCATTTAAGGGTAAACCTAACTCTCTTCTAACTGGTTGTTCCATAGCTAACAATCTTGTTTCAAATCTTTCCAATTTTGCAAGAATTGTTTGAAAAAGGTCATTTGAACTTGTTGATGTTTCTGGCATGATTTTTAGAATATTGTCTAATTTAAGTCTGTCAGTCAGTGATATTGAAGGGGATGAACTGTCTGTGTCTATAGTTTCGTTTTCCCTACTTTCTCTAAATGAATTTAAATCCAGTTTGATTTAATAAATTTCCTATATCGTTTCGTACAATTTTATTTTATAACCGTTCGCGTTTTCTAATTTAAAATTTCATTTCTTGCAATCCTGCTACAAGGAGTACACAAGAATATGAAATTTGTTTTTTTTTTGTTTATTGACGATGGAAATACTGATAAAATCACGGAGTATACCAACGCTTTAAAACAAACTTAGCCACACCCTATGAAGGTCGCCGTTCAACGTACGTAAAGTGGACTTATACTCTTGTTCTAAAGATTCGTAGTTTTGTTTTATATACCTTACTTCAATGTTGCTTTTGAATGTTGGTCTGGATCGTAGTACTGGAAAATCTCGAATTCTGTTTCGTATACTTGGATAACTCTCTGGATACCTCTCTGTAGACCTGGATATCTGTATCGCTGCTTGGCTAACACTCTGGATAACACTTCGTAGATATGGATATCTGGATCGCTGCTTGGTTAACACTCTGGATAACACTTCGTAGAACTGGATAACTCTCTGGATACGTCTTTGTAGATCTGGATAACTCTCTGGATATCTCTTTTGTTGATTCTCTCGTTCACTTTGAATTATCACTTTGTTTATCTGGAACTAGTTCTTGGTTCTGGATATTTAAAACTTGGATGAACTTCCAAATAATTTTAAATATTTCACCGCTGCCACCAATTATGTTGTCGCCGTAAGAAACAACTAATAATATTATTTTTGTGAGTTGGTTACTCAACTGAGAACAAACTCTACTTTATTTATTTAACAAGCAAAGTACAAAAACTTGGAGATAATCAATCCTTCCAAAGCTTCACTGAGTCTTTTTGGAAGACAATTTACTAACCGTGCTATCACTTTGAGTAGCGACTAATTAATCTGACCACACCTGCTTATGCATTAGTTTTAAAGGACTGTGCAATAGTCCCCACTCTTTACAATACACACTCATACTTCATACTGTCGACATAATTATTAAAAATAAAGAAAATAAAAATAGCAACTCATTGTCCTAACAATATTTCAGGAATTCCAATTTCAAGTACATTGACGTGTGGCCAGTGAATTTTTTCCAACCAACCGATCAAGATCCATTTGATACGACTTCTCTTTTTATGTTACAATTGGCGTGCATTATAAATATGGTGCCAGTTTGGAAGAATTTACATTTGCGTGTCTTCCATTGTGAGATTTCGGATAATCTCAATGTTGCTGAATCGACGAGTTCAATTGAAGAGGCACCAAAATGTTCCAATGAATTGAAATTGAAAAAATTATTAAACATGCTACGAATATCGGCATCAATCACAAAAATACCAAATTGGGCGGCACAAGTCGGTGGATTGAAGGGACGACCTTTAGTTGGTTCCAAGCAAGATGCTGAATCAAGTCTTTTTGAATCTTCCGATTCTGCTGACGTTGTTCCAAGTAATGTTTCACGAGCTTATATTTTAAAGTGAGTATTAATTTAATTTCAAAAAATTTCTCCGTTTCGGAAAAAGTAAAAATTTTTTTAAATTTTAATTTAAAAATTTGAAAATTCATCTAAAATATAAATTATTTCTAATAAAATTCAAAAATTAAAATTCTAGTAAATAATTTTTATTATGGGAAAAATTGAAAAGCGTCATTTAGAGGATAATTTTTTATTAATATATAATAAAAAAATTTGATTTTATTAAATTAATTTGACAAAATTTTTTTTTTTTTTTTTTACAGTTGCAATCAATTAATTCAACAACATTGCTCGCAAACGGCTGCAATTTTTATGTATTTACCTGCGCCACCAATTTCAAATACATGGGGTGGTAAAAATGTCGTTCAACAACAATATTTACAACTTCTCACTGAATTGACCGCCGATTTACCGCCAACGATATTAGTGCATGGTGTCAGTGCCGTCACATCAACGACATTGTAACGTTACTTTATTTTTCGATTATTCAAAAATCGATTTTAGAACTTACAATTGAATATACTATATATTTCTCTATTATTTTTATTTTTTATTAATTTTTATAATTATTGCAAAATAGTGTCAATTTTACTGTTTTTTGTAAATAATTTTTGTGATATGAAAAATCTTTCGATATTAATTATAGGACTTTATAAATTGTCCATAGGAATTTTGAAAGTGATTTCTTTTATATTTTTTAATTGTTTTCTTAATAATAATCAATTTTTTTTTTTATTTTCCTTTATTTTACTATTATTATTATTATTATTTTTATTTTATCTATAGTTATTAAACAAATAGTTATTTTTTATCAATATTAATTCTAAATGAGAAAATTATCCAAAAAGAGATCAATATAACAATAGAGAGAAACAAATATAATGTAAGAAATCGAAATAATTGTAAAAAAAAAAAAAAAAAACCTATTATAATAGAAAAAATCAATTTGGAGAGATTTTTAAAGAGAAGAAATAATTTTTATACGCCGAATAAAATAGATATAATAAATATATATATATTTAATTTTATTTAAAAAAAAAAAGATGGAAGAAAAAACATTCGTTAAATTTTATCGTGAATGTGAAAAATGTATTATTATTATTATTATATATATATATTGTGTATCTGTCTTTTTTATTGCGTCATATGTATGGAAAATTCTTATTGGTGGCAATAATTGCATTTTTATATGTCAGACTGAGAAAATATATTTCTAAGAATTTTCAAATATATTAATAAACTATTTACATATATATATATATTTAACATTTTTGATTAACTTTTCTTTTTTCTAGAAAATTTAACAAAAATTTTTTTTTTTACTATTACAATTTATATGAAATTATATAATTTATTATTCTTTATTTATTTTATTTATTTATAATTACACAAAAAATTGTGTAAATAATATTTTTCCAAATTAAGAATAATTTTAAAATTGTGTAAAAAAAATTTTTTTTTTTTTCCTCTCAATATCAAAAATATATTTTAGTTTAAAATTTTTTTTTTTTTTAAAAATAATGATTTCAAAAATTCGATTTTGAATCCAAAATGAAAATTAAATTAATTAATTATCTATGATATATACATACATATATATATATATATATATATTTTTTTTTTTGAAAACTTTAGCGAAATTTTTTTTGGTACTTTTTTTATAAGGAAAATTTGAATTGGGGAAAAAAGTACAAAAAAAAAAATTCGATTCATTTTTTTTTTGAAATATATAGATGTAAAATACATTCATAGATATTTAATAATAATTTATTGAAAATAATGATAATAATAATAAATATTATATTGATGATAATAATAATAATAGATTATGAATATTTTATTTAAAAAATAATTACAATAATGATATAAATATAATAAAATTATTATTATTATTATTATTATTATTATATACTTAAGTATATTAAGGAAATTAGTATATTTTTTATTAGGAAGCAATATAATTAAAAAAAAAAAAAAATTCAATAGTGAAAATATTTTTATATTGCTTTATTAAAGTTTTCTTATTATTAAGCATTTTATATAAGCGCGCTTTTTTCGAGAGAGTTGTCGTAGCGCAAGCGCAGTAGCGTTTAGATTTCGGTCGGTAAAGTAAATATCTATTACCAGTAATGCCAAAATAAGATTACAAAAAAAAAAATTTTCACATTTCACACTTCTACCAACTGTGAAATCAGAATTTTAAACTCACGTGATAATTATATATACGTTTTTAATTAGCATTTTTTTTTTTTAATTTGACATTTATAGACAAATGTGTATACTGTATATATGTGTAAATGACGTTCAACGCTTGATCTGACAACCTAGAAAGGAATAACACGCACGAGACACACGCGACGAAATATAAAAAGACATTCGTTGATTTCTTCTTCAAAAGGTATATTTATATAGTAATATATTTTATTTTTTAAAAATTTTTTTTTCTAATAGTAAAAAAAAAAAACCAAATTCGATAATAAAAAATTATTTCTACTAGCAAATTTAAATTATATTCAATTTTTGAAAACTTGAAAAAAGAAAACGAAAATTTAAGGTTAAGTTTTATTTGCTCCTAGCACTTCCTTATACTAATTTCTATATACATATATATATATATAAAATTTCATGGTACGATGACTTGCAAATTTATTTCTAAAATTATAAATACGTTATCTATTCGAAAGTTTGACAAAATTATATTTTTTTTAAAAACGATTAAATTTTTTTACGTATACCTACATATATAGAAAATGAACGAGAATGGTACAAAAATTGTGACGGACAATATGTCAAATGGATTTGGAAAAAATGGTAATTTTAAATTTCTTTATATTATATTTTAATTTAATTATTTTTCGATATATTTTAAATTAATTTGAATTTCATTAGAAAATTTTTTCTTTTATAGAAGCAAAAGAAATTCCAATGACATTGAGTGACGATGGTAAATATATTCTCGTATTTGTTTTTATTTTATTTTATTTTTTTTTTTTTTGGTTATGTACAAATTGGAAATATTTTGATATAATTTTTCTTTACAGAACCGGAGGAAATTGAAATTCCAGTGCCTTGGGGTCAAATAAGTGGTGAGAAAAATATTTTACATATTTAACAATTTTTTTTTTTTTGTTTTTCTTCAATTCTAAGTTTTTTGTAATTTTTTTTTTTTTTGTGTTCTTCCTTTAGTTCTATATTTCTTATTTTTAAAGAAAGGAAAAAAAATATATATTTAAATGTTCATTTTCTATGTATATATATATACTTTGTTTCACATTTTTTTTTTTTATGTCTTCATTTCACGCTCAAAGTTCACGTCACACATGAGAGCACACTTTGTTTTTGTGATGAATTAAAAAGCGTTTTTGTTTCGCAAATAGGAATTATTTTTTCCTTTTTTTTTTTTTTTTTTTTTTTTTTTTTTTTTTTCCAATATTTAATGTGAAGATTTTTTGCAGAGATAAGAATTTTCTATTTTTACAAATATAAAGTAATATGTAAAATACAGGCATCGGATTGTACGACTTTTATCGACTTTTTTTTCACAATTTATTTTGCAAAATTTTTCAATAAAATACGTCTTTTTAGTATCTATAAAATGCAAATCTTCTTTATTTCAATTATTTAATAAAATTTTTAACAAAATTAATTATTTTTAATAATTTTAATGAAATTCTTCACAAATTCAATTATCTTAAACTATTTTTTAAATTAAAATTTTTATGAAATTTAATAATTGTTTATAAGTTAAACAAAAAATTTATGCAAATAAAATTACCGAAAAAATTTTTTTTAATTTAAAATCACAATTATTTGCAAAAATTTCAATTATTTTAAAATAATTTTTATAATAATTCTTCGAAAATTCAATTATTTGAAACCATTTTTTAGTTAAAAACTTTTGGAATTCAATTTTTTTTTTTTATGTGATTTCTAATAACTTCTTTATCAACAGAAATTACTAAAAAAAAAATTTCTTATTCTAATTATTGTCTGAAATTTAAAACAATCTTTTGAAATTCAATTATTTTCAAAAATTTTAATTGAAATTCAATTTTTTTTAAACTTTCAAATCAAAATCAACTAAAATTTAATTGTTTTCCAAAATTTCAATTCAATATCAATTACATTACAATTATTTTTCAAAATTTCAATTCAAAATCCAGTAATCGAAAATTCAATTTTTTGAAAATTTGCTTCAAAAAACGTATACAATGCAGATCTTCTTCAGATTTTCTTTATTTCAATTATTTAACAAAAATTTTAACTAAAATTCTTCACTAAATTAATTATTTTTAATAATTTTTTAATGAAATTCTTCACAAATTCAATTATTTTAAAATATTTTTTAAATTAAAATTTTTATGAAATTTAATAATTGTTTATAATTTTAATAAAAAAAAATAAAAAAAAAAAATTAGTAAATAAAATTACCAAAAAATTTTTTAATTCAAAATCACGGGAACTTTCAATTATTTGCAAAAATTTCAATTATTTTTTAATGATTTTTAGAATAATTCTTCGAAAATTAAATTATTTAAAAGCATTTTTCAATTAAAAACTTTTGGAATTCAATTTTTTTTATGTGATTTCTAATAAATTCTTCATCAACAGAAATCACCAGAAATTTCTCTTATTATAATTATGTCCGAAATTTAATACAAACTTTCAATTTTTTCCAAAATTTAATTCAAAATCAAATAAAATTCAATTATATTCAAAATTTTTAATTCAAAATCAACTAAAAATTTAATTATTTTTGCAAAAATTTCAATTCAAAATCAACTAAAATTCAATTAATGTTCAAAATTTCAATTCAAAATCAACTAAAATTCAATTATTTTCAAAATTGTCAATTCAAAATAAACTATAATTAAATTATTTTTCAAAATTTCAATTTAAAAGCTTCTAAATTTTAATTATTTCTAAAACTTTCCATTTGAAATTTTTATAATTTCAATTATAACTTTCGTGAAATTCAATTATTTTCAAAAATGTCAATAAATTCAATTTAGTTTTCAATATATTTTAATAACAATTTTATCGAAAACTGTTTTTTGTTTAAAAAAAATTCAATAAAAATCAGGTAAAAATTCATTTATTTTCCAAATTTTCAGTAGAAATCACAAAAAAAAATTTTAAATAATTGAATATTTGCCTAAATTTTATTGAAATTTTTTTAAAAACATTTTTCAACAAATTAGAATAAAAATTGTTAAAAATAATTTAATTTTTAATATTTCTATTGAATAATTTGAAAAATTATCCAATTTTTTTTTAATTTTCATTGAGATTTTTTTTCTGAAAAATAAATTTTTGACAAATTATAATTAAAATTTTGAATAATAATTGAATTTTTGATCATTCATTGAATTTTTGGAAAATAATATAGAATTTTTGATAGATTGAATTCAATTATTTTTCAAAAATTTCAATTCAAAATCAACTTAAATTCATTTATTTTCCAAAATTTCCATTCATACTTAACTAAAAATCAATTATTCTTAAAATTTTCAATTCAAAATCAACTAAAATTCAATTAATGTTCAAAATTTCAATTCAAAATCAACTAAAATTCGATTATTTTCAAAATTGTCAATTAAAAATCAACTAAAATTCAATTATTTTGTAAAATTTTTAATTGAAAATTAATTATTTTCAAAAATTACAATTCAAAGTCAATTACATTACAATTATTTTTAAAAATTTTAATTCAAAATCAATTAAAATTGAATTATTTTAAAAAATTTCAATTTAAAAGCTTCTAAGTTTTAATTATTTCTAAAACTTTCCATCTAAAATTTTTTGAAAACACTAAAAAAAAATTTCTTATTCTAATTATTGTCTGAAATTTAAAACAATCTTTTGAAATTCAATTATTTTCAAAAATTTCAACTAAAATTCGATTATTTTCAAAATTGTCAATTAAAAATCAACTTAAATTCAATTATTTTCCAAAATTTCAAGTGAAATTTAATTATTTTCCAAAATTTCAATTAGAAATCAATTACATTACAATTATTTTACAAAATTTCTAAAGTTTTTTTTTTTTTTCTAAATTTCTAAGTTTTAATTATTTCTAAAACTTTCCATTTAAAATTTTTTGAAATTTAAGAATTTCAATTATAACTTCTGAAATTCAATTCTTTTTAATCATTTTTATAATATTCCTCGAAATTAGAACTATCTCAAACCATTTTTCACTTAAAAAGTTTACAAATTTTTTTCTGCAATTTCTAATAAATTTTTTAGTGTAATCATCAAAAACTTTTTAATTACAAATCAATTCAAATTCAATTAATTTGAAAAATCAAAATTTTATATCTTGGAAAATTTAATTAGATTTTAAAAAAATGTTATCTAAAATTATTTGATAAATTTTTTTTAGTTCTGTAAAATTTAATTATTGTCTGAAAATTAACATAAATATTTTAAAATTCAATTAATTCAATTATTATTTAAAATTTTCAATTTTCAAAGCTTCTAAATTCTAAGTATTTCTATAATTTTCTATCTAAAATTTGTTGTAATTTAATAATTTTAATTATAACTCTCCTAAAATTCAATTATATTACAAAATTTCAATAAATATCCCAAAATTTCAATTACTTTTAAAATTTACAATTCGAAATCAATTAAAATTCAATTATTTTCCAAAATTTCATTTGAAATGGAATTATTTTTAAAATTTTTTAGTTAAATTCACCAAAAAATTGAATTCTCTAACATTTTTTTTATGGAAATTAGTAAATTTATTTAAAAAATTCAATTATTTTTCAAAATTTTAATTATAATTGGTCAAAAAGTTCTTCTTAACGAAAAATCTAAATTATAAACAGGCAAAACTTCAATTATTTTACAAATTTTCAACAGAAATCATAAAAATTCAAATTATTTAAAAAAAAAATATTATAATTTGTCGAAAACTTATTTTTTTTCTTTGAAATCAAAATTGAAAATCAGACAAATTGAATTATCTAAAAGAATTTTAAAAATATTAAAAACTATTGAAAATCAATTATTGTATATATATGTTATCTAAAATTATTTAAAAAAATTATTTTTAACTCTGTAATATTTAATTATTGTCTAAAATTGAAGAAAATCTTTTTAAATTCAATTTTTTTCTAAAAAAAAATTTCTACTATTACTCTTTTAAAATATTCAATTAATTTTAGGAATTTTTATAAAAATCTTAAAAAAATTCAATTATCTGAAAAAATTTTGTAATAAAATGCTTTTTAAATTCAATTTTTGTATCTGAAACCATTTTTTGCTTAAAAAGGTTTCAAATTAAAGTATTTTTATCTGCAATTTCTGATAAATTTTTTTTTGTAAAATCATCAAAAATTAAAAATCACTTGCAATTCAATTAATTTGAAAAATCAAAATTGTAAATCTTTGAAAATTCAACCTACATTTTAAAAAATATTATCTAAAAGTATTTGATAAAATTAATTTTAGGTCTGTAAAATTTTAATTATTGTCTGAAAATTAACAATAATCTTTTGAAATTTCAATTATTTCTCAAAATTTCAACTTTAACTCTTCCAAAATTATTGTTATTTAAAAAAAAAATTTTATTTAAAAATCTGTAAAACTTGATTAAGTATTGTTTGAAATTTTTTTTCGACCATCAAAACTAAAAATTATGACAAAATTTTTAATTTAAATAAATTGTTTAAATCAGACTTGGAAAAAATTATAAAAATGTAACTTTAAGAATTTTTTTTTAGAAATTTGTCCTATACTTAAATAAAATTTTGAATATTTGTCTTTTAGTTCGATTATGAAATAGAAATAAATTTTCTTAATAATATTCATTAGAGAATTATTCTCATTACAGAATTAATAAAATGAATTTAATGATTTAAAGTAAAATATTTCATTAACCAATTAAATTTTGTTAAAAAAAATAAAAAAATCGTCTTTTTCGACTTTTTTTTTTTGGGAATATAAATCGACTTTTTTTTGTGCCTTAAAGTCGATCCGAGGCCTGTAAACCATATTTTAATAGAAAAAAAAAAAAAAGTAGAAAAGACTTTTCAAAATTTTCCGCGCTAAATATTTTCAGAGAAAGAGAATTTTAAAAGAAAAAAAAAATGTGCACTTGGAAAGAAATAAAGAAATAGTATATAATTTTTCTCGATTAAAATAAATAAAAATTCAGGTAAACGATGGGGACCAAAAGAAAAGCAGCCAATTTTGGTAATTCATGGTTGGCAGGATAATGCAGGATCATTTGATCCTCTCATTCAATTATTCCCAGCTGATACTGCAATTTTAAGTATCGATCTTCCTGGACATGGTCTTTCCTCACATCTTCCAAACGGACAATTTTACTATATTATGTGGGACGGTCTTGTGTATCTTCGTAGAATTGTTAAATACTTCAAATGGAACAAGGTTAGCAAAAGCGAGAAAATCGTTATCAAAAAGAAAAAAAAACAAAACAAAAAAGAAAAATTTTATAAAAGAAACAGAACTTGCTTCAAAAACGGAAAAATTTAGTGAAGAGGAAATTTTTTTTTCAATTTTAGCTCTTTATAAAAAAAAAAGAACCAAAAATATTTTTATAATTAAATTTATAAATAATCAATATAATTAAATTTAATAATTTATAAATAATAAATATAGATAATTAAATTATAAATAAATTTTTTAATTAAAATTATTGTTAACTAATTATTAATTCTTAATTAAGAATTAATTTATTATTAAATAAATGAATATAAAAGTTGGGTTCGTAAATAATTTCGAATTTTTGTCCAATAGTAATGTTTTTTTTTATAAATAATAATTAATCCTAATAATAAATATTAATAATAATTAATAATAATTAATAATAATAATAATAATAATAATAATAATAATAATAATAATTACTAAAAAAAATAATTCACAAAAAATTAGCATGAATATATTAATATATTAATATTCGATACTAATTAACATTATATTAATTAATAGATAATGGCAAAAAATAATAATCATCTTTAGAATGATTTATAAAAATCGGTTATACTATCAAATATTAATATCTAAAGAATTTTTTTTTTTTCTTTCGTTATTATCTCTCTATAAAATTCGCTTTCGCTGCTACTTTGTTTCATTTTATTTGCACTTTATCGACTTCATGTGCACTTTATTATTTATTTTAATTATGTTTTATTTGTTTGGAAAAAAAATTGAAATTTTTTCCCTTTATTTGCTTTAAATGTTTTGTTTTTATGTGCATTTTTTTTTTTTTTTTTTTTTTCTTATTTCTGTTTCTGTTCTTTTTTTTCCACTATTAATTTTTGTATTATAAACGTTTTTGCGTCTAATATTTAAAAAAAAAAAAATCAACCCATTTACTATTTTTTCTTCTATTATTTTTCAGGAAATTTCATTTTTCAATTTATGAGAAATTTCTATTAACGAAAAATTGAATTTAATATTTTGAAGAAAAAACAAAATTCGAATTACAAACTGATAGAAATTTTTTTTTTAATGAAATTTAGAAGTGAAAAAATGTTTGATTTTATTTTAAAATTTGTTTTTTTGATTTTTTTGTTTCGAGAAATAACTGTTTTCTTAACTAACTTGTTTAATTTTAAATATTATAAATATTTTAAGTATTTTGAATATTTTGAATATTTTTGAATATTTTGAATATTTTTGAATACTTTTGAATATTTTTGAATATTATAAAAATAAAAATTTACAATTAAATTTTCAAATATCGAACTTTCTTTTTACAAATTTTTAACAATAAATATTTTATTTCCTTTAACAATTGTTATTAGATAATAAAAATAAATTTTCAATAATTTCTTAATAAAAAATAATTACCTTGGAATTTATCAAGAATATTTAATAATATTTCAAAATATTAAACTGAGGACAAATTTTCAAGAATTTCAAAAATTTTTAGATAAAAAAATTAACATAAATATTTTGAAATTCAATTAAATTAATTATTTTTAAAAATTTTCAATTTAAAAGCTTCTAAATTCTAATTATTTCTATAATTTTTTATCTAAAATTTGTTGTAATTTAATAATTTTAATTATAACTCTCCTAAAATTCAATTATATTACAAAATTTCAATAAATATCCCAAAAATTCAATTACTTTCAAAATTTTCAATTCAAAATCAATTAAAATTCAATTATTTTCTAAAATTTCATTTGAAATTCAATTATTTTAAAAAATTTTAGTTAAATTCAACAAAAAATTGAGTTCTCTAACATTTTTTATGGAAATTAGTAAATAATTTATTTAAAAAATTCAATTATGAATATTTTGAATATTTTAAATATTTTGAATATTTTGAATATTTTGAATATTTTGAATCTTTTGAATATTTTTGAATATTTTAAATATTATAAATATAAAAATTTACAGTTAAATTTTCAAATATCGAACTTTTTTTACAAATTTTTAACAATAAATATTTTATTTGCTTTAACAATTGTTATTAGGTAATAAAAATAAATTTTTAATAATTTAATAATTTCTTAATAAAAAATAATTGACTTGGAATTTATCAAGAAAATTAAATATTTCAAATTATTAAACTGAGGACAAATTTTCAAGAATTTCAAAAATTTTTAGATAAAAAATAATATGAAAGTTAGTTTTTTAAAAAAAAAGTCCGATTTTTGCAAAAATTTATGAATTCTAAATTTTATCTAAAATTGAAATTAAAAATGGTTAATAAAAATTTCCCGTCACTTTTTAAAAAAATAAGAGAAAATATTTTATGAAAAAAATAGAAGAATTTTTATCTAAAAATATTTTAATCAATTGAATTTCAAAAAGAAATTGATTAAAAAAAAAAAAATTATTTCAATTGAAACGGATTGTTTCAATTTTTTTGAAAAATATTTTAATGAATTGAATTTCAAAAGAAATTGATAAAAAAAAAATTATTTCAATTGAAACGGATTGTTTCAATTTTTTTTTGAAAATAATAATTTGCAAATAGTTTTAGTTAAAAAAAAAAAAAATTAATAAATAGTTTAACAAATTTTTTAACTAAAATTCTTCGCTAAATGAGAATTATTATTTTCAATATATAATTGAAATAAAATTCTTTGAAAAATTTTTAACAAATTTTTTTAATTTCCAAAAAAATGTTCGCAGTGAATTTAGAGGTAAAGAAAAATTGACCCTTTAAAAAAAGAAAGAAAGAAAGAAGATAAAAAAAATTGTCTATCGCTTATTTTTTGCTATAAATTGAAAATGAAAGAAAGAAAGTGAGAGAACAATTTGAAATTTAAATAATATAAATAAATTGCTTATCTGCAGGCAAATGGTGGGGTTCAAAGGGAATCCAACCGATTGTGGCGTTACATGGGAGGCAAGATAATGCAGGAAGCTTCGATAAATTAATGTCACTATTGCCTAAAAATATTTCTGTATTGTGTTTGGATTTACCTGGTCATGGGCTTTCGTCCCATTATCCAAGGGGACAGTCTTATTTCGTTCATTGGGACGGTATCGTCTTGCTTCGTCGAATTGTTCATTACTATAAATGGAATAAGGTTAGCGAATCAAAGAAACCAAAAAAAAAAAAAAAAAATGGGAAATTAACAATAATTTATATCGTTTAATTAAAATTTACCACAAAAAATTTAATCCACAAATTTTCTGTTTTTGTAGCAAGTGTCTGTTTGCTACTGAATTAAAATAAAAAAAGAAACGAGCTATTTAAAAATGCATGATGGCTTCATTTGTAAATGTTATCGTAACAATGCATTGTTTGCATAATTCTTAAACTGAGACACTATTAATAAGCTTTTTTTTTTATTTCACGCTTCTCACGATTGATTACATGGAAGATTTTTTTTTTCGTATTTTCATTGCCTTTTTTTTTTATTTCTTTCAAAGAAACCGATTTTTTTCACTTAACAGGCCTTCACAGTATTTCCCCAATTTCCCTATTTTTTTTCTATTTTCAAAAATTCTCTATTTTTATGAATATTTCCTCTATTTTTTTTTTTACTCATTTTCCTTAATTTACGTTGAAACTCGAATAATGGGATATTTCATAAAAATTCAAAAATTGAACGATAAAATTACAAGCCTTGTATTACACAACTTTTACCGAATTTATTTAAAAAAAAATTTTTAACAAAAATTCTTTTCTAAATTAATTTTTTTTTTTTTTTGAATAATTTAAATGAATTTTAATGAAATTCTTTAGGAATTAAATTATCTTCAACTATTTTTCAATTAAATTTTTTTTTTTTTTTATAAAATTCAATTATTTTCAAAATTAAAACAAAAAAACAGCAAATAAAGTATCAAAAAATTTTTAATTAAAATCACTAAAAAATTCAAATATTTTCAAAAATTTCTGTTTAATTAACAAATAAACAAACTCTTCAAAAATTGAATTATTTTTTAATAATTTTTAAATTCCTTTAAAAATTCAATTATTTAAAAAAGTTTCAAACAACAAAAATTGAATTTGTTAGAAATTAAAAAAAAAACAACTACAGCAGTTTAAAATTGCAGAAAATTTATTTTAAATTTAAAATCTTGTGCAATTTAATTATTAAAAAAAAAAATTTTAATTTAAAAATCTGTAAAACTATTGTCCGACCATTTTTTTTTTTTTTTTTGACAAATTAAAAAGTAAAAAGTATGGCAAAATTTTAAATTGATTAAATTCTTCAAAAAAAAATTTTTAAAAATGGAACTAAGAATTTATTTTAGAAATTTCGCTTATTTAATTGAAATTTTGAAAATTTGTTCCAAATAAATTTTTTTTATTTATATTCTTATAGGATTATTCTTATTAAGAAATTAATAAAATGATTTTAATGTCTAATAATATTAGTTATTTAAAGTAAAATATTTATTAATTAATTATTAAATTTAATTAAAATAAAAAAAAAAAAATTACTTTTACTATTTTAATTTTTAATGTAAATCGACTTTTTTGTGCCTTAAAGTCGATCCAAGGCCTGAAAGAATGATTAAAAATAACTAGAATTATTTGCAAAATTAATTTTGAAAAACTTAAATATATCTGTTCCAAATTCGATTAATTCCAAAATTTTTATCTAAAATTTATCGCTAAATTAATTATTTCAATCATTTTAATTCAATTTTTCAAAAATTAAAATTTTTATTATTAAAAATTCTTTAAAATTCAATTACTGTTCAAACTTTTTGATCAATTTTCATCAATTCAAATTTACAATTTCAATTAATAAATTAATTTTTTTTTTCAATAATATTTTAATTAAATTTTAGTTGATTTTGAATTGAAAATTTTTGAAAATAATTGAATTTTAGTTGATTTTAAATTGAATATTTTGAAAATAATTAATTTTCAATTGAAATTTTTGCAAATAATTGAATTAATTGATTTTGAATTGAAATTTTTGGAAAATAATTGAATTTTAATTGATTTTGAATTTGAAATTTTGGTAATTAATTTAATTTTAGTTGATTTTTGAATTAAAATTTTTAAAATAATTGAATTGAATCCCCCCTTTTTTTTTTTTTTAATTTTTATGCTGTGAAGCCTGGATCTTATTTTCAGAAATTATTTCAAAAGATATTTTTTGTCATTACAAGATTTTATTAATTTTTTTTTTCTAGGCGGAAAATTATTCTGTAGGAAAAATTTTGTAACGAAAAAAAACTGTTTTCTTTCGAGAGAATTTTTTTTTTCTGAAAAAAAGAAAAATTCTTTGGGTATTATTTTTCTTGGGGAAAAAAAAGAATAATTCTTTGGGTATTATTTTTCTTGGGGAAAAAAAAGAATAATTCTTTGGGTATTATTTTTCTTGGGGGGGAAAAAAAAGAATAATTCTTTGGGTATTATTTTTCTTGGGGGGAAAAAAGGAATAATTCTTTCGGAATTAGAAAAGAATAAAATTTTGGGAATTTTTATAAAAGAATATGGATTTTTTTTTATAAAATACAAAAAAAAAAACAAAGGAGACAAAAATATGAAATTTGATTTTATTTCTCTATTTTTGATTAGGTGAAACTATTGGGTCACTCATTGGGAGGAGCAATATCGTTTTTGTATGCGGCTTCCTATCCGGATGAAGTTGAATTTGTGATAAGTCTCGATATTGCAAGTCCAAGTGTTCGGGATATTACAAAATCAGTTGATATCACGGGAACTTATATTGACAGATTTTTGAAATATGAAAATTTAACACTCGACTCAGTACCATGTTATACTTATAAGGAAATGATTGACATTGTCGAGGATGCATACAATGGCGATATTACAAGAGAGAGTGCCGAAATTTTAATGAAACGAGGAATGCAACCGGCAACTACTTCAAATCAGTATTATTTTCGACGCGATCCACGATTAAAGGTAAGAAAAAAAAGCAAAAAACTTATTTTCCATACAGGTTTAATTATTTCTAATTTCTTTGCAAATATTTTAATTTTTTCTACCATTTTTTAATAAAATTTTTTAATAAAATAAATACCCGTGTGGAAAAAGCCACGATCTTGCCCTCAAGAGTTCGGGGCCCCCGGCGGGGGCCCATGAGGGCTGATCCATATGGCGAATCCATGAGGGGCACCGTAGGGGCCCCGCATGGATCGCCCTCATGATCGATTAGCAAAATTTTCTAAGTCCAAAAATCAAATATTTTTTTATCACCAAAAAATTAATGTTTATAATGATTCACAACAATGAAAAACGCGTTTTTAATTAAAATATATTTTCACTTTTTTTGAAAATAACACTCACACTTATGGCGAATCCATGAGGGGCACCGTAGGGGCCCCGCATGGATCGCCCTCATGATCGATTAGCAAAATTTTCTAAGTCCAAAATTCAAATATTTTTTTATCACCAAAAAATTAATGTTTATAATGATTCAGAACCACGAAAAACGCGTTTTTAATAAAAATATATTTACACTTTTTTGAAAATAACACTCACACTTATGGCAAAATAGATGAGGGCCACCGTAGGGGCCCGCATGGATCGCCCTCATGATCGATTAGCAAAATTTTCTAAGTCCAAAAATCAAATATTTTTTTATCAACAAAAAATGAATGTTTCCAATGATTCAAAACAACGAAAAACGCGTTTTTAATAAAAATATATTTACACTTTTTTGAAAATTCGCCTGAGATGATTCATGATAATAATCATAAAGCATATAATTAATTATATTTTATAAATTGCATTTGATTGGAAAATATAATTTAATATCTTAACTTTAACTAAATGATGTTAAGCACTTTTCTTTGTTAGGTATTTTTCAAGTTTAAATAGCATCAAGAAGTTAGCATTCGTTTTGAAGTAGCGTGCGTAGCGTAGTTGGTAAAGCGTTAGACTCATAGTCCGTAGGTCGTAGGTTCGATTCCCCCCATGCGTTAGATTTATTTATTTCTCAGGTTTGCGTTTAATCATTAATTCTATGTATGAATTAATTGAAAAATGAAAATATCGGTTAATAGTATGCATAAATTACATATTTTTTAATTTTTTAATTAATTAATTTATTATTACTTTTAATTATATCCGACAGTTAATTAATTAGAACGTTAATTAATAAATTCAATTTGAGTAAGAATTTAATTTAAAATTGAATAATTATTAAATAAATATGTTATTTATTCATAACTTAAGCTTATTTATTATTAATTAACTTTTATTATTAATATTATTGATTAAAAAACATTATGGCAAACTTGAGGGCAAACGTGAGGGCCCATAAGGGCGCTCTCATGGATCGCCCATGCGGGCGCCCTCATCGATGAGCATGTCGTTTCCATGAGGGGCCCCTATGGATCATCCATATGCGGCCCTCATGGCATGAGGGCGATCCATAAGGGCCCCCGCTGGGCGCCCACATCACTTTTCCACACGGGTATTGTTAATTTTTAAACAATTATTAAATTTTACAGAACTAAAAATAATTTATCAAACAATTTTTGGAAAACCTTTTTTTAAATTTAATTGAATTTTCAATGATTTAAAATTGAGATTTTTGAAATTAATTGAAACTTTAAGTGTTTTGTAATTAAAATTTTAGATGATTTTACTAAAAATTTATTAGAAAATGCGGACAAAATACAATAATTTGAAAATCATTTTTAATTGAAAAATGGTTTTATAGGCCTCGGATCGACTTAAAGGCATAAAAAAAGTCGTTTTAGTCGATTTATATTCTAAAAAAAAGTCGAAAAAGTCGATTTTTTTTATTTTAACAAAAACATTTTACAGATTTTTAAATAATTTTTTTTTTTTTAATAATAATACTTTTGGAAGGGTTTTAAAGTTGAAATTTTTAGAAATAATTAAATTTCAAATGGATTTTTGGAAAATAATTGAATTTTAATTGATTTTGAATTGAAAATTTTGAAAGTAATTGAATTTTTAAGATATTTATTGAAATTTTGTAATATAATTGAATTTTAGGAGAGTTATAATTAAAATTATTAAATTACAACAAATTTTAGATAATAAATTATAGAAATAATTAGAATTTAGAAGCTTTTAAATTGGAATTTTTGAAAATGATTTAATTAATTAAATTTCAAAATATTTATGTTAATTTTCAGACAATAATTAAATTTTACAGAATTAAAAATAATTTATCAAATAATTTTAGATAACATTTTTTAAATGTAATTAAATTTTCAAAGATTTACAATTGAGATTTTTGAAATTAATTGAACTTCAAGTGATTTTTAATTAAATTTTTTTTTTTTTTTGTCAACTAAAAATGTATTAGAAACTGCAGACAAAAATAATATAATTTAAAAACCATTTTTAATTGAAAAATGGTTTCAGATAGTTGAATTTTCAAAGAATATTATAAAAATAGTTAAAAATAATTGAATTTCCTTACAGTTATAATTGAAATAGTTAAATTTCAAAAAATTTTAGAAATAATTAAATTTTAGAAGCTTTTAAATTCAAATTTTTGAAAATAATTGAATTATAATTGAAATTTTTGATAATAATTCAATTTTAGTTGATTTTTGATTGAAAATTTTCATAATAAATAATTTTAAGTTGAAATTTTTGAGAATAATTGAATTTTAGTTGATTTTTAATTGAAAATTTTGAAAATAATTGAATTTTCTTTGATGTTGAATAGAAATTTTGGGAAATAATTGAATTTTAATTGAAATTTTGATTAAAAATTTTGATAATAATTAATTTTGAAATGAAATTTTGGATAATTATTGAATTTTAATTGATTTTGAATTGAAATTTTGGGTAATAATTGAATTTTATTTGATTTTAAATTGAAAATTTGGAAAATAATTGAATTTTAAAAGATTTTGAATTAAAATTTTGGAAAGTAATTGAATTTCAATTAAAATGTTGGATAATAATTTAATTTTAGTTGATTTTTTATTGAAAATTTTGATAATAATTGAATTTTTGTTAATTTTAAATTGAAAATTTTAGAAATAAATGAATTTTAATTGAAATTTTGAAGAATAATTCAATTTTAGTTGATTCTGATTTAAAAATTTTAATTTTAATTGGTTTTGCATAGAAATTTTACAAAGAATTGAATTTCAGTCGATTGTGATTTGAAATATTGGAAAGTAATTAAAGTTTAGTTGATTTTGAATTAAAATTTTTGAAAAACAATGCATTTTAGTTGATTTTGAATTGAAAATAATTGAATTTCAATTGAAATTTTGGAAAATAATTGAATTTTATTTGATTTTAAATTGAAAATTTGGAAAATAATTGAATTTTAAAAGATTTTGAATTAAAATTTTGAAAAATAATTGAATTTCAATTGAAATGTTGGATAATATTTTAATTTTAGTTGATTTTTTATTGAAAATTTTGATAATAATTGAATTTTGAATGTAAATTTTGGATAATAATTGAATTTTAGCTGATTTTTAATTGAAATTTTTGAAAATAATTCAATTTTATTTGATTTTGAATTGATTTATGATTTTGAATTAAAAATTTTTGGTAATTTTATTTGATATTTTTTTAAAATTATAAATAATTTTTAAATTTTATAAAAATTTTAATTGAAAAATAATTTGAAATAATTGAATTTGTGATGAATTTCATTAAAATTATTAAAAATAATAAATTTAGTGAAGAATTTTAGTTAAAAATTTATTAAATAATTAAAATAAAGAAGATCTGAAGAAGATCTGCATTTTATACTAAAAAAAAATATATTTTATTTAAAAAACTTTTTTAAAAATGTAAAAAAAAGTCGAAATAGTCGCATTTTATTAAAATAAGTCAAATAAAATCGTATTTTTGAAAAAAAAGTCGGAAATAGTCGAAAAAGTCGTATAATCCGAGGCCTGGTTTCAGATAGTTGAATTTTCAAAGAATATTATTAAAATAGTTAAAAATAATTGAATTTCCTTAGAGTTATAACTGAAATTATTAAATTTCAAAAAAAAAAATTTTTCGATGGAAAATTTTAGAAATAATTAAATTTTAGATGCTTTTAAATTCAAATTATTGAAAATTCAATTAATTTTGAATTCAAATTTTTGAGAATAATGAAATTTAATTTTTATTTTAAATTTGGAAAATAATTGAATTTCAGTTGATTTTGAATTGAAAATTTTGGGAAATAATTGAATTTTAATTGAAATTTTAGATAATAATTTAATTTAAGTTCATTTTTGATTGAAAATTTAGATAATTAATTTTAAATAGAAATTTTAAAAAATAATTGAATTTTATTTTATTTTAAATTGAAAACTTATGGTAAATAATTAAATTTTAAATTGAAAATTTTTGATAATTATTGAATTTTTAATTGATTTTGAATTAAAATTTCGGGTAATAATTGAATTTTAGTTTATTTTGAATTGAAATTTTTAAAAAATAATTCAATTTTATTGTGATATTTTTTTTTAAATTATAAACAATTGTTAAATTTCATAAAAATTTTAATTGAAAAATAATTTTGATATAATTGAATTTGTGATGTATTTCATTAAAATTATTAAAAATAATTAATTTAGTGAAGAATCATTTTAGTTGAAAATTTGTTAAATAATTGAATTAAAGAAGATCTGAAGAAGATCTACATTTTATACTAAAAAAATGTATTTTATTTACATTTTTTTTCAAATGTAAAAAAAAGTGTCGCATTTTATTAAAATAAGTCGATAAAAGTCGTATTTTTGAAAAAAGTCGGAAAAAGTCGTATAATCCGAGGCCTGTAAACATATAATTTTCATTATTATCATTTAATATGTAATAATATTCTAATAAATTAAATTATTATTGATAATATTAATCTTTAATTTCTTTATAACATACAATTAAAAACTCAATTTGGCGTGTTTAATTTTGATAGTATGAAATAAAATGTTTTATTTTCTTTTCTAGGTTTCACTTTTGGGAATGCTGTCATTGGATCTTGTTTTGGCGTTTGCAAAAAAAATTAAATGCGCCTATCTCAATATTCGTGCAGTTCCAGGAATGAAATTTGATCAACCAGAATCTTATCATCGTGTTTTAGATGAAATAAAACTCACTGCAAGTAAATTTGAATATCGAGAAGTTGAAGGCACACATCATGTTCATTTAAATAATCCCGAGCGAATTGCACCAATTATCATTGAATTTTTGGGACTATAACCATAATTTTTTTGTTTCTTTTTTTTCAAATTTTTAGTCGAATTGTTAAACAAACAACAAATTTAAACAAAATCAAGTTTTGAAATTTTAGCCGAATTGTAAACAATTATTACAGAATCAAAAAAAAAAAAAAAATTAGTCAAACATTTTAGAAATGTGAACCTTACTGAAAATTGAAATTTAATTTTTATTTAATTTAATTCGATTTAAATTAATATTAAATTTAATTTAGAATTAAATTATTTTGTTTTAAAGTAATATTAAATTCAATTTAGATTAAATAATTTCGATTTCAATTAATTGATTACAATTTAAAATTAATTAATTATTTTTTTCAGAATAGTAAAAGTAATGAATTTTTTTGAAAATTAAATAAAGTATCTAATTTAATTTTTGAATTTCTAAATTAACAAATGGGACATTTAGTTAGTTAATTATTAATTTAAATTATTCAATTGTTAAAGAAATTTCTAAATTACTGAATTTACAACAATATTTATATTTATATAAATTATATAAATTATTTTTAATTATATGAAATAAATTTAATTTAATTCAATGATTTAAATTAATAATTATCAAGACGAATGTGCAATAGTTTAAAAAAAAAGTTAATTTAAAATAATAGCATAGGAAATTCTTATTAATTAGCAACTTGTAAGTATTTATTATTAAAATAATATTATAATTTATGTTATTGAGAAATATGTGAACAAAAAGAAAATTCCAAAAACTTTGTAAATTATTTAAGAATATTTTTCAAGGTGGTAAAAAATAGAGCGACTTCAAATTCAACAACAGTTTGTTCATTTACGAAAGATTTTCTTTTTATTTTATTTTATTTATTTATTTATTTATTTAAAAACAGGGTTGCCACGCTACATGTAAAAAAATTCAAGAAAATTATGTTTTTAAGTAATTTTTTTTACAACAACTTCAATGCGATTATCAAATAAAATGGTTTAAAAAAAAATAATTTTATCACTTTTTTTTATTTTTATTTTCCGTAAAAAAAAATTGCAAAACTTTTTTGAAATCTATTTGAAAATGAAAATTTTAATTTAAAATCTGAAAATCAATTATTATTAAAAATTTTATATCAAACTCTTCTAAAATTAAATATTTTTTTTTTCTAAAATTTTCTTCGCTAAATTTTATTATTTCTAACCTTTTTTTTATTAAAATTTTCTGAAAATTTTTTTTAATCCAATATCTTCTGAATTTTGTAAAAAATCTTCCTCAATTCAAATTTACCAAAATTCATTTTGTATATCACCTGAAATTTTAATTTTTTCCGAAAAACTTAAATTATATATTTCTTTCAAATTCGATTAATTCCAAAATTTGTATTTAAAATTCTTCGCTAAATTAATTATTTGATTTTAATTCAATTTTTCAAAAATTTTTTTTATTAAAAATTTCTTTAAAATTCAATTACTGTTTAAAAGTCAATAATTTTCAGCAATTCAAATTTACAACAATTTCAATTGAATTAATTTTTTTTTTCCTTTATATTTTAATTAAGTTCTTGGAAAAATGTAATTATTTAAAACATTTGCCAAAAATTTTGAATTCAAATAATTTGTTCAATGAGTTGGAATTTTTTTTTCTTTTAACTTTAAATTTACTATTTTTCAAATTTCTGTCCTAATGAATTGAAATCTTGAAAATTTGTCAATTAATTTAATTCTGATGATTAAAAAAAAAAAAAAAAAAGTTGATGGAAATTTTTCTGTGAAACATTTTTATTATAGAATTAGAAAAAAAATTTATTTAATTACTAATTATTAATGTTAATATAATTAAATATTTATTAACTAATAAAAATTAATTAAAATTAAAAAAATATCGCCTTCGATTTTTGTTGTACCGAAAATCGACTAAATTGCCTTTTTTCTCTTTCTAAAGTCAAAGGCAAGAATTAGAAAAAATGAGAAGTTTTTTTTTTATCAGAAAATTAATTATAATTGGTCAAAAAACTGAAAAAAAAAAATTTCAATGAAAATCAGCCTAAAAATTCGATTATTTTCCAAATTTTCAGTAGAAATTCAGTAAAAATTAATTTCATTTTTAACAATTATTTTTCAAATTTTCAATAAAAATCCTAAAAAAAATTAAATTATTTATAACAATATTTTAATTCTAATTTGTTGAAAACTTTTTTTAAATTTCAATAATTTTATAATGATCTATAAAATTTTGTTAAAAAAAATAAATAATTGATTTTCTGTAATGAAATATTGAGTAGAAAATTACAAATAGATTTTTCATGAAATTTTTTAATTTTTACGAAAAAATTTAAAAGTTTGTAAAATACTTTTTTTTAGTCATTTCATTTTTTTACAATTGACTTTTCATTGCAAAAAATTACATTAAAAAACATACATTTTTCTCTTGAATTTTGAAAAATATATTTTTTTAATAAAGTTGAAAAATTGTGTGTGTACTCTCCCTTTAATAATAATAATAATAATAATAGTAATAATAATAATAATAATAATAATAATAATGTTATAAAAATAATAATTATTACATTAAAAAAATAATAATTATTATATAATAAAAATAATTATTATGATATAAAATTAATAATTATTATTTTAGAAAAATAATAATATTATTATAATTTTCCATTTCATATTTAAAAAGTGAATTAGTTTTTTTTCTGCTCTAAAAAAAATCTTTTTTAAAAATTAAGATGGAAATACCGTTTTTTTTTTTGTCCCGGAAAAGTAGGGAAATTTTTTTATCGTAGCAAAATCGTGGCAACTTTGAATCATGATTTTTTTTTTTTTTTTGCATTTGTTTCGCAAAACTGAATATAAGATTTTTGAAGGGTGAGGTGGGGGGGGGGGATTTGAGAGTATTTTTTTTACGAATGTTAGTATTGAATTTAAAAATGCATATTATAAGTTAAACTACCAGTTTTTTTTTCTTTTTTTTTTTTTTTAATAGTTGTGTAATCAAGAAGTGTTCGACCTCGAAACGACAATACATCTTATCAGTTCACCTACTTTTTATTTACCTTCCGAATAACAGTGGGAGAATAAAGCCATGATCTAAAAACGCTATCGTTTACTACTTCTTTTTTTTTTTTTTTTTTTTTCTTTTTTTTCTTTTATTTTGCCTTCTCAACATTATTAAAAATTTCATGTTCATTTCATTTTGTCATAAATGTTAAATAATTTTTTTTTTTTTCAACTTTTTTTACCTTTTTAATTATTGTAAAATTCCCTTTTTTTCGAAAGAAAAAACAAATTTTCCAATATGAAATTTATTTAAAATATGAATTTACTTTTTTTTTGTTAAACGAAACAAATTTTTGAAATTTTTTTTTCCGAATTATTTTCAATTTTGTTTTTTTTTCGCTAATTTTCTTTTAAAAAACACAAAAATAGGGGAAAGTTAAAAATTGGCTGAAATAATAAAAAAAAAAAAAATGTTTTCAATTATTCTTTGAAAGAATGATATTTTTTGTTTTTGGAATGAGGTGAGAAAATTTTTTTTGAGATGAGATAGAGGAGAAAAAAATTTGAAAGTATATATAAAAAAAAAAAAAAATGTGACATTGTGAAAGTTATAAGAAGTGATGTAAAAATTTACAAAAAGATTACGAATAAATGAAACAATGAAAAGAAAAAAAAGTGGTTCTTCTTCGTTTTTTTTTCACATTCTATATACAAAATGCTCCCTTGTGGACACAGATGTTCATCAATTTTTTTGGGCAATCGCTGTTGCGAGGTCGTAATAAGAAACTTTTTTTTTTCTTTTTTTTTTTTTTTTTGTTTACCCAGCTGATATGCAATGAACGTCAAATAGAATAAAGTCGGAATTATAAATTTTAACACTTTTTCAGTTTATACTTCAGTCTTTTCAATTTTCCATCAAGTTCAGATCTCATCGTGTTTGGCAGGTTTTTTTTTTTTTTTTTGGGAATTTTATTTTTGAAACATGTTTTTTTTTCGAGAAAAAAAAAATTAAGTATATTTATTTATTTTTACTTTTTGTTTTTTTTTTATCCAAAATATAAATTTTTCTTCTTTGATATTTTTTTTTTTTTATTATTTTTTGTTTATTTTTTTCTTATTTTTCTTCCTTGAGTTTTTTTTCTATTTTTTTTCCCTCTATTTTTTCTTTTATTTCTTCTTCTAAACTTTTTTCTGTATTTCCTTTTTTTATTAAAAGAGAAGAAAAAAAAATAATATTAATTGTACGACAGATATTTTTGGAATTATCAATTCCTATTAATAGAATTTTCAAAAATTTATTTATTTATTTGTATTTCCAATGATTTAATGCAAGGCTGATAAAAATTAATTAATTTTTTTTTCTTTTTAAATCAAAGAAATCCGATTTGTTTTATTTAAATCTAATTTTGTTTTTTATTTTTATTTGATTTTTTATTGGAATTATTTTTATTTGTAAATAAATAAACAAATGATTTCGATTTTTTCGTTTTAAATCTGATTTTTTTTTTATTTGACTTTGATTCTTTCCGATTTAAATCTGATTTTTTCGATTTAAATCTGTGTTTTTTTTTATTTGACTCAGATTTTTTCGATTTAAATCTGATTTTTTTTTTTATTTTAATCCAAATTTTTTATATTTGAATTTTATTGTTTGATTAAAATCTAATTTTTTTTATTAAAATTTGATTTTTTTAATTCGAATCCGATTATTTTGATTAAAATCTAATTTTTTTTTATTAAAATTGATTTTTTTTTAAATTTTTTAAATTTTAATTAAATGTTTTAAATTTTTTAATAATAATTAATAAATAAATTGGAATTTTTTTTTTTAAGAAATTTTACTACAAAATTAATGACGTTTCTAAAATCAAAACATTTATTTTTTTCTATTTTTCGTAAAAAAAAAAGATAATATATTTTTCGATAATTTTAGTTTAAAATTTTTATAAATAATAATTTTTATTCTAAAAAAATTTTTTTTTTTTTTGAAATATGCATTTTTTGATATTGAATTGATTTTTCAGAAAGTAAAGAAAAAATGAAAAATTGAAAAAATTTGTAAAAAAAAAAAAACTTCTGAAATATTCAAAAAAGAATTTTGATATTGAATTGAATTATTTGGAAATATTTTTTTCAAAAAGGAAAAAAAAATTTTTTTTGTTTTTAAATTGAATGAATTGAATTATTTAAAATAGTTATTTTTTCAGAAAGTATATAAAAGAAAAATTTTGAAAAATGATATAAAAAAATTTAATAAAAACTGAACCGAAAAATTTTTTAATATATTTAAAAAAAAAAAAAAATGTTTTGAAAAATGATATAAAAATTTAATAAAAAATGAACCGAAAAATTTTTTGATATATTTAAAAAAAAAAAAAAGTTTTGAAATATAAAAATCTTTTGATATTGAATTGGAATTATTCAAAATTGTTTATTTCAGAAATTATAAAAGAAAAAATTTTTTACAAAAATGTGAAAAAATAAAAAAAAAAATTGTAAAAAAACTGAAACAGAAGACATTTTTTTTTATATTCTAAAAAAGAAAATTTTAAAATATAAAAATCATTTGAAATTTGAATTAAATAAATTGAATATATTTGAATTGAATTATTTAAAAAAAATATTTTTCTTAGAAAGTATAAAAGAAAAATTTAAAAATTAAAAAAAATTAAAATTAAAAAAAATGTAAAAATTTCCAAATAACTGAACAAAAGAAATGGAATTTGATTAAAAAAAAAAAGAATAAAAAAAAATTCAATACCCAATTTTTATTGGTTTATTCAAATAAAAATTTATTTATATATTCATGCCATGAAAAATGACGGCCAGTCGTGCTAAAGACATTAAAAAGAAAATAGTATTATTATAGTTTCCGTCTTATCAAAAAGCTTCTAAAACTTGCTCGTCCTATCGAATGTTAAGACGTGCACGTATATTGTCTATATATATATATATATATATATATATATATTAAAAGAAATATACGTAAACGTTTTGTTACACGTGGTAATTACAACGTCGACAGAAAAAAAAAACCGAACGTATTGGAAAAAAAAAAGAATGTGAATATCATTTGGACAGGTGAACTGCAGTCGTTATCCTCACACAACTTCGATCCAAGTTTTTCTTTCCAACTTTTTAAATCATTATTTCCCTCACACTCATCATCGTTTTTATTTTCATTTATTTATTTTTTTTTTTTTTTCGTATTTTTCTCATCAGTTTGAAATTTTCATCTTCACGGGTAAATATTCAATAATTAGAAAAAAAAAATCTTCGTTTTTTTACTAATTTTCTTTTTTCCGGAATGAAGGTAGTTTTTTGGAAATATTATTTTGAAAAATTTTGTTTTTGTGTTTATTAAAGAGAGTGCCGATAGCTATGTGTGTGTGTGTGTGTATTTGTGTTAAATTTTATCAGTACTTTTTTTTTGTTTGCATAATCTCATTTTCATTACTCGATCGGGAAAAAAAAAAAATTTGTTCAAATTATTTCTTTTTTTTTAGCGGGAATAATTTTTTTTTTTTTTGAATTTCAATCACAAGATTTGAAAAATTGTTTTTTTTTTTGTTTTGATTGCACGATCCGGAAAAAATGTTTTCAAATTATTTTTCTATTTAGAGGAAATTATTTTTGATTTTTTTTTTTTTTTTGTATTTCAAACACAAGATTCGAAAAAAAATTGTTTGCATTATTTTTTTTTTTTATTTTACGATCCAAAAAAAAAAGTTTTCAAATTATATATATTTTTTTTTGATATTCCGTTTCAAATTATATTTTTTTAGCTCGAATCATTTTTTTAAATTATTTTTTTATTATTTCACAAAAACTAATAATTCCAATGATAAGATTTGAAATTTTATTTTTTCAATTTTTATAATTTAATTTTTTTTTACAATTTTGTAATTATAATTATTTTTTTATGTTTGTAATAAATTATTTCATTCAGAATTTTGTTATTTTTTTTAAATTAATTAATTTGTGACATTTTTTTTTTTTTACATTGAAAAATGGAGAAATTTTCGAAGACGAAAATAAGGAAAAAATATGATAAAGAAAAAAACAAAATACAAAAATCTTATAGTTTGGAAATTTGTGGAAAAATAATAATATAATTTTTTTTTTAAATGCAGTTTTTTTTGTTTTCAACAACTTTAATTCCAATTCATCGATCCAAACGATCAACAAACTTGATATTTGAAAGTTTGTTCGTTCGGCTCGAGTTATTGGATTAAGGAATCCATTTTTTGAGAAATTGTCATCGAGATTTTTTTATTACGGACTACCAAAATTTTTCAACAAATTTTCTTTGGAGAGATTTTTCTTGGTGAGTTTAAAAAAAAATTTAATTTACTCTTTGAATTCGTTTTTTTAATGCATTTATTTTCATTATTCAAAATTTTCACCTTTTTTAGTTTATTTTCTTGAATTTTTTTTTTCTTTTTAAATGAAAAGCAATTTTTTTTCAAAACCTAATTAATCCATTTTTTAATTTAGTTTATTTTCTTGTATTTTATTTTTTTTTTCTTTTTAAATGAAAAGCAATTTTTTTCAAAACCTAATTAATCCATTTTTTAATTTTGTTGTAAGCAGAATTTTTATCATTTCATTTTTTTTCAATTGTTATTTATATTTATTTAATTTTTAATTTTTGTTAATTTTTTATATTTATTTTATTTGTTATTTATTTCTATTTATTATTTATTTAACTGTATCTTTTTTTTGTTATTTATTTACATTTATTTTATTTGTTATTTATTTATATATTTATTTTATTTTTTATTTATTTATAATTAATGCATAGAAATTATGTTTGCAAAAAAAAAAAAAAATGTTTTTTCAAAATAAAATTATCAGCTTTTGAAAAAAGAAGGAAAGAAGAAAAATTTTTTAAAAAAGGAAACTATTAATTTTTTTTTTTAATTACAAAATATTTCCAAAATTTATTGTATAGAATAAAAATTCGATAAAATTTTATTATTAGGTAGAAAAAAAAATATTACAAAAATTCTTGAGAAATTACGTCATTATTAACAGACACAATGATTAGTCTGCTAATCATTGTTCTGGTTGAAAAGCGATTAACTAAAAAGCCATTTTTTTTTCAAAAGAATGATATAGTGATAATTAACGATCAGTTAACATTTTTTTTTTCTTTGAAAAATATTTTTAAAACATAAATATTATTTTTATCAACACAAAGTGTAATTTATTAATTAACGCCTAATATTTATTAAAATAGTTATAAAGAAAACGATATTTTTGATTTTAACAGTAAATTATAATAAAAATAATAATAAATAAAAAAAAAATTTTAATCGGATATAAAAAAGAATAAAATTTAAATAAAAAATATCGGATTAAAAAATCAGATAATAATAAATAAATAAATAAATAAAGGTAAATAAAAAAAATCGTATCAAAAAAAAATCCCGATTTTTAAATCAGCGCTATAAAGAAAACAATAATTTTTATTTCAACAAAATACAATATTCTTGAGATTCAAATTCTGAAAATAATTTTTATTTTACATAATTCAAATTGTTATTTGTGTCAATAAAAAAAAAAAAAGAAAACGTGTGAATTTTACAATATTTTATTTATTTTGCCTTTTTATAATTTACAATTATTTTTCTTTAAATTTAAACTTTTTCGAAAAAAATGGAAAATATATCTTTTTTGAAAAGTAAAATATTTAATTTCACAATATATTAAAAATTTTCCATCTATCATTTTTTTTTTTTCTTAACATTTCTTTTCACTAGAATATTAAAAAGAGGATAAAAACATTTGTGTCGTTTCGACAAGATAAGAAATTTATTTATGTCTATATATACACTATTTCTATACTCAAAAGACTTTTTTCAAATAACAAACAGTTCTTTAAAATTTTTTTTTATCAGTAACTGCAATAATAATAATTATAATAATAATTATAATATTAATATTAATAATATTAATAATAATAATATTAATAATAATATTACTAATAATAATAATATTAATAATAATTTATAATAATAATAATAATAATAATAATAATAACAATGATAATAATTTTTTCTAATACAAATAGAAAGTATTTATTTATTTAATTAAAATTCTATTAATTATTATTAATATAATTATTTCTATTTTCTGTTTTAAATTTTTTCAGTTGCCAGAAGTCTTCGATAAAATGTAGCAATATCATTAAGCTCTTGATCTGTTGGAGAGAAAGCTGAGAAAGTTCTCAAACGAGCCTTCGATATTTCTAAATCCTAGAAAAAAAAAATTTTTACATTTATTTTCGTATTTTTCTGGTCATTTATTTATTTTTTTTTTTTACTATTTTTTTTTGGAAGGTGAAATTAATTATTTTTATTATTTACTCCTTTATCAATATATTTTATTTACTAATTAATTTGATGTACAAAATTTATTTACTAATTTTTATTTTATAGTATTTGCGATTATAAATAATTATTTTTTAGACGAATTTTTTAATTTTCGAATTTGACAGATTTTTTTTTTTTTACGAATTTTTATTTAAAAAAAATTTTTTGCTGCCGTATTTTTGAAAGAATTTCTATTTTATTTATTTTTTTTTCTATTTTTTTTTCTTTATTTGACTTTTTATTTAAAAGAATTTTAATTTAACAAAATTCTCATTCAATTGAATTTCATGTGATTCGAATTTTTAAATGACAAAAAAATTTCAATTCACCGAATTTCAAATTTGTATGAATTTTTAATTAATAGAATTTTTAAGACACCGAATTTTCATTTGTCCGAAATTACAAATGACCGAACAAAAACCAATCGACAGAAAGATTTTGGAGCAAATTTTGAAAATTTAATTTAATTTTCAGGAAAAAAAATATCACAATAAAATTGAATTATTTTTTAAAAATTTCAATTCAAAATAAAATCAAATTCAATTATTACCCGAAATTTTAATTCAAAATCAATTAAAAATCCAATAATTATCAAAAATTTTCAATTTAAAATTTAATTATTTAACAAGTTTTCAATTTAAAATGAAATAAAATTCAATTATTTTCTAAAATTTCTATTCAAAATTAATTATCCAAATTTTCAATCAAAAAAAAAAAAAAAAATTTTCAATCCAAAATTTCAATAAAAATTCAATTATTTCCAAAAATTTTCAATTCAAAATCAACTGAAATTCAATTATTTTCCAAATTTGAAATCAAATAAAATTTCATTATTCTCAAAAAATTGGAATTCAAAATTAATTGAATTTTCAATAATTTGAACTTAAAAGCATCTAAAATTTAATTATTTGTAAAATTTTCCATCGAAAATTTTTTTTTTTGAAATTTAATAATTTCAGTTATAACTCTAAGGAAATTCAATTATTTTTAACTATTTTAAGAATATTCTTTGAAAATTCAACTATCTGAAACCAGGCCTCGGATTATACGACTTTTTCGACTATTTCCGACTTTTTTTTTCAAAAATACGACTTTATTTGACTTATTTTAATAAAATGCGACTATTTCGACTTTTTTTTACATTTTTAAAAAAGTTTTTTAAATAAAATATATTTTTTTTAGTATAAAATGCAGATCTTCTTCAGATCTTCTTTACTTTAATTATTTAACAAATTTTTAACTAAAATTCTTCACTAAATTTATTATTTTTAATAATTTTAATGAAATTCATCACAAATTTAATTATTTCAAATTATTTTTTAATTAAAATTTTTATAAAATTTAACAATTATTTATAATTTAAAAAAAATATCAAATAAAATTACCAAAAATTTGTAATTCAAAATCATAAATCAATTGAAAATCAAATAAAATTGAACTATTTTCAAAAATTTCAATTAAAAATCAGCTAAAATTCAATTATTACCCAAAATTTCAATTTAAAATTAATTATTATCAAAATTTTCAATAAAAAATCAACTAAAATTAAATTATTATCCAACATTTCAATTGAAATTCAATTATTTTCCAAAATTTTAATTCAAAATCTTTTAAAATGCAATTATTTTCCAAATTTTCAATTTGAAATCAAATAAAATTCAATTATTACCCAAAATTTCTATTTAAAATCAATTAAAATTCAATAATTATCCAAAATTTCAATTCAAAATTAATTATTATCAAAATTTTCAATCAAAATTTCAATTAAAATTCAATTATTTCCCAAAATTTCTATTCAACATCAAAGAAAATTCAATTATTTTCAAAATTTTCAATCAAAAATCAACTAAAATTTAATTATTATCAAAAATTTCAATTATAATTCAATTATTTTCAAAAATTTGTATTTAAAAGCTTCTAAAATTTAATTATTTCTAAAATTTTTTGATATTTAACTATTTCAATTATAACTGTAAGGAAATTCAATTATTTTTAACTATTTTCATAATATTCTTTGAAAATTCAACTATCTGAAACCATTTTTCAATTAAAAATGGTTTTTAAATTATTCTATTTTTGTCTGAAGTTTCTAATACATTTTTAGTTAAAAAAAAAAAAAAAAAAATTTAATTAAAAATCACTTGAAGTTCAATTAATTTCAAAAATCTCAATTGTAAATCTTTGAAAATTTAATTACATTTAAAAAATGTTATCTAAAATTATTTGATAAATTATTTTTAGTTCTGTAAAATTTAATTATTGTTTGAAAATTAACATAAATATTTTGAAATTTAATTAATTAAATTATTTTCAAAAATTCCAATTTAAAAGCTTCTAAATTCTAATTATTTCTATAATTTATTATCTAAAATTTGTTGTAATTTAATAATTTTAATTATAACTCTCCTAAAATTCAATTATATTACAAAATTTCAATAAATATCTTAAAAATTCAATTACTTTCAAAATTTTCAATTCAAAATCAATTAAAATTCCATTATTCTCAAAAATTTCAACTCAAAATTATTTTTTATTAAAATTTTCAATCAAAAATCAACTAAAATTGAATTATTATCAAAAATTTCAATTATAATTCAATTATTTTCAAAAATTTGTATTTAAAAGCTTCTAAAATTTAATTATTTCTAAAATTTTTTGAAATTTAACTATTTCAATTATAACTGTAAGGAAATTCAATTATTTTTAACTATTTTAATAATATTCTTTGAAAATTCAACTATCTGAAACCATTTTTCAAATAAAATGATTTTCAAATTATTGTATTTTGTCCGCATTTTCTAATAAATTTTTAGTGAAATCATCTAAAATTTTAATTAAAAATCACTTAAAGTTTGAATTAATTTCAAAAATCTCAATTTTAAATCTTTGAAAATTCAATTAAATTTAAAAAATGTTTTCCAAAAATTGTTTGATAAATTATTTTTATTTCTGTAAAATTTAATAATTGTTTAAAAATTAACAATATCTTTTGAAATTTAATTATTTCTAAAAATTTCAACTTTAATCCTTTGAAAAGGATTATTATTAAAAAAAAAAATTTTTTTATTCAAAAATCTGTAAAATATTTTTGTTAAAATAAAAAACAAATCCACTTTTTTTTGGAATATAAATCGACTAAATCGACTTTTTTTGTGTCTTCAAGTTGATTCGAGGCCTGTGTTTTTATAATTAATATTTAATATAGGTATTCGTTGGACCCTGGTACCTTAAAAATTAATTTTTAAAAATTAATTTTTTTCAAATTTACTATCTTGTACGAAATTTCCTGGCGCATCTTTTTTCTCATCATAAATTTTTTGTATTTGTATAGAATTTTTGAATCAATATATAAGTTTAAAAAAAAATTTCGTTGGTAAACGTTGTGTACTTTAGCTTCGTGAATTGAATTTTCGAATTTGGAATTTTAAAGAAACTTTTTCCGAAATTTGGAAACACAATTATACAACTTTGGCAAAAATGAGAAAAAGAATATTGTCAAAATTTGACACGTTATAAGATTACTATTCAAAAAAACACGTGAAATCAGAAAAGGCCAACTTCAAATTAGGACAGAAGGACAGACCAAGGAATTTAGTATTATATAATTCTATTAACGAATTAATTTTATTGTATAATGTAAGGAATTGAATATTAATGTAAAGATCTATTTAAAAGAAGGTATAAATAAAATAAAAAAAAATAAAATAAATACTAATTTTTATTTTTATTTATTACTATTTGTTTTTTCAAATATTATTAATTGTAAAAATTTTCAAAAAATTCACAACTCCTCTAACTTAATTCTTCGATTCGTTAAAAAAAAAAAAGGAAAATTTTTTTTTATCTAACCTGAAATCTCCAAATTATTATATTTGGATACCTTTAACATTTGTCGATTTCGTGATAAAGAAGCCTCTCTATTTAAATGTAAATGAGTCATTGAATCATAGTTTCCTAAAGTAACTCTTGAACATAATTCGTGTCTCATGTTTTCACTGTAGGAAAAAAAAAATTTTCATTACAAAAGAAAAATTTCTCCCCAAAATTAAATTCTTTTTTTTTCTTATTTTTTATTAAATAAAAAATTTTTTTTTTGTAATATTTTTTTGTCCAGATTCTAAAAAAAAAGTAATTATTAACGTTTGTTTAATTAAAATAATTAATTTCGGTTAATTTTATGTGAAAAAAATGTTTTTTTTTGTTAATATTTATTTTTTTTTAAAATTTACTTTTTAATTAACAAAAGAAAAAAAATTGTTTAAAAATATTTTTAATAATAAAAATGAATTTAAATAACAAAAATAAATTAACTTAATAAACTTAATAATTAATTGACTTATATAGAAAAAAATAAATAACTTATACTAGAAAAAAATGAGTATGAAAATAATGAATAACTTATACTTGTAAAAAAAAAATAATTTAAAATTAAATATAAAAAAATTTTATAGTTAAAAAAAAGCGTAAGTAAAATAAAAATAAATCAAAAAAAAAATAAATGTAATTTTATATTTTATTTTAATAAAAAGAAATAAAAAATATTTACCAATAATGCAACTTTTTGTCCAATTCTTCTTCCTGGTCCGTGTACTTTTTTAAAATTTCGCTCACAAAAGAATAACGATGAGGAAGCATAACAAGGAATAATTTGTTTTGATTTTAACTGAGGAAAAGTCACTTAGGAAACGTTATATCGATTATTTCCCATGTAGAGAGAAAGAGAGAGAAAAACTTTCTTTTTGTAGTTGATAAAATCAGAAAATACAAAAAGGAATCATTTTTTTTTTATTTAAAATAAAATTCAAAAAAAAAAAATTACTTATAAACAATAAATTTTTTATTGTAAAAATATATTTTTTTTAATTCTTTTTTTTTTTATTCCAAGGTAATTTTTCTCGGAAAATCGTGAGAGAGAATTAATTTTTCACCATTTTTTCTTCTTTATTTTAAAAATATGAGAGATAAAAAAAAATGTCGACCTTTAACTTAAACAAAAGTTTATTTAACAAACAAATATTTTGTACACGTTTCATAATTAAAAAAAAAAAAAAATTTTTTCTAATATTCTCCTTCGTATTTTATTTTATAAAACAGTTTATTTAAAAATAAACTGCGCTTTTGTTGGAAATTGATTTTATTTCATTTGAAATTTCTATTCTTCGGAGATTTGTGATTTTGGCTGAAAGAAGATAATTTTTTTTTTGAGAAAAATAAACACTTTATCAATAAAAAAAAATTATTATGACATAAAATATTTATTTAACTAATTTCAATTTTTTTAATTAATAATTTATTAATTTACCTGAAAAAAAATAAAAAATATTTATAGTTTCTTTATTAATTTGTAAATAAATAAAAAATTAAAATGTCCTAAATTAAATATTTTCCAAATATTATTCTTTATTTCAAAAAAATAAATAAATAATTTTAAAAGTGTGGCTAAAAAAAAAAATTTTCGCTTATTTAACTATATTAAAAAAAAAGAATTTAGTTAAATTATAAAATTGGAATTTTTGAATTTCTTCAAACTTACCATTATATAAATATGACTTGGTAATGATCTTTCTAAAACTTCGGCTAATTTGTTTTTACTTAATTTGTGTTCCTCTTCTGTATTGAAAACAAATAAAAAGTTATACAGAAAATTGTCAAAAAAAAAAACGATTATTTTTCGAAAAAAAAAAAAAAAATTAGAAGGAAATAATTTTGAATAGTAAAAAAAATAAAAATAAAAATTATGTCACTTACCCTCTGATACAGCGAGCGTTAATGTTGGAAGTGCAACAAATCCAGCGACAAGTGGTCGCAAAATCCATTCGACTTTTCTTTCGCTCTCAGGAAGAATATAAATATCGACCTGTTTTAAAATTACATTTTTTTTTGATCTTTATAAAATTAATAATTTATTAAAACTCAATAATTAATTAGAAATTAATAATTAATTAAAAATTAAGAATTAATTAAAAGGTAAGAATTAATTAAAAATTTGAAATAAAAAATTAAAATTGATTTAAATCTAAAAATTAACGAAACATAATTAATTATTAAAAAAAAATTAACCTCTTTATTTCCTGCGAACATAAAGGCATCACTAGCTTCCATTGTCATATGAAGAGTTATTAAAAAATCAGAATGATTTCGAATGTAATAAGTAATGCAAAGGGGAGTTCGCACCGAGCCAAAAGCTGGAAGTTTAGCTTCAATTCCAATCACAGAATTTTCCACCCAAAGTGGTGTTAATGTTACACTATTGCTTGTTTCCAAAGAATTTTCATTGTTCGCTCTTAAATGAAACAAACCAAAAAATTCAATTAAAAAATTTTCCAATTAATTAATTAATAAAATTAGAATTTTCATTTTTTTTTTAAAACAATTTTATCAGAAATTCTTTTAAATAAAATATCATAATAAGGTAATGAAAATAACAGTAAAATAAAAATTCTCCGGTAAAAATTCGATAGCTAAAAATTTTATTAAGTAAAAATTTTGTATAAGAAAAAGAAAATTAGTTAAATTTTAATTTTGAAAATTATATTATTTAAATTTAATTATTTTCAAAAATTAATTATTAACTAAATTAAATTATTTTCTAAATTTTCTTCTTTTTAAAATTCTATTATTTTCTAAATTATATTATATAAAAAAAAAAAAAACAAAAAAAATTTTTTTGTGACTTTTCACTACTTTGAAAAATAATATTAAATATTATTAAATGAAGAAAAATGCAATGCAAAAGAAATAAAAAAAATTAAATACCGTTTCCATCTGACAGTATAAACTCCAGTACTTGTTGGTTGTTCGCTTCCAATTTTTGGAAAAACTGAATAAACATCCGTTCCAGCTTCACCTTCTTTAAGAATAGTTTCTGCTAAAATACATTCTTCATTTTTTTCTTCTTTATCCTCCATTTTTCCTTCACTTTCCCTCTGAATTGAATCTCCCTGAAGTTAATAATTTATTTAAAAAAAAAAAGAATAAATCAAAAAACAATAAAACTACTTTAATTTCATTATTGAATAATATTGAAACAAAATTCTTTAAAAAAATGTTTATATATATTTATACTTATTATATTAATTTTATTATTATTATTATTATTATTATTATTATTATTATTATTATTATTATTATTATTAATTAATTAATTATTAATTTTATACTATATTCTTTATTTTTATTATATCAAATTGAATGTTCTATAACTATTTTTGTTTAAAACAAAAAAAGAAAAATTTTGCAAGAAACAATTTTAATAAAATGCGACTTTTTCGACTTTTTTTTACATTTTTTAAAAAAAAATTTTAAACAAAATACGTTTTTTTTTTTTAATATACAATTCAGATTTTCTTCAGATCTTCATTATTTCAATTATTAAACAAATTTTTAACTAAATTTCTACAACTATTATTCAGTTAAAATATTTATGAAATTTAATAATTGTTTAAAATTAAAAAAAAAAAAATTAGCAAATAAAATTACCAAAAAATTTTAAATACAAAATCACTTGAAATTTAATTATTTGCAAAAATATTAATTATTTTCAAAATTTTCAATTCAAAATCAACAAAAATTTAATTATTTTCCAAAATTTCAATTTAAAATTAATTTTTTTTTAAATTTTCAATTCAAAATCAACTAAAATTCAATTATTTTTCAAAATTTAAATTGAGATTCAATTAAATCCAAAAAATTCAATTCAAAATTAACTAAATTTTAATTACTTTCCTAAATTTTTATTCAAAATAAACTAAAATAAAATTATTTCCTGAATTTTCAATTCAAAATCAACAAAAATTTAATTATTTTCCAAAATTTCAATTTAAAATTAATTTTTTTTTAAATTTTCAATTTAAAATCAACTAAAATTCAATTATTTTCTAAAATTTCTTTTCAAAATCAACTAAAAGTTTATTATTTTCAAAATTTCTATTGAAATTCAAATGTTTTCAAAGATTTCAATTCAAAATCAACTAAAAATCAATTATTTTCTAAAATTTCCTTTTAGTATCAATTATTTTCCAAAATTTTAATTGAAATTCAATTCTTTTCAACATTTTCAATTCAAAATCAACGAAAATTCAATTATTTTCTAAAATTTTAAATTAAATTTATCAAAACTTGGATTTTTGGAAAATTATTGAATTTTTGATAAATTTAAATTGAAATTTTGGAATATAATTTAATTTTAGTTCATTTAGAATTGAAAATTTTAAAAATAATTGAATTTTAGTTGATTTTGAATTGTAAATTTTGGAAAGTAATTGAATTTCATTTGAAATTTTGGAAAATAATTGAATTTCAATTGGAATTTTGAAAAGTAATTGAATTTTAGTTGATTTTGAATTGAAAAGTTTTAAAAATAATTGAATTGTAGTCGATTTAGAATAGAAATTTTTGAAAATAATTGAATTTCAATTGAAATTATCAACATTTTCAATTCAAAATCAACAAAAAATTGAATTATTTTCAAAAATTTCAATTCAAAATCAACTAAAATTTAATTATTTTTTAAATTTTCAATTCAGTATCAATTGAAATTCAATTATTTTTAAAAATTTCAATTTAAAATCAATTGAAATTGAAATTCAATTATTCTCAAAAAAAGATGATCAAAAATTATTTGATAAATTATTTGCGATTCTATAAAATTTAATTATTCTCTGAAATTTAACAAAATCTTTCCAAATTCAATTATTTTTATTGTTTTTTATAATATTCTTCGAAAATTGAACTATTTGAAATCATTTTGCGCTTAAAAAGTTTTCAAATTATTGTATTTTTATCTGCAAATTTCAAATAAATTTTTTAGTGAAATCATCAAAAATTTAAAATTAAAAATCACTTCAAGTTCAATTAATTTCAAAAATAAAAATTATAAATCTTTGAAAATTCAATTAAATTTTAAAAAATGTTATCTAAAATTATAATGATAAATTATTTTTAGTTCTTTAAAATTTTAATTATTGTCTAAAAATTAACAATAATCTTTTGAAATTCAATTATTTCTCAAAATTTCAACTTTAACTCTTCCAAAATTATTATTTAAAAAAAAAAGTTATTTAAAAATCTATAAAACTTGATTAAGTATTGCCTGAATTTTTTTTCTACCATCAAAACTAAAAACTGTAACAAAATTTTTAATTCTAAATTACTTAAATCAAACTTGAAAAAATAATAAAAATGGAATTTTAAGAATTTCTTTTTAGAAATTTATTCTACTTAAATAAAATTTTGAAAATTTGTCTTTTAGTTCGATTATGAAATAGAAATAAATTTTTCTTGACAATATTCATTATAGAATTATTCTCATTACAGAATTAATAAAATGAATTTAATATCTAATAATATTTGTTATTTAAAGTAAAATATTTCATTAACCAATTAAATTTTGGTAAAATAAAAAAATCGACTTTTTTTTTTAGTATAAATCAACTTTTTTTGTGCCTTAAAATCGATTCGAGGCCTAAAAATTGAATTTAATTATTAATAAATAAAAAAAAAATACAACAAACCAATTCAATGGACGTGCCTATAATTTTTATAGGCCATGGCGATGTGCAAGTAATGTGTGGCATCATAAAAAATGGCTCATTAATAAAACCCTTTGTCAATGGCTCATAAAGCATTGTATAAAATTGTGTTGTAATTTCAAATGGTTTTACAACACTCACATCCAACATAAGTGGTTCTGTACTTTTTTTCTGATCATTTTTCAAATAATCCAATTTTATCATAAAACTCCTTATGCCAATTTTGTGTGCACGAAAATAAATAATCCTTTCAATTGAAATATTTTCCACAATATTCACTTCATCGGCAATATGTGATTGTTTGTCTTTTGCATTTAAACTCAATTCGGCTAAAGAAAAAAAAAAAATGTAAGACAGAAGAATTATTAAATTACTAAATAAAAATAAATAATAATTAAATTATTATTATTATTTCAATATTATTAAATAGTATTTATTAAATATTTTCAGTAAAAATTATTGTCTTTGCAACAGTTTTCAATAATAATAAAAAGAAAAGAAGGAAAATTAAATTTAAAGAAAAAATTCATGGTTTAAAATTATATTTACATTTTTTTTGATAATTTTCTTTAATACTTACTTAATTGTTCGTTATTTCCAGTATTAACAAGGGACATTTTCAAAATACTTTTCGTTATATTTTCAGCAGTGAAAATGGAAATTTTTATTGGAAACCATTCGCCCAATAATGCTGGCTCTTCTGATTCGGCTTTTAAAATAATTTTCGATTCCTCATGTTTAATTTGAGCTGTTGTTAATGGTCTCATTCTATCGAATTCACTACTTCTATAAAAAAAATTTAACACAAAAATTGTTTGTTAAAATTCCAAAATTATTTGTAATTTTTTTTTTGTTTTTTCTAATCAATTTTACTTTACGTTTTTTTTTTTGTTTCCAAATTAATTAAAATCTATTAAATTAAAATAAAAATAATTTTTCCATAAATAGTATTATAGAAGGAAAAATTCGACTAAAATAATAGTAAACTAGCAAAATTTAATTGTTTGCTATAAAGAAATTAAAGATTAATATTATCAATAATAATTTAATTTATTAGAATATTATTACATATTAAATGATAATAATGAAAATTATATATGTTTACAAGCCTCGGATTATACGACTTTTTCCGACTTTTTTCCAAAAATACGACTTTTATCGACTTATTTTAATAAAATGCGACACTTTTTTTTTACATTTGAAAAAAAATGTAAATAAAATACATTTTTTAGTATAAAATGTAGATCTTTAGATCTTCTTCAATTCAATTATTTAACAAATTTTAAAATAAAATGATTCTTCACTAAATTAATTAATTTTAATAATTTTAATGAAATACATCACAAATTCAATTATATCAAAATTATTTTTCAATTAAAATTTTTATGAAATTTAACAATTGTTTATAATTTTTAAAAAAAAATATCACAATAAAATTGAATTATTTTTTAAAAATTTCAATTCAAAATAAACTAAAATTCAATTATTACCCGAAATTTTAATTCAAAATCAATTAAACATCGCCCGTGTGGAAAAAGCCACGATCTTGCCCTCAAGAGTTCGGGGCCCCCGGCGGGGGCCCATGAGGGCTGATCCATATGGCGAATCCATGAGGGGCACCGTAGGGGCCCCGCATGGATCGCCCTCATGATCGATTAGCAAAATTTTCTAAGTCCAAAAATCAAATATTTTTTTATCAACAAAAAATGAATGTTTCCAATGATTTAAAACAACGAAAAACGCGTTTTTAATAAAAATATATTTACACTTTTTTGAAAATTCGCCTGAGATGATTCATGATAATAATCATAAAGCATATAATTAATTATATTTTATAAATTGCATTTGATTGGAAAATATAATTTAATATCTTAACTTTAACTAAATGATGTTAAGCACTTTTCTTTGTTAGGTATTTTTGAAGTTTAAATAGCATCAAGAAGTTAGCATTCGTTTTGAAGTAGCGTACGTAGCGTAGTTGGTAAAGCGTTAGACTCATAGTCCGTAGGTCGTAGGTTCGATTCCCCCCATGCGTTAGATTTATTTATTTCTCAGGTTTGCGTTTAATCATTAATTCTATGTATGAATTAATTGAAAAATGAAAATATCCGTTAATAGTATGCATAAATTAAATATTTTTTAATTTTTTAATTAATTAATTTATTATTACTTTTAATTATATCCGACAGTTAATTAATTAGAACGTTAATTAATAAATTGAATTTGAGTAAGAATTTAATTTAAAATTGAATAATTATTAAATAAATATGTTATTTATTCATAACTTAAGCTTATTTATTATTAATTAACTTTTATTATTAATATTATTGATTAAAAAACATTATGGCAAACTTGAGGGCAAGATGAGGGCAAACGTGAGGGCCCATAAGGGCGCCCGTAGGGGCACCCTCATGGATCGCCCATGCGGGCGCCCTCATCGATGAGCATGTCGTTTCCATGAGGGGCCCCTATGGATCATCCATATGCGGCCCTCATGGCATGAGGGCGATCCATAAGGGCCCCCGCTGGGGGCCCACATCACTTTTCCACACGGGTCCAATAATTATCAAAAATTTTTAATTTAAAATTTAATTATTTACCAAGTTTTCAATTTAAAAGAAATAAAATTTAATTATTTTCTAAAATTTCTATTCAAAATTAATTATCCAAATTTTCAATCAAAAATGAACTTCAATTAAATTATTATCCAAAATTTCAATTAAAATTCAATTATTTCCCAAAATTTTCAATTCAAAAACAATTAAAATTCAATTATTTTGAAAAATTTTAATTGAAATTCAACTATTTTCCAAAATTTTCAATTAAAAATCAACTAAAATTTAATTATTTTCAAAATTTGCAATTTAAAATCAACGAAAATTCAATTATTTTCTAAATTTTAAAATTAAATTTATCAAAACTTGGATTTTTGGAAAATTATTGAATTTTTGATAAATTTAAATTGAAATTTTGGAATATAATTGAATTGTTGTTCATTTAGATTGAAAATTTTAAAAATAATTGAATTTTAGTTGATTTTGAATTGTAAATTTTGGAAAATAATTGAATTTCCATTTAAATTTTTCAAAATACTTGAATTTTAATTGGAATTTTGAAAAGTAATTGAATTTTATTTGAAAATTTTAAAAATAATTGAATTGTAGTTGATTTAGAATAGAAATTTTTGAAAATAATTGAATTTTAATTGAAATTATGAACATTTTAAATTCAAACTCAACTAAAATTTAATTTTTTTCAAAAATTGCAATTGAAAATTAACTAAAATTCAATTATTTTCTAAAATTTCAATTGAAATTCAATTTTTTTCAAAATTTGCAATTTAAAATCAACTAAAATTCAATTATTTTTAAAAATTTCAATTTAAAATGAAATAAAATTCAATTTTTTTTTTAAATTTCAATTGAAATTCAATTATTTTCAAAATTTGCAATTTAAAATCAACTAAAATTCAGTTCTTTTCAAAATTTTCGATTTAAAATCAATTATTTTCAACTAAAATTCAATTATTTTCTAAAATTTCCTTTCAATATCAATTATTTTCAAAAATTTCAATTCAAAATCAATTAAAATTCAATTATATTGACAAATTTTAATTGAAATTCAATTATTTTCCAAAATTTTTAATTCAAAATCAACTAAAATTCAATTATTTTCAAAATTTGCAATTTAAAATCAACTAAAATTCAATTATTTTCAAAATATTCGATTTAAAATTAATTATTTTCCAAAATTTCAATTCAAAATCAATTACATTACAATTATTTTCAAAAATTTCAATTCAAAATCCAGTAAAAATCAATTGTTGTTCATTTAGATTGCAAATTTTAAAAATTATTGATTTTTAGTTGATTTTGAATTGTAAATTTTGGAAAGTAATTGAATTTCATTTGAAATTTTGGAAAATAATTGAATTTCAATTAGAATTTTGAAAAGTAATTGAATTTTAGTTGAATTTGAATTGAAAATTTTTAAACTAATTGAATTGTAGTTGATTTAGAATAGAAATTTTTGAAAATAATTGAATTTCAATTGAAATTATGAACATTTTCAATTCAAAATTAACTAAAATTCAATTATTTTCAAAAATTGCAATTAAAAATTAACTAAAATTCAATTATTCTCTAAAATTTCAATTGAAATTCAATTTTTTTCAAAATTTGCAATTTAAAATCAACTAAAATTCAATTCTTTTCAAAATTTTCGATTTAAAATCTATTATTTTCCAAAATTTCAATTCAAAATCAATTAAAATTCAATTATATCGACAAATTTTAATTGAAATTCAATTATTTTCCAAAGTTTTCAATTCAATTATTACCCGAAATTTTAATTCAAAATCAATTAAAAATCCAATAATTATCGAAAATTTTCAATTTAAAATTTAATTATTTACCAAGTTTTCAATTTAGAATGAAATAAAATTCAATTATTTTCTAAAATTTCTATTCAAAATTAATTATTCAAAATTTCAATTAAAATTTAATTATTTCCCAAAATTTTCAAACAAATCCAATTTTTTTTTGTAATATAAATCGACTAAAACGACTTTTTTGGGTCTTTAAGTTGATTCGAGGCCTGTGTTTTTAAAATTAATATTTAATAGGTATTCGTTGGCCCCTGGTACCTTAAAAATAAATTTTTAAAAATAAATTTTTTTCAAATTACTATCTTGTACGAAATATTCTGGTGCATCTTTTTTCTCATCATAAATTTTTTCTATTTGTCTACAATTTTTGAATCAATATACAATTTTTAGAAAAATTTCATTGGTAAACGTTGTGTACTTCAGCTTCGTGAATTGAATTTTCGAATTTGGAATTTTAAAGAAACTTATTCCGAAATTTGGAAACACAATTATACAATTTTGGCAAAAATGAGAAAAAGAATTGTCAAAATTTGACACGTCATAAGATTACTATTAAAAAAAAAAACAAGTGAAATCAGAAAAGGCCAACTTTAAGTTAAGACAGAAGGACAGACCAAGTATTTTATTATTATATAATTAAAAACTAAATTCAGGTGACAAAAAAAAAAACTCACCGAAGTTGTTGAATTTCCGGATACAGTCGATCGACAGAATTATCACTTCCGTTTGGTGAAAATCGCATAACAACACAACAATTATTTTCCCGACCTAAATAAAAAGAAACTGCGCTAATTTGAATTTCATTTCCATTGCACTGAACTTGAAATTGACATGTGAATTTTTTTATTTCATTTTGACGAAATTTAAAATCCTCAGAACTTCCGATTATTGGAATTTCCAAATTATATCCTGGATTACTGACTGTTACGGATATTTTTGAAAATTCGATATTTTCTCGACACAAGTTCCTAAAAAATGAGAAGAAGAAAAAAAAATTAATAATCTTTTTATTTTTAATATATTCTGCATAATAATTAATAATTAATATTTTTATTATATTGATTTTTTTTTTAATACCTGACGAGAACTTGAATCGTTACATTAGAATTGACAGTGTACTTTGGTTCGGTGAATCTCGTTTTAATTTCAATAAATGACAATGTTGTATTGTCATCGATTGTAAATAAAATTGGCTCCGGTCGAGAAAGTTCTGAATTCCATTTTTGAACAACACTTTTGTCATGTTCAGGCAAATCTGGCTCTGGATTTGGTGGTTTTCTCTATTATTATTTATTGAGAAGAACAAAAATTATTCAATTAGAATAAAATAATAATTTTTTTACTATTTAAAATAGTAAATACATTTTCTTTTACTTTCTGTAAATTCGTAAACGAAATAAATAAAATATTTCCTTTTTTTTCTTTTTGTAAGCCTTTATAAATGCGAATAAAATAATAAAAAAAATAGTTAAAAAATAAATAAAATATAAATTTTTTTTCAAACACTAACCTGGAGTATACTGAAAATATTGGCATGAATAGTCGAATGATGTTCATTGGAAAACAATGTCGTTGGTCCCAGGGATTCAAGGGCCAATGCAAGATAATCCTGAACATTAACTGATAAATATGCAGCGCGAAGAGCAGTCTTTAAAATATTTGTGAGTAAAAGCGGCCAGCGCTCGCTTCGATATTCCCATAACATATGAATCAATAATCTGCAATTTTTTTTTTTGTCATCAAAATCAAAATTTTATTCCCTAAAAATATTAACAAATTCTTGATTAATTTTTCATTTTTTTTTTTTTTTTTACTCACGTTAAAACTTTTCCATAATCTTTTGCATTAAAATATTCCTCCGCCATTTGTACAACTGAAAATTAATTGTTAATTATGTATTTTCTATTTTAAAATAAATAAATAATAAATTGGCAAAATTACAAATTATAAAATTTGCAAAATTACAAATTATAAATTATAAAATTTGCAAAATTACAAATTAGAATTTATAAATTACAAAATTTGCAAAAATTACAAATAAAAAATTATAAATTACAATTAATAAATTTGCAAAATTACAAATTACCTAATACTCGACGCATTCGTGGACATCGATAGATTTTAAACTGTGAAATTGCATTTCCTAAAAGGCCTATAATTATCATCTGAAAAAAAAATTTATTATTTCATTTATCATTTTTTTGTGTAAACGATTTTTACAGCGATTTATTGTTTTCTTCTTTATTAATTTTTACTTTGTAGATTTTATTAAATAAAAATTTTTCTTTTTTATAATAAAAATGCGAGTTTTTAATTTTAATTTAAAAGAAAAGGAATTTCTTTATTTATTTACAATTTTAAAAAACATCAGATTTAAATAAACAAAAAACGTATTTCTTGGTTTTTTTTTAAACATGATTTTTATTAGCCCTGCACTGAATTATTAAAAATAATAAATATTTTTTTTTATTTTAATTTTTAATTTATTACTTACAGAATGATTGACAGTGGTTTTCTCTCTAAACTGAAGAGCCTGAATCGCTGCTGTTTCGCCCATTGAATCCGCAGGTTCAGCATTTAATTTTCCCAGTCTCCATGGCCTTTGACCATAAAATTCCATTTTTTCCTCATCTCCCAATGGATCCGGTTCTGGATACGATTTCACACTCTGAAACAATGTGAAACTTTATCAATATTTTTTATTTTACTTTTACAAAAAAAAAAAAAAAATTAACTATTCAAATTATTAATTTTTCTTTAGGTATTAATTCATTTTTTTTTTTAGGTAAATATTCAGTCAATTTGACAATAAAGATAATTCATTTATTTTGTAATAATTTTGTTTAAAATTCCAAATTTATGTGTAGAAAAAAATTTAATTATATATTTTAAAATAATTACATGCCTCGGATTGAGTTTAAAGCACAAAAATAGTTGATTTATATTCAAAAAAAAAAAAAAAAATCGAAAAAGTCGATTTTTTTATTTTACCAAAATTTAATTGGTTAATGAAATATTTTACTTAAAATAACAAATATTATTAGATATTAAATTCATTTTATTAATTCAGTAATGGAAATAATTTATATAATATAATATAATAATTTATAAAATATTTTTAGATAACAGTTTTTAAATTATAATTGAATTTTGAAAGATTTATAATTTTTATTTTTGAAATTAATTGTACTTCAGATGATTTTAATTTTTGATGATTTTACTAAAAAAAAATTTATTAGAAATTGCAGACAAAAATACAATAATTTAAAAACTTTTTACGCAAAAAAATGGTTTCAGATAGTAAAATTTTTGAAAATATTTAAAAAATAATTAAATTTCAGAAAAGTTATAATTAAAATTATTAAATATCAAAAAAATTGTTGAAATAATTAAATTTTACAAGCTCATAAATTAAAATTTTTAAAACTATAATTCAAGTTTAATTAATTTAGAATTTAAATTTTGGAAAACAAGTGATTTTTCGTTGACAATGAGATGAAAATTATGAAAATAATTAAATTTCAATTAATTTTAAATTTAAATTTTTGAAAATAATTGAATTTTAATTAATTTTGAATTGAAATTTTGGAAAATAAGTAAATTTTTGTTGATTTTGTATTAAAAATGTTGATAATTTCAATTGAAATTCAATTATTTTCAAAAATTTCTATTCTAAATCAACTAAAATTCAATTATTTTTAAAATTTTCAATTCTATATCAACTAAAATTCAATTATTTTTAAAATTTTCAATTCTATATCTACTAAAATTCAATTATTTTTAAAATTTTCAATTCTAAATCAACTGAAATTCAATTATATTCAAAAATTTCAATTTAAATTTAACAAAAATTGAATAATTTTCCAAAAATACAATTTTTGATAAATTTAATTTTAAATTTTAGAAAATAATTGAATTTTCGTTGATTTCGAATTGAAATTGTTGAAAAGAATTGAATTTCAATTAAAATTTTGGAAAATAATTGATATTGAAAGGAAATTTTAGAAAATAATTGAATTTTAGTTGATTTTGAATTGAAAATTATGAAAATAATTGAATCTCAATTGAAATTTTGGAAAATAATTGAATTTTAACTAATTTTGAATTGAAAGTTTGGAAAATAAGTGAATTTTTGTTAAGTTTGAGTTGCAAATTTTGCAAATAATTGAATTTTAATTGAAATTTTGCAAAAAATTGAATTTTAATGGATTTGGAATTGAAATTTTTTAAATAATTAAATATTAGTTGGTTTTGAATTGAAATTTTAGAAAATAATTTAATTTTAGTTGATTTTAAATTTAAAATTCCGAAAATAATTGAAGTTTAGTTGATTTTGAATTGAAATATTGGAAAATAATTGAATTTTAGTAAATTTTAAAAATAAAATTTTGTAAATAATTGAATTTTAGTTGATTTGGATTTGAAAATAATTAAATTTCAATTGAAAATTTTGAAAAATAATTAAATTTTAGTTGATTTTGAATTTAAATTTTGGAATATAATTCAATTTTAGTTAATTTTAAACATAAAATTTGGAAAATAATTGAATTTTAAATTGAAAATTTTCGATAATTATTGGATTTTTAATTGATTTTGAATTAAAATTTCGGGTAATAATTGAATTTTAGTTGATTTTGAATTGAAAATTTTGGAAAATAATTGAATTTCAATTAAAATTTGTCAATATAATTGAATTTTAATTGATTTTGAATTGAAATTTTGGAAAATAATAGATTTTAAATCGAAAATTTTGAAAAGAATTGAATTTTAGTTGATTTTAAATTGCAAATTTTGAAAAAAATTGAATTTCAATTGAAATTTTTGAAAACAATTGAATTTTAATTAATTTTGAATTGAAATTTTTAAAATAATTGAATTTTATTTAATTTTAAATAGAAAAATTGAAAAGTAATTGAATTTGAATTTGAAAATTTTCAAAATAAATGATTTTTAATTTCAAATTTTGAAAATAATTGAATTTCAATTTAAAATTTTTGGAAAATAATTTAATTTTAGTTGATTTTGAATTGAAAATTTTGAAAAAAAAGTTGATTTTGAATTGAAATTTTGGAAAATAATTGTATTTTAGTTGATTTTGAATTGAAATTTTCGAAAATATTTGAATTTCAAAATATTGTGTTAAATTTTAGACAATAATTACAATAGGAAAAATTTCTAGTGATTTCCTTTTGATGAAGAATTTATTTTTTATTTTTTTTTTATTAAAAGCAATTTGAAACCTCAATAGAGGTTTATAAAGCATACATTTGGTTAAATATTCAATATTTAAACATTCATAATCACATAAAAAAAATTGAATTTCAAAAGTTTTTAATTGAATAATGCTCTCAGATAATTGAATTTTTGAACAATATTATAAAAATCATTAGAAATAATTGAAATTTTTTGCTAATAATTAAGTTTTCAAGTGATTTTAAATTAAAATTTTTTTGGCAATTTTATTTGCTAATTTTTTTTTTAAATATAACAAATTATTAAATTTTATAAAAAATTTTAATGAAAATCAGTTTAAGATAATTGAATATCAGAAGAATTTCATGAAAATTATTAAGAATAGTTAATTTAGTGAATAATTTTAGTTGAAAATCTGTTAAATCTGCATTGTATAAAAAAAGGATTTTGTTTAATTTTTTTTTTTTAAATGTAGAAAAAATTCGAAAAAGTCGCATTTTATTAAAATTAGTCATAAAAAGTCGTTTAATCCGAGGTCTGATTTTGTTATAATTTTCTTTAAATTCCAAATTTATGTATAAAAAAAAATTTAATTGTGTATTTTAAAATAATTATATTGAAAGAAAAATAATTTTAAATTTCAATAAATTACCTTCGGTATTACAGTTTAATTAATTTTTTTTTTTTTAATTTCTTAATTTTAATTTTTCTTTTTTCTTTTTTAATGCAAAATTCAATAAATACGTACAGAGCAAATTTCCTTTGATGCCAATTGCCTTTCGCTCGCGTATTTAGCTGCCAATTGAAAATAATAACCAGGATGCTGCGTTTGAACAGCTGGAAGTCCTTGTCGAATTGCTTCGTCAAATAATTCGGCAAACGTCGAATACTGACTCGACATCCAGGCGTGATGCTCAAATATCAATTCCGAAGGTCCCGGTCTAATTTTAAATCTAAAAAAAAAAAATTCACATTCTCTTTTAACAAAAAAGTTCTTTTAATAAATAATATTTGAAAAATTTGATCATTCTTACCTTTCAGTGTGACTTTTAAATTGTGATATTGCATCTTTTGGAAGATTTAACAAAAACATTAATTTACATAATTTGTAATTTAAAAAACTAGCAACAGTTTTGATTTCTAATGAATTTGTGTCAGTCATTCGTATATCGAGTAAATTGTTGTAAGCTTGCTGATAGTGTCTGAAAGAAAATTTCTTTTTTTAATTACACAAAAAAAATAATTAGCAGAAGATTATAGAAGAAAATAGAAAAAATATATTTAAAATTATTATATAAATAAATAAAATGAATTTTTTTTTCTCTTACTTTTGAGCTGTATGTTGTTCATGTTTGAGTTCGTTAAAAAAGCCCATTTTAAATTGATGTCGAATAAATAAATATTGATGAGTCGTTTTATTTAATTGATCACGATGTCCTTTCACATTTCGATATTCGAGATGATAAAATCCTTGCGCCAAGTCGTTAAACGCTCCTTCCAATCTAAAATAAAAGGGGGAAAAAAAATTCCCTTCAATTTTTAGTACAAAATTCACTAAAATTAACAGTTGAATAAATTCAACTTTTAAGACGCGAAAAAATATCGTTTAAATTTAATAGTAATTAAATTTTTTTTTTTTTTACTAATTTCCATAAAAATTTTTGAAAATTAAATTTTTTGCTGAATTGAAATAACATTTTTTTTTTTTTTTTTGAAAATAATTTAATTTATGATAAATATTGAAATTTTTGATAAATTCTAATTAAATTTTTTTTTGAAAATTGAATGTTTGTCTAATTATCATTGAGATAATAAATAATTATTATTTAAGTATAATAATACAATAAAATTTATAAAGAAAGTATTTAATATTTAAATTAATTATTAAATAACTAGCAAAATTAAACGCGTGCAAGCGCGCCAAATTGAGTATTTAATTGTTTGTTATAAAGAAATAAAAGATTAATATTATCAATAATAATTTAATTTATTAGAATATTATTACATATTAAATGATAATAATGAAAATTATATGTTTACAGGCCTCGGATTATACGACTTTTTCCGACTTTTTTCCAAAAATACGACTTTTATTGATTTATTTTAATAAAAAGCGACATTTTTTTTTACATTTGAAAAGAAAATGTAAATAAAATACATTTTTTTAGTATAAAATGTAGATCTTCTTCAGATCTTTTTTAATTCAATTATTTAACAAATTTTGAACTAAAATGATTCTTCACTAAATTAATTATTTTTAATAATTTTAATGAAATACATCACAAATTCACTTATAACAAAATTATTTTTCAATTAAAATTTTTATGAAATTTAACAATTGTTTATAATTTAAAAAAAATATATCACAATAAAATTAAATTATTTTTTAAAAATTTCAATTCAAAATAAACTAAAATTCAATTATTAACCGAAATTTTAATTCAAAATCAATTAAAAATCCAATAATTATCCAAAATTTTCAATTTACAATTTAATTATTTACCAAGTTTTCAATTTAAAATGAAAAAAAATTCAATTATTTTCTACAATTTCTATTCAAAATTTTATTATCCAAATTTTCAATCAAAAATGAACTTAAATTAAAATATTATCCAAAATTTCAATTCAAATTCAATTATTTCCCAAAATTTTCAATTAAAAAATCAATTCAAATTCAATTATTTTGAAAAATTTTAATCGAAATTCAATTATTTTCCAAAATTTTCAATTCAAAATCAATTATTTTCCAAAATTTCAATTCAAAATCAACTAAAATTCAATTATTTTCTAAAATTTTAATTAAAATTCAATTTTTAAAAAAATTTTAAATTCAAAATCAACTAAAATTCAATTATTTTCCAAAATTTCGATTGAAAATTAACTAAAATTCAATTATTTTCTAAAATTTCAATTGAAATTCAATTAAATATGCAATTTATATTCAAATGAAATTCGATTATTTTCGAAATTTTCGATTTAAAATAAATTATTTTCCAAATTTTCAATTCAAAATCAATTAATTTCCAAAATTTCAATTCAAAATCAATTATTTTCCAAAATTTCAATTCAAAATCAACTAAAATTCAATTATTCCCAAAACTTTGCAACTTAAAATAAACTAGAATTCAATTATTTTCAAAATTTTAATCTAATATCAAGTAAAATTAAATTATTTAAAAAATTTTAATTTAAAATCAACTAAAATTAAATTATATTCCAAAATTTCAATTGAAATTTAATTATTTTCTAAAATTTTCAATCCTAAATCAACTAAAATTCAATTATTTTCAAAATTTTCAATCCAAAATTAAGTAAAATTCAATTTCTTTCAAAAGTTTCAATTTAATATTAATTGAAATTCAATTATTTTCCAAAATTTCAATTCCAAATCAATTAAAATTCAATTATTTTGAAAAATTTTAATTGAAATTCCATTTTTTTTCTAAAATTTCTATTCAAAATTAATTATTCAAATATTTAATCAAAAATGAACTTTAATTAAATTAATATCCAAAATTTCAATCAAAATTCAATTATTTCCCAAAAATGTTCAATTTAAAATCAAATAAAATTTCATTATTCTCAAAAAATTTGAATTCAAAATTAATTGAATTTTCAATAATTTGAATTTAAAAGCATCTAAAATTTAATTATTTCTAAAATTTTCCATCGAAAATTTTTTTTTTTTGAAATTTTTTATAATTTCAATTATAACTCTAAGGAAATTCAATTATTTTTAACTATTTTAATAATATTCTTTGAAATTTCAACTATCTGAAACCATTTTTCAATTAAAAATGATTTTCAAATTATTATATTTTGTCTGCATTTTCTAATAAATTTTTAGTGAAATCATCTAAAATTTTAATTACAAAACACTTAAAGTTTCAATTAATTTCAAAAAGCTCAATTTTAAATCTTTGAAAATTCAATTAATTTTAAAAAATGTTTTCCAAAAATTGTTTGATATATTATTTTTAGTTCTGTAAAATTTAATAATTGTTTAAAAATTAACAATATCTTTTGAAATTTAATTATTTCTAAAAATTTCAACCTTAACCCTTCGAAAAGGATTCTTCTGAAAAAAAAATTTATTTAAAAATCTGTAAAATATTTTTGTTAAAATAAAAAACAAATCCACTTTTTTTTTGAATATAAATCGACTAAAACGACTTTTTTGTGTCGATTCGAGACCTGTGTTTTTTATAATTAATATTTAATATAGGTATTCGTTGGCCCCTGATACCTTAAAAATTATTTTTGAAAAATAAATTTTTTTCAAATTACTATCTTGTACGAAATTTCCTGGCGCATATTTTTTCTCATCATAAATTTTTTGTATTTGTATACAATTTTTGAATGAATATACAACTTTAAAAAAACTTTCGTTGGTAAACGTTGTGTACTTGAGCTTCGTGAATTGAATTTTCGAATTAGGAATTTTAAAGAAACTTATTCCGAAATTTGGAAACACAATTATACAACTTTGGCAAAAATGAGAAAAAGAATTGTCAAAATTTGACACGTCATAAGATTAATATTCAAAAAAACACGTGAAATCAGAAAAGTCCAACTTCAATTTAGGACAGAAGGACAGACCAAGCATTTTATTATTATATAATAATTTTGAGTTTTCATTATAATAATAAAATAAAATTTATAAAGAAAGTATTTAATATTTAAATTAATTATTAAATAATTAATAAATTATTAATTTAATTTAAATACATATTAATATTTTTTTTTTATTCAAAAAGTAAATGTAAATTAAATAAGAAAGAAATTGAAAAAAAAATTTCAAATTTAAAAATTTTTTTTCACCTAGTAATGTATCCCATGAGATGATCGCCAAGTGGTAGAATATAAAGTGATTTCGCAGGAATATCGCAAGCGGTATAAAGTGCTGTTGCTCTCTCAGTTGCAAGGACATCCTCTGTACCCGGAGGAGCCGCGTGTCTTTGAATCAAAACAATTGCAATCCTTGGATTTCGTCCTTCTGAAACGGCTCTATAATGAAATTTGAAAATAATTTAATTTAAAAAAAGAAAAAAAATGTTTTGCAGAATATAAAACAATTTTTTAAATATTATTTTTCTTTTTCCTTTTTTTTTTTTTTTTTACCTCAAAGAATCGACTCTCGAGACACATTCCATTTTTTTCTCATTCCACATTGGATCGGTCCAATCAAGATCATAGAAAACAACAACAAGAGAGGGAATTTCATTTAAATATTTATTCATCCAATTTCGTTTTAAAATTCCCTTTGGTATGTACCATTCGTAAGAATTTCTCTGTAAAAAAAAAAAAATTCGAAATTTATCAAAAAAAAATTTTTGATTAATTTTATAATTTAAAATAGATGGTTGCCACAAAAATTTTAGGTACGAATTCAAAAAAAAAAAACTTCCATTAAAAAACATTAATTGGAATTTTATTAAAAATAATTATTTTTTAAGACAAATTTTCATTTCGTGAATTAGCAATTGAAAAAATTTCTTTTTTACACGAATTTTTAATTTAGAAAAAAATTTTAGCTACTGAATTTTCGCCGGAATTTTTATTTTACAAATTAATTTCTTTATATGACTATTTATTGAAAAAAAAAAATTTAAATTGAAGCGAATTTCTATTTAACAGGAATTTAAATTGAAGCGAATTTCTATTTAACAGGAATTTAAATTGAAGCGAATTTCTATTTAACAGGAATTTAAATTGAAGCGAATTTTAATTTAACAGAATTCTCATTCAATCGAATTTTATCTGATTCGAATTTTTTTTAAATTGAAAGAAATTCCAATTCTCTCAACTTTCATTTGTCCGAATTTTTATTTTGATAGTTAATTATGTATTTAAAAATAAAATTAAAAAAAAAAAAAAAAAATTAATTCCAATAAATTACCTTCGGTTTTACAGTTGGAAATTCGAAACTGCCACTTAATAATTTATATTGAATAGCAGCACTATCAGGACGACGATTATTGATAAATGCGTCCCAAATCGATTTGTGAATTGTATTTGACATATTTAAACCAGTTATAGCCACAAAGGCCAAAGGTTTGGCTGTCAATTCCGCTGGCAACTCAAACATTTTCTAGAAAATTAAAAAGAAAAAACAAAATTAAATAATTAGTAGCTAATAATAATAATAATAATACTAATTTTTATTTCAATTTATTATTTTTTTTTAAAAGTTTTTAACAAACTTCTCTACTTTGTTAATTACGAAAAAATTCATTATTCATTTTATTAAAAGAATTTTTTTTTCAATATTAATATTTAATTATTATTATAATATTATTATTATTATTTAATTATTATTATTATTATTATTAAATTACTATTATTATTTACTTATTTATTTATTAATTGTTATTATTTATTTATTATTATTTTGTTTTTTCCTTTTATTATTTTTAATTATTGTTATTATTGTTATTATTATTATTTATTTATTTAATTACAATGTAAAAGTTTATAAATTTGTAAAAAAAAAAATTATCTTTAGTGCAGAAGCACTTAAATAACCAACTAATGTTTATTTATTTTTTTTGTTTTATGTTTTGATTTTTTAATAAAATAAATATCGAAACAATAAATTTAATAATATTCAAGCATCAGGGAATATTTATATATTAATATTATATTTAATATATTTATTAATTTAGATATTAATATATTATTTAAAAATTAAAACTAACAAATCGTGTTTTTTTTTAATTATTTTTTACATTGAAATTTATTTAAATATAAATTTTTCATTTAAAAAAAAAAAATGTTTACAAAAAATTTAAAAATATAAAAAACTCTTTGATTTAAATTTGATCCCTTAATTTAAAGTAAAATTAATTAATTATTTATTAATTATTAATTAATTATTTATTAATTAATTAATTATTTATTAATTATTTATTAAAAATTGTGACTTTAATTACGATTTAAATTATACTTAAATTATTGCAGTAACGATTAAAAAAAAATATTAAATTAAATCGCGGTTTTATAATAAAAACTTCATTTATAATTATTATTATTATTTACAATTATACTTTATAATTAATAACTATAAAATATCAAAAATTTTACATTAAAAATGTTATTTTTGTGTTTTTTATATTTTATTTTATGTACTATATTATTTTTTTATTTTTATAATAATAATAATAATAGTTATTATTATTATTATTAGTTATTATTATTATTTTGTACTAAAAACTCCTTTAAAAAAGTTTATACATTTTAAGGTTATGTTAAAAAAAATCACCAAAAAGAAACAAATGTAATAAATCTATTGTTAAAAAAAAACAATAACCAAATTCTATTCTTTCTAAACAAAAAAAATTGTTCGATATAAATAAACTTGACAATAATCTGTCATTTTTTTCCGATCCTTAAAATTCCAAAATAGTACAATTTTCATAAATACATTTTCTACAATACAAAAAGGTGTCAATTTACCAAAAAAATGTCAAATTTTATAGTAAATACTAAAATAAAAAACAAATTCGAATAAAAAAAATTAAAACAGATAAAATATAGTTATATATGAATAAAAGTGAGAATAAATTATTAAAATAAATGACAACTGGTTGTAAATATATAATTAATTGTAATTTACGAAACTTACATGATTGTAATTTTAATAAACTTAATTTCTTAAATCACAATATAAAAAAAAACACGTACATTTAATGAATTTAATTATATTTTTACATATTTTATTATTTTTTTTACGATTTTTTAATAGAGGACTGAGCAGAAAAAAAGTTTAAAACATATTCATAAGGTTAGAAAATCTGTCACTGTCACCATAATTGTCACAATGCGGAAAATGGACTGAACCGCATAAATGAAAATGAAACGTCAGAATTTGACCGGAAGTCAATGTGTTGTTTACTACAAAAGTGCTACAAAAATAACAAATAACCGTCGCCCGTCATTAAAAATATTTCATTTACCGTGAATTTTTATCAATATTATTGTTAAATTGAAAGAAAAAAAAATAATGGAATTTAAAACACCAAAGAAATTTCAAACACCGGAAAAAGTATTGCCTCCAATTAGAATTCCTCCGTCGCCTTATCTTAAAGAATTAGGTTATGGTTGCGGTATGTTATTGTTTTTATATTCATTTATAGAATATCTTTTTAATATTAATAATTTATAATTTATATTCTCATGTTGGTTAATATTTTTTTTCTAAATTTTCATTGTATGATAAAAAAATTTTCTTAATTTAATCAATTTAGTAGAATTTTCGTAAAATTCTAAAAAAAGAAAGGAGTAGGGGGTGAATTTTACGAATAATAGTTTTATATTTGATGTATTCCACGCCAAAGTGTTAAGTCAATTCAATTATTTAACAAATTTTGAACTAAAATGATTCTTCACTAAATTAATTATTCTTAATAATTTTAATGAAATACATCACAAATTAAATTAAATCAAAATTATTTTTTCAATTAAAATTTTTATGAAATTTAACAATTGTTTATAATTTAAAAAAATATATCACAATAAAATTGAATTATTATTTAAAAATTTCAATTCAAAATAAACTAAAATTCAATTATTATCCGAAATTTTAATTCAAATTCAATTAAAAATCCAATAATTATCAAAAATTTTCAATTTAAAATTTAATTATTTACCAAGTTTTCAATTTAAAAGAAATAAAATTTAATTATTTTCTAAAATTTCTATTCAAAATTTTATTATCCAAATTTTCAATCAAAAATGAACTTAAATTAAATTATTATTCAAAATTTTCAATTAAAATTCAATTATTTCCCAAAATTTTCAATTCAAAATAAACTGAAATTCAATTATTTTGCAAATTTAAAATCAAATAAAATTTCATTATTCTCAAAAAATTTGAATTCAAAATTAATTGAATTTTCAATAATTTGAATTTAAAAGCATCTAAAATTTAATTATTTCTAAAATTTTACATCGAAAATTTTTTTTTTGAAATTTAATAATTTCAATTATAACTCTAAGGAAATTCCATTATTTTTAACTATTTTAATAATATTCTTTGAAAATTCAACTATCTGAAACCATTTTTTAATTAAAAATGATTTTCAAATTATTGTATTTTGTCCGCATAATTTTTACAATATTTTCGGAATTTTTTAAAAATTTTTGAATTTTGAATTTTTAAAAAATATTTTTGTTTTTTTTTTTTTTTAATACGTACTATTATGTATTTTGATGCGCTGATTACGAAAATCATAGTGACAATACCCAAAAATTTTATTTTTATGGTGAAAACCATAAAAAAGTCCCAAAATTTATGATTTTTTTCGTTTATTGGGTAAAAGATGCAAAATTAAAAAAAAAACTTTCATACAAAAGTTATAGATCTTATTAAAATACATTTTTTTTTTTGCATTTTTTTAAATTTTGCATATTTTACCCAATAAACGAAAAAAATTATAAATTTTGGGATTTTTTTTTTATGGTTTTCACCATAAAAATCAAATTTTTGGGTATTATCACTATGATTTTCGTAATCAGCGCATCAAAATACATAAAAGTAGGTAGTATAAAAAAAAACCGAAAATATTTTTAAAAAATTCAAAATTCAAAAATTTTTGAAAAATTCCGAAAATATTGTAAAAATTGTTTGCTCATTATCGGGATAGACTTAAAAGTTTCGTAATAAGAAGTAGTTTTTTGGAAAAAATTTTGAAAAAAATCAGTACGTCAAATGAGAGAAATGACTTTATATCATTAAAACTCAAAAATTATATAATAATAAAATGATTGGTCTGTCCTTCTGTCCTGACTTGAAGTTGGCCTTTTCTGATTTCACGTGTTTTTTTTTGAATAGTAATCTTATGACGTGTCAAATTTTGACAATTCTTTTTCTCATTTTTGCCAAAGTTGTATAATTGTGTTTCCAAATTTCGGAATAAGTTTCTTTAAAATTCCAAATTCGAAAATTCAATTCACGAAGCTCAAGTACACAACGTTTACCAACGAAATTTTTTTTAAACTTGTATATTCATTCAAAAATTGTATACAAATACAAAAAATTTATGATGAGAAAAAATATGCGCCAGGAAATTTCGTACAAAATAGTAATTTGAAAAAAAATTATTTTTAAAAATTAATTTTTAAGGTACCAGGGGCCAACGAATAGCTATTAAATATTAATTATAAAAACACAGGCCTCGAATCAACTTAAAGACACAAAAAAGTTGTTTTAGTCGATTTATATTCCAAAAAAAAGTGAACTTGTTTTTTATTTTAACAAAAATATTTTACAGATTTTTAAATAAAAAATTTTTTTTTTAATAATAATCCTTTTCGAAGAGTTAAAGTTGAAATTTTTAGAAATAATTAAATTTCAAAAGATATTGTTAATTTTCAAACAATTATTAAATTTTACTGAACTAAAAATAATTTATCAAACAATTTTTGGAAAACATTTTTTAAATTTAATTGAATTTTCAAAGATTTGAAATTGAGATTTTTGAAATTAATTGAAACTTTAAGTGATTTTTAATTAAAATTTTAGATGAATTCACTAAAAATTTATTAGAAAATGCGGACAAAATACAATAATTTGAAAATCATTTTTAATTGAAAAATGGTTTCAGATAGTTGAAATTTCAAAGAATATTATGAAAATAGTTAAAAATAATTGAATTTCCTTAGAGTTATAATTGAAATTATTAAATTTCAAAAAAAAAATTTTCGATTGAAAATTTTAGATGCTTTTAAATTCAAATTATTGAAAATTCAATTAATTTTGAATTCAATTTTTTGAGAATAATGAAATTTTATTTGATTTTAAATTTGGAAATTTTTGGGAAATAATTGAATTTTAATTAAAATTTTGGATAATAATTGAATATTAGTTGATTTTCAAACCATAATTTTCAGAAAATAATTCAATTTTAGTTTATTTTGAATTGAATACTTGGAAAATAATTGAATTTTAGTTGATTTTGAATTGAAATTTATGAAACTAATTAAATTGAATTTGAAAATTTTTAAAACAATTGAATTTTAGTTGATTTAGGATTGAAAATTTTGAAAATAATTAAATTTCAGTTGAAATTTGGAAAATAATTGAATTGTAGTTTATTGTGAATTGAAATTTTTGAAAATAATTGAATTTTAGTTGACTTTGAATTGAAAATTTTGAAAATAATTGAATTTCAGTTCATTTTGAATTGAAAATTTTGTGAAATAATTGAATTTTAATTGAAATTTTAGATAATAATTTAATTTAAGTTCATTTTTGATTGAAAATTTGGATAATTAATTTTGAGTAGAATTTTTAGAAAATTATTGAATTTTATTTCATTTTAAATTGAAAACTTGGTAAATAATTAAATTTTAAATTGAAAATTTTTGATAATTATTGGATGTTTAATTGATTTTGAATTAAAATTTCGGGTAATAATTGAATTTTAGTTTATTTTGAATTTAAATTTTTAAAAAATAATTCAATTTTATTGTGATATTTTTTTTTTTAAATTATAAACAATTGTTTAATTTCATAAAAATTTTAATTGAAAAATAATTTTGATATATGTAATTGAATTTGTGATGTATTTCATTAAAATTATTAAAAATAATTAATTTAGTGGAGAATCATTTTAGTTCAAAATTTGTTAAATAATTGAATTGAAGAAGATTTGAAGAAGATCTACATTTTATATTAAAAAAATGTATTTTATTTACATATTTTTTCAAATGTAAAAAAAATGTCTCATTTTATTAAAATAAGTCGATAAAAGTCGTATTTTTGAAAAAAGTCGGAAAAAGTCGTATAACCCGAGGCCTGTAAACATATAATTTTCATTATTATCATTTAATATGTAATAATATTCTAATAAATTAAATTATTATTGATAATATTAATCTTTAATTTCTTTATAACAAACAATTAAATACTCAATTTGGCGCGAATGCGCGCGTTTAATTTTGCTAGTTTGATAGTAATATCGTTTAAAAAAAAATGTAGATTTTTTTTTGTTGAAAAGTACGTTTAAAAACACACATTTTGCAAAAAAAAAGGACTTTTAAAATTGATGCATTTTTAAGGAATTTATGAGATTTAAAAAATTAAAAGTCATGAAAATTCTCCAAATTTTCAAAATTCCATAACTCGAAAACGGCTTGTTAAAAAAATTTCGAAAAAATTCATGGAAGCTAGTCTCAAATTAGTACTAAAAGAAAAAAAAAATCTCAAAAAAATCGGTGATGCAATTGCAGATGGTCTTAACACTTTGGCGTGAAATACATTATTTATTTATTTATTCAAAATACTATAAATAATATTTATTTAGATAATTAATTATATCTATTTTGTTACAAAATTCTGGAACGAAATATAATTTTTTTTAAAAATATATTTTAAAAGAAGGAGAATTTAATTTATTTTTCAGGAGTAAAAGTTTTTACATTGGAGAGATCTCCGAAAGTTGGATGTATTAGATCGCCTTGGGCAGTTAAAAAAATTAATAAAGTTGTCAAGGATCCAAAATACAATAAACGAATTCGTGATGAAGCTTCAATACTTTGTAAATTAAATCATCCAAATATTATTGGTTTTCGGGGATTTACAAAAGGAAATATTGGAGAGCCATGTTTGGTTATGGAAAAACTTGACTCGTCTCTAGGTAAATATTTAATTATTAATTTCAAAGAAGAAAAAAAAAATTAATTTCCGTGTGAAAAATAATTTATTAGTTAGAAAATAATTTTTTTAATTAATAAATTAAATTTTTGTTTTTTAATTCCCTAAGATTCTATTAATTTAGAAATTACAAAATTACATTACAAATTTTTATATTTTCTATTTTCGATTTTTTTTTCAAAATTATTCAGGCAAAATTTCAAATTCTAAATGAAAAAAAAAAAATAGTTACAGCATTTATTGATTAAAATTTTTGAATTTATTAAAAAAATGTTCATCGATTTTCTTTTTGTAAATTATTTAGGTAAAATTTTAAATTCTAAATTCAAAAAAAATTATTTGAAGTATTTATTGATTATAATTGTAATCGCTCTTCTAATTCAAATTAATTATCAATTCAATTAATGGAAAATTTAATTGAATTCAATTTGAATTTTTTTTGCAAATTTTAATTCATTCTTTCGATAAATTGCATTTTACTCGATCAAATTAAAATGTGAATTAATTAATTTAATTGGAAAATTAATGCGCTTCTATAAATATTAATTGATTAGAATTCATTATAATTAAATTAATTTAATTTTTAATCTAATTAAACAGGAGACATGATTGAAGAAAGAGATGGAGAATTATTTGCGGCAAAAGAAATTTTAAGAATTGGTTATGAAATTGCAAAAGGACTTGAATATTTACATCATACTGCATTTATTTTACATGGCGATATAAAAAGTTACAATGTTCTTGTTTCGTTTGATTATAAAATTGTGAAATTATGCGATTTTGGAGTTTCCCTTTGTCTCAATAAAGACACATTAGAAATTGATAAGAAAAAAGGAAATGAACATTACACTGGCACTGAATGTTGGAATGCTCCTGAAATTCTTTCAGGTATAAATTTTTATATTCTACATTTAAAAAAAAAAAATTAATTTATTTATTTACATTCTATTTTAATTAATTTTTAATTTAATTTATTTTCTTTACTTCATTAGGTCTCGAATTAAACGAATTTTAAAAATTAAAATAAAAATATCTACTAAAATTCAATTATTCTCTGAAGTTTGTAAAAAAAAAAATTTATAATTTAAATCATAATTTACGAAAATTTTCAATTTAAAATCTGAAAATTAATTATTTTTGCAAATTTTGAATCAAACTATTCTAAAAATTAAATTTTTTTTTCTAAAATTTTCTTCGCTACATTTAATTATTTCTAATATCTTTTATCAGAATTTTCTGAAAATTTTGTTATTTAAACAATTTTTTCAAATACAAATTTTTCTAAAATTCAGTTATTGTCTGAATCTTATAAAAAAAAATATTCAGCAATTTAAATTTACGAAAATTTTGATTAAAAATCTCCTGAAATTCAATTGTTTACAACAAAATTTGTAATTGGCAACTATTTTAAAATTTAATTTTTCAAATTTTTAACTTAAATTCTTTATTGAATTAATTATTTCCAATAACTTTAATCAGTTTTGGAAAATTCGATTAATTAACACATTTTTCAATTAAAATTTTTTTTATTTAAATCAATTATCTTCTGAATTTTGTAAAAAAATCTTCCTCAATTCAAATTTACTAAAATTCTTTTTTGTATATCTCCTGAAATTTTAATTATTTCTGAAAAACTTAAATATATTTCTTTCAAATTTGATTAATTCCAAAATTTGTATCGAAAATTCTTCGCTAAATTAATTATTTGATTTTAATTCATTTTTTCAAAAATTCAAATTTTTTATTAAAAATTCTATAAAATTCAATTCCTATTTAAAATTTTGTAAATAATTTTCAGCGATTCAAATTTACAATTTCAATTAATAAATTAATTTTTTTCAATAATATTTCAATTGAATTTTAGTTGATTTTGAAATGAAAATTTTGAAAATAATTGAATTTTAGTTGATTTTAAATTGAAATTTTTGAAAATAATTTGATGTTTAATTGAATTTGAATTTAAATTTTGAAAAATAATTGAATATTAATTGATTATGAATTGAAAATTTTAAAAATTATTGATTTTGAATTCAAATTTTTGATAATAATTGATTTTCAATTGAAATTTTTGCTAATAATTAAATTTGTGGAAAATTAATTTTAAAATAAGTTTAAAAAAAAAAATAAAAAGCGTTTATTTATTAGATGTATGCAATTCAAATTTTTATAAAACATTGAAAATGACATTTAAAAAAAAAAATTAATAACTATACTGGGAAAATCTCTTCTTTAAATCTCACTTTTCTCTATAAATTTATCAACTTTTAAAAAATTTGGAAAAAAATTTTTGGTTTCTATACTTTCTATGTTTTAAGATTTTTTTTTTATTCAAAATTTTCACCGGTAGTGTAATTTAAAACAACTTTAAAGTATTTTGGTTAAGGAAAAAATTTTTACCCTATTTTTCCTAGTTTTTTTAAAGAAAATTTACCCAATTCCCCCTTTTTTTTAGCAAATTTTATTCTGTGAAGCCTGTATTGTATTTATTTCAGTAATTTTATCAAATTATTATTTTATTATTTGTTATTTTATTATTTATTTATTTTTTCTTTATAATTTGTTTATTATTTACTATTTTATTATTTATTATTTATTATTATTAGTTAATTTTTATTAATTAATTTTTTGTATAAATTAAATTCTGTAATAATTGTTAATTCATGTGTTTTCTTTTTTTTTTTTTGAAAATAGAGGAAGGGCCAGTGACAAATAAAGCCGATATGTGGGCCTACGGTCTTGTTCTTTACGAAATGATGGCTCTTACTCCGCCACATTTGGATTCCGTTTGTACAATGTCCGACATAATGAAAGAAATAATGACCGACGAAAATAATGACGAAAATGACGATATAAATTCAATGGACGTTAGTTATTCTTCTGAGCACGATACAACAATTTCTGGACCTGGTAAGAAAGAAAAAACTGTTTTTTTTTCTTTTTTGTTTCCTTTAATTCTATTTGAATTTTGTTTCTTCTTCTTATTAATTTACATTTCATTTACTTTTCTTCAATTAATTTATTTTATTTATTTTTTTACTATTTCCAAATAAAAGCAAATAAATTATTTTTGAATTCTTTTCATTAATTTACGTTTTAATTATTCCATTCACTTTTTTTCTTTTAATTTTTTGAATAATTTGTTGTTTTCAAATTAATAAAATAAATTGTTTTTGAATTCTTTTATTTGATTTCATTTATTATTCAATTCTCTTTTCTTCTAGTAATTTATTTTATTTATAAAAATACAGAGGCTCAGAATTTATTTGTTTTCTGTTTTTTTTTTTTTTTTTTTTTTATTAGGTACACGACCACTTTTGCCAGCCACTTTTGCAAGCGAAGGTTACAATCAGGTACTGGAAATATTTTCCGTTTGCACCGAGGATGAATATAAAAAACGACCGAGCGCAAAAGGTGTCGTTCGATTCTTTAAAACAGCCATTTTTCCAGAGAAAAAAACTTAAATTTTTCTTTTTTTTTTTTTGAGAATTTATTTTTGCTTCATTTTTTTTTTTTTATTTGAGAATTTATTTTTTTCATTAAAAATAAACGGCAATCAAAATTAAAATTATGATTATCGCAATGAGAATGCAAACTATTTTTATTTTCCTCTGAAAAAGAGAGAAATAATTATTATTAATTATAATAACAAAATTATAAATAAAAGAAGAGAACAAATTTAAAAAGAAATGAAAAGAAGAAAAAGGAGTTTTATAAGAGAAAAAAAAAATTAAGGAAAAATGAAGAGAAATAAAAAAAGGTAGGAGAAAAATGCAAAAAAAAAATTACTATTTTACCTTTCTGAGTCTTGCGCTCTTTTTTTTCGCTTTTTTAAGATCTTGACCACCACTATCAATGTTATCCATTGTTTTACCCGCGAAAAATTCGACATTATTTATTTGTTCTCCCTGAAAATTTAACAATGTTACATTAATAACAAATATTACGTTTTTTTAAAAATGATTTTCGTTTTAAAAAAAAAAAAAAAATTGATTTTTACCTGCTCTTGAATTAAAAATGCAACATCGACAAACAAATCTCGAATTTCTGTTATTGATTTTTCCAATTTTTTCACTTCTTTGTGCCTTGTTTCCATATCTGATAGTTGTTGTTTTGTTATTTGAATATCGACTAAAATCTGTAATGATATAAAGTTTCTTTTTTTTTTTTTTTTGCCAAAAAAGAAGCGCATGAATTCCCCATAAAAATTAATAATTAAAATTTTTATTTTAAAATATCTATTTTCTTAAAAATAATTATTTTTTAAACAAATTTTCAGTTTTTAAATTCAAATTTAATGGATTTTCTCTTTTTTATACGAATTTTTATTTAACAAAATATTTAGCAGAATTTTTATTTTACATGAATTTTAATTTAATCGAATTTTAATTTAACAGAATTCTCATTCAATTGAATTTTATGTGATTCAAATTTTTAAATTGATAGTAAATTCCAATTTTTAGAATTTTCATTTATCTGAATTTTTATTTGTACAAATTTTTAATTAATAGAATTTTTTATTTGTTCGAAATTAGAAAAAAAATATTAGGATTCAATTATTTTCTAATTTTAATTATTTTTTAAAATTCAATTTTATTTTCGAGAATTCTATTATTTTCTAAATTCAATTATTTTTAGAATTCAATTATTTTCTAATTTTAATTATTTTTTTAAATTCAATTTTATTTTCGAGAATTCTGTTATTTTCTAAATTCAATTATTTTCTAATTTTAATTATTTTTTAAATTCAATTTTATTTTCGAGAATTCTGTTATTTTCTAAATTCAATTATTTTTAGAATTCAATTATTTTTTAATTTTAATTATTTTGTTAATTTGCAGCTAAAGTAAATGAATTGATTATATTCATTTTAAAAGAATTGAAATTTTTCCCAAAAATATTAAAAAAAAATTGAATTGAATTTGTAAAATAATTGAATTTAAAAAAAATTTTTTTTTTTTGCTAAACGTTATTAAGAATGAATTTAATATGAATAAATGAAACAAATTATGTAAAAATGCGTATAAAAAAAAAAAAAAAAAAAATTCTATTAAAAATGCGCGAAAATTTGAAAAATTAAAAATATAAAAGAAAATAAAAATGAAAATTTGTTTAAGAAAATAATTTTTACTAATAAAATTTTTTAAAATAAAAATTCTAATAATTTTATGGAATAATGCGCTTCAATTTGTTTCTTTTTTTTTTTTTTTTTTTTTTTTGTGTAAAAAGATAAATATTAATTATTGCAAATACTAACATTATCGACAAAAAGACTCGTTTCTTGTGCCTCCAATAATTCTTCAAATTCTGCACTCGTAATTTGTCTACGAACTGAAATTTAATAATTTAATAATTTAAATTTAATAATTTATTAATTTAAATTTAATAATTTAATAATTAAATAATTTAAATTTAATAATTTAATAATTAAATAATTTAAATTTAATAATTTATTAATTTAAATTCAATAATTTAATAATTAAATAATTTAATAATTAAATAATTTAAATTTAATAATTTATTAATTTAAATTTAATAATATAAAATTAAATAATTAATTTAATTAAATTTATAATAATTTTTTAATTTTTTAAAAATATTTTTAGTTTTTGCAAGCAATTGTTCTTTTTTTTCATTTTTGACCTACTCAAGAGTCTTTGTTGCTGCAATAGAGACGTGCATTTTTCGTGATATTTGAGTAATGTTTCATTATAATCTTGAATAATGTCTGAATAAAGTTTTAGCATTGTTGTATATTGAAGAATTTTTATTCTTTTATGAGCCGGACCATCAGCTGCACTTACTATAGTGAGATCATCGATTTTTGTCGTTTGCTTTCCCATTTCTGTGAACAAAAAATATATATATATATAAATAAATAAAAACAGAAATTAATTGTATTTTTTCAAAATTTTTATAATTGACGTAAATTTTTATATAAAAATATACGAAATATTAATTTAAAATCGAAAATTAGAAATAAAAGCAGTTTTTTAAATTTATATTTCGTAAATTTTCCAAATTTTACTCAAAGAATTAGCATTTTTATTTTTTTATTTTTTTTTTATTATATTTTATTATTTATGATTTTTATTTTATTTTTTATTATATTTGTTTATATATCTGGTTTTTTGTTTTATTTTTTTATTATATTTTATTCTATATCTGTTTTTTAATTTAATTTTATTTATTTTTTTATATCTTATATTTTATTATATAATTTTTTTTTTATTAGTATTGAATATTTAAACTAATTTTGATTTCAAATTTCCCGCATTAATAACACGAACTTCCGGTTCGTGTTCTGAAAAATCTTACCATTGCGTTTGCGCAGTAGCGACGGCGCGATTTCTGTTGTTTTCGCGCCATTGTGTGATGTTAACAGTTAACTTTTACATATATGAGATAATAAAAAAAGTATATATGATAAAAAGAAGTGCACGTGTAACAAAAAAAATATTTATATGTATAAATCAAAAGTAAAATGGAGCGTTTTGAAATATTTGAAAAATTTAAATTAAATAATTTAAATTCCAAATGGATTGATAAAATATGGGATGAGGAATTTTTAACATTCATTGATTTTCCACGCGATTATTATTCATTTATAAAAGAAGAAAATTTGGAACATTTATTAATGCAAACATGTCGAATAATTAAATTGTGGATAACGGAAAATAACAGTGAATATGAAGTGAAATGGCAAACATTAAATTCAACAGGAATTAATGTTCGTGGTTTGCTTGCGTTTTTAGGTTATATTATGAAAATCGGACAGAAAATTGGTGCTAGTGAAGAATTACGACAATGTTGTCTCAGGGCGTGTAGTTTATATTTTATGCTTCTTGCCGTTCCTGGAAGTACTGTTTATCAAGTGTTTCATCCTAATTTATATCACAGGTAATTATATATTTAAAAATTTAATTTGTAATTTTTAGGTTATGTTTGTTTGTTTTGATTTCGCATTCTTTCATGTTTACATTTTTTTTCTTTTACGAATACAATTCGAAAAATTCAAAAAAAGTAGATAGTGAAAAATTTTGAATTTAATAAAAATTGGTTAAAAAAAAAAAATTGTTCATTAGTATTGCCTCGGATTTTACGACTTTTTTCGATGTTTGTTTTATCAATTTTTTTTTTTACTTATTTTTATAATAAAAGTAAAAAGAAATTCTGTTAAATTTAAATTTTAATTAAAATTTAGAAAAATTTAAAATTCGGATAGTTTGGAAATTGTATTTAAATTAAAATATTATTGAAAAAAAGAAGAAATTAATTTTAAATGAAAATTTGTCAAATTATTTGAATTTTCGATTTTTAATTAAAATTTTAAAAATAATTAAATTTGTAAGAGTTTGATTTAGAATTTTTTTTTTAGAAATAATTGAATTTTAGGAGATTTTCAATTGAAATAAAAAATAATAAAAATTTTTATGGAGTTAAAGTTGTGATTTTTAGAAATAATATAGAATTTTTTCAAATTTCAAAAATTAAAATTTTATTGTAAATATAAGCATTAATTAAAAAACGATTTAAATATAATTGAATTCTTAGAAAATTTTGATTAAAAACTGTTGAAAACAATTAATTAAACAAAAAATTATATAGATAAAAATTTTGGGAAAAAAATTTTATAATTTAAAAGTTTCAGAAATTTTCCCGAATTTTTGAAAAACTGTATTAAAGTAATTTAAATAAAATTAATTTAGCGAAGAATTTAAAATAAATTTTTTTAGAAATAATTGAATTATAGAGAATTTTCAAAATGAAAAATGTTTTAAAAAAAATTGAATTTTCGTTTTTTGAAATTTTCAATGAAAATTTTAATAAATTAGAATTATTAAAATTTTTTAAAAAATCATATAAATAAAAATTTAATTTTAATGAATTAATAATAAAGAAATCGTTTTATGTAATTGAATTTTTGAAAAACTTGATTAAAGTTATTAATAAAAATAATTAAGCAAAAATGAAATTAAAAATTTCTATTTTATAAAATTAATCCATAAATAACAATAATAAAAATTACTAATTTGAAACAGAAAAAAATTCATTAATCCGGATATGATCTAGTGGGAAAAATACCTATTTTGTAAAATTAATACAAAAATAACAACAACAAAAAAAAAATGTTTTGATAAATTTAAATTTAAAATTTTGTCAAATAATTTAATTTTAGTTGATTTTCAATTGAAAATTATAAAAATAATTGAATTTAAGTTAATTTTGAATTAAAATTTAGGAAATTAATTGAATTTTAGTTGATTTTGAATTGAAAATTTTGAAAATAATTGAATCTCAATTAAAATTTTGGAAAATAATTGAATTTTACTTAATTTTGAATTGAAATTTTTGAAAATAATTGAATTTTAGTTGATTTTGAATTGAAAATGTTGTTAATTTCAATTGAAATTCAATAATGTTCAAAAATTTCTATTCTAAATCAATTAAAAAAAAAATTTAATTTAATTTTACTTTGAATTGAAAATAATTAAATTTAAATTGAAAATTTTGATAAAAATTGAATTTTGGTTGATTTTGGATTGAAAATTTTGATAATAATTGAATTTTAGTTGATTTTGGATTAAAAATTTTGATAATAATTGAATTTTAGTTGATTTTGGATTGAAAAATTTGAAAATAAATAAATAATTTAATTTATCAAAAATTCAATAATTTTTCAAAATTCCAAGTTTTGATATATTTAATTAAAAATTTTAGAAAATAATTGAATTTTCGTTTATTTTGATTTGAAAATTTTGAAAAGAATTGAATTTCAATTGAAATTATAGCAAATAATTAAATTTTAATTGATTTTGAATTTAAATTTTGAAAAAAAAATTTGAATTTTAGTTTATTTTTATTGAAAATTTTGAAAAATAATTTATTTTCATTTGATTTAGAATTGAAAATTTTGAAAATAACTGAATTTTAAGTAGATTTTGAAATAATTTATTTGTAAATAATAAAATATTTATTAATTTTGAATTGAAAATTTAGAAAAAAATTTAATTTAATTTTATTTTGAATTGAAAATAATTAAATTTAAATTGAAAATTTTGATAAAAATTGAATTTTGGTTGATTTTGGATTGAAAAGTTTGATAATAATTGAATTTTAGTTGATTTTGGATTGAAAATTTTGATAATATTTGAATTTTAGTTGATTTTGGATTGAAAATTTTGAAAATAATTGAATTTTAGTTGATTTTGGATTGAAAATTTTGAAAATAATTAATTTTGAATTGAAATTTTGGCTAATTATTAAATTTTAATTGATTTTGAATTGAAATTTTGGGTAATAATAGAAATTTTAGTTGATTTTGAATTGAAATTTTTGAAAATAATTCAATTTCAATTGATTTTGAACGGAAATTTTTGAAAATAATTCAATTTTATTTATTTATTTATTTAATACATTCCCCGCAGTCCTTAATTGAAATTGAATTGAAATTTTTGAAAATAATTCAATTTTAGTTGATTTTAAAATGGACTTTCTGAAAATAATTGAATTTTAGTTGATTTTGAATTGAAAATTTTGAAAATAATTAAATTTCAATTGAAATTATAGCAAATAATTAAATTTTAATTGATTTTGAATTTAAGTTTTGGAATATAATTGAATTTTAGCAGATTTTGAATTGATAATTATGGAAAATTATTGGATTTTTAGTTGATTTTTATTGAAAATTTTGTAAAATAATTTATTTTTATTTGATTTTGAATTGAAAATTTTTGATAATAATTGAATTTTAATTGATTTTTGAAATTAAAATTCAATTAATTAAAAATTCTATTAAATGATTTTGTGGTTAATTAAATATTCAGCAGAAAAATTGCATTTATGGAAATTCAATCAAATAATAATTCGAACAAGTGAAAATAATTCATTTGAAAGGATTAAAAATTGAAAATTCTATGCAATGAAATTTTACCCAATAAAAATTCTTTAAAATGTTCTATTACGTTAAATGAAAATTCGAGCAAATAAAAATTGTGACAAATAAAAATTCGAATAAATAAAAATTCAGTGAAGTGAATTTTCGGTTATTGAAAAATTCTGTAATATCGAAAAAATCGTTTTGATGAAAATTCTTCAAAATACGAATTCTGCAAAATTAAAAATTCGGCTCAAAAATAATTATGACTAATGAAATTTTCATAAAATGAAAATTCTAACTAATTTATTTTTATAACATAATCATGCTTCAAAAAAAAAAAAAAAAAAATCGTACAATCCGAGGTCTATTATTGAAAAACCTCTTGAAATATTTTCATTAGAGTGAGGAAGAAAAAATTTTAATTTTCACCAGAAATCAGGGAAAAACAAAATAATATTTTTGTGTCCACCCTGAATTAATAAAACTGAAATAATTATACTTAATTTAATTAATGGAAATTTTTAATTTAATTAATTAAATTGAAATTTTACTGAGAAAAAAGTGACAAAATTCCTTTTTTTTTTTTCTTTTATTTCAGAGCAATAGATTCATTTAAATTGGCAAATTTACTGACACCTGCATCAAAAAAAGTGAACAAAACAATGGACCTAGAAGAATTATACTACAACGAAGATGAATCAATTGAAAGTCTCTCTCACTCGGAACAAGTGACATTAATAAAATCTCTAAATTGCATAATGTTTGATTTAATAACAATGTTAAAAACATTTTTTATGAAAGACAAACCCGAAACACTCAACATCACTGTTCAATCATTGGTGGAATGCTCAAAACTTGAGACAAGCGTCAATCATTTTCATACGCCTAAAAAAACAAAAGACGCAACACTCACATCATTATCGTATAATTCTTATATGGCACTACAAGAATTATGTGATTTAAATCATGGTTCAGTGAATTTAACAATACAACTTATTGCCAAATATTATTTACCACTTTTAATGGCAACATACACAGAATTACCACAAAGATCATTAATGATTGTTCAAGATACTTCAATACGTTTTTTTCAAAATTTATTAACAATAAAAACAATTGAGGCAGAAAATGGAATTTTAATTCTTATTCAACATTTAATGATGAATTATCCCGAACGATTGGAGGCAAGACAAAAACAAGCGTCTGTTGTGGCAAAATTAATAAATATTTCTCATGGTCAACTTTATTTGAAAATAATTGAGAATTTAATTTTATTCTCGTATCATAATAAAATTACATGTAGAATATTTGCACAGGAAATAATTTCAAAATGTTTATCGGAAATTGTTGTTGATATTGATGATTTGGATCGATTGAAAGCGAAAAGAATTCTTATTTCGGCAACGTTAGGACGATGCGTTGATTCATCAAGTTTGGTAAGATTTTTTTTTTTAAATTTTCTTTTCCATTTTTTGATTATTTTTAATTTATTATTTATTTTTTATTTTATTTAGAATATTTTTTTGTTATTTTATTTATTTTCTATTTCAGTTATTTATTTATTTTTTATTTTAGTTATTTATTTTCGTTAATAATAATCCTAATGAGAAATTTAATACTAACAGGATTAGGATTGTGACTTTTTCAATTTTTCACAATTTTTTTTTTTAAATATGCGATTTTTTTCCATTTTGATAAGTTGCGAATTCTTTGAATTTTTTTTTCAACATTTAAAAAAAAATTTTTTTTTTTTTTTTAAATAAAATATGTCTTTTCTTTTATTATAGAATGCAAAAATATTCTTCAAATCTTCTTTATTTCAATTATTTAACAAATTTTTAACTAAAATTCTTCTCTTTATTAATTATTTTCAATAATTTTTTTTTAATGAAATTCTTGAGAATTATTTTAAACTTATTTTTCAAATTAAAAATTATATAAACTACAATAATTGTTTGAAAATTAAAAAAAAAGTCAGCAAATAATATTAATCAAAATTTCAATAAAAAAAAATCACTTGACGTTTAATTATTTTAAAAAAATTTATGTAAATCTTTCATAATTCAATTATTTTACAAAATATTATTTATAATTTAGTCGCAAACTTACTTTTTTTTTCTCGAAAAATTTCAATGAAAATTAGGAAATCATTCAGTTATTTGACAAACAGTTTTTTTCTTTTTTTTTTTTTTTTAAATCGAATTTGTGTCCAAAATTTCAATTTTAATCTGTATTAAAAATTTAATTATTTATAAAAAAATTTTATTTCAATTTAGAGAAAAACAAAATTGAATTTTCAAAAATAATATTCAAAATCAGTTATTTTCAAAATTACAATTCAAATTAAATTATTTTTGACAATTTCAATTAAAAACAAATTAAATATTAAATTATTTTCAAAAATTTTAATTTAAAATTCAATTATTTTCTAAAATTTTAATTCAAAATCAATTAAAATTCAATTACTTTCGAAAATTTCAATTGAAATTCAATTATTTTCAAGATTTTCAACTCAAAATTAATAAAAATTCACTTATTTTCCAAACTTTCAATTCAAAATTAGTTAAAATTCAATTATGTTCAAAAATTTCAAATCGAAATCCATTGAAATTCAATTTTTTGCATAATTTTCAACTCAAATTCAACAAAAATTCACTTAATTTCGAAAATTTTAATTCAAAATCAACTAAAATTAAATTATTTTTTGAATTTTAAATTCAAAATCAACTAAAATTGAATTATTTTCCAAAATTTCAATTGAAATAAAATTATTTTTGAAAATTCCAAATCCATTAAAATTCAATTTTATGCAAAATTTCTATTAAAATTCAATTATTTGCAAAATTTTTAACTCAAAATCATAAAAAATTCACTTAATTTCCAAAATTTCAATTCAAAATTAATTAAAATTCAATTATTTTCTAAAATTTTAATTCGGAATTAATTGAAACTTAATTATTTTCGGAATTTTCAATTCAAAATCAAGTAAAATTAAATTATTTTCTAAAATTTCAATTTAAAATCAACTTAAATTAAATTGTTATGTAAAATTTTAATTTAAAATCAATTAAATATCCAATTAATTCTAAAAATTTTTAGTTCAAAATCTATTAAAATTCAATTTTTTGCAGAATTTTAATTAAAATTTAATTATTTGCAAAATTTCCAACTCAAAATCATTAAAAATATATTTATTTTCCAAAATTTCAATTCAAATTTAATTAAAATTCAATTATTTTCTAAAATTTTAATTCAAAATTAATTGAAATTTAATTATTTTCATAATTTTCAACTCAAAATCAACATAAATTCACTTGTTTTCCAAAATTTAAATTCTAAATTAATGAAAATTCCATTATTTTCTAAAATTTTAATTTATGAGCTTCTAATAATTAATTATTTCTAAATTTTTATGAAATTTAATAATTTTAATTATAATTTTTATAAAATTTAATTATTTTTAAAAATATTTTCAAAAATTTTTCCTGTTTGAAACCATTTTTTTGCTTAAAAAGTTTTCAAATTATTGTATTTTTTTCTGCAATTTCTAATAAATTGTTTTTAGTGAAATCAACAAAAATTTAAAATTAAAATCATCTGAAGTTCAATTAATTTCAAAAATCAAAATTGTAAATCTTTGAAAATTCAATTATATTTTTAAAAAATGTTATCTAAAATTATTTAATAAATTATTTTTAGTTCTGTAAAATTTAATTATTTTCTGAAAATTTACACTAATCTTTTGAAATTCAATTATATTTCTAAAAATTTCAACCCTTTTCCAAAATTATTATTATTTAAAAAAAATTTTTATTTAAAAATCTGTAAAACTTGATTAAATATTTGCCTGAAATTTTTATCGACCATTAAAATTAATAAAACTATGACAAAAATTTTAAAAATTTTGAATAAATTTCTTAAATTAGATTTGAAAAAATTATAAAAATCGAACTTTAAGAATTTTTTTTTTTTTTAGAAATTTGTCCTACTTAAATAAAAATTTGAAAATTTTTCTTTTTGAGTTCGATTATGAAATAGAAATAAATTTTTTTGATAATATTCATTATAGAATTATTTTCATTACAGAATTAATAAAATGAATTTAATATCTAATAATATTAGTTATTTAAAGTAAAGTATTTCATTAACCAATTAAATTTTTTTTTTTGAAATATAAATCGAACTTTTATTTGTACCTGAAAGTCAATTCGAGGCCTGTTTATTTTATTTATTTTTCCTTTTTTTTTTTAGTTTCTTCATTTTATTTATTTATTTTTGCTTTTATTCATTTTATTTATTTATTTTTGCTTTTATTCATTTTATTTATTTAATTTTGCTTTTATTCATTATAATTATTTATTTATGCTTTTATTCATTATAATTATTTAATTTTGCTTTTATTCATTTTATTTATTTAAATTTTACTTCTATAAATTTTTTATATATTTTCATTAATTTTTTTTCTTCTAAATTCAAATTTTCAGGTACGAGGTCGAGCAATGGCAATAATTTCAAATTGCACCGAATTTGAAAGTCCCAATAGAATAATAATTCAAGATTTATTTGACGATACAAGAGACAACGATATATTCCCACCGACAATTGAACAATTGTCAAATGCAATTTTCAATGATAATAATCCACTGCCAAGTGGAACAAAAATTTATTCAATGCTAATGGATCGTCTCGAAGATGAAAGAGCCTTAGTACGTCGTAGTGCATTGCAAATATTTCGCAATATTGCCAATTTATTCCCCCAAACAATTGAACAAATATTTCTATCAATTGGCCTACGTTGTCGTGATCCAACATTAATTGTTCGTTGTTTTTCAATTCAAGTTCTCACTTATCTTCTTCTTGAAAATATTGAAAATTCCCCACTCATCACTCATTGGATACGTTTTGTATTGCCTCAAGTTTATGATTTAGAGCCAAAAGTACAAGAAAAAGTACTCGATTCATTGGAAACATTGATATTAAATAAAATAACAATTTTTAATGAGAATAATGAAAATTTACCATGGTTAATTATTGAACAATTATTAAAAGAAAAAATGAGAAAACATTTATCAAAGGCTTGTGAACTTTGGAAAAAATCGGAAATTTTAAATAAATCATTGATAATAAAAGTTAAAAGTCATATTGAAACGAAAAATAATAATTCCGCATGGGCATTATTGGCGGCATTATCTGAAAATATACAATTAAAATTTATGGATAATTATTTTATGGATTATCGTTTACTTCTTCAGGGACGGGATTTTTGTGCAAGATTAAAATTAGAAGTTTTAAGAAATTCATGGCCTTTAATGAATGAAAATTTTTTACATCAATTTTTCGATGATTTACATTCGAGTCTTTGTAAATTTGAAGTGAATTTAGTGTTAATTAGTATTTGTTTTGATATGCTAATTGGAATTGGAAAAAAACTTCAACAAGAAATAGAAAAAAAAATGTGTGAATTAATGAAATTATGTGAAATACAAATTGAAAAATTATTTGGTAACGATAAAGAAGAGGCATTGGATGCTGAATTTATTTATGTTAAAGCAATGTGTACATTGGGACATGCGGCATTTCTTTGCAGTGAAAAAGTGTCATTATCAACAATTCGTACATTACAGGGATTAATTTTAGAATGGAAAAATATTCCACAATTGTTGCAAGTAAAAAAAGAATTACAAGTTACTGCCATTGTATTATTGGGACAATTGTCGATGCGCGATCGTGAAATTGCTGAGGAGACAATGCCAATATTTGGTAAACTAATGTCAAAAGAAATTGATATAAAAGAGGAAAATGAATCGTGTAATAAAATTAATTCAGCAAAAACATTAGCTGATCTTTGTATACAATATACAGCGTTAGTGGAATCATATTTGCCTGATATGTGTGTGAGTATGAAGGATCCAAATCCAAAAGTAAGAGAAGTAATTGTCGTGATATTTATTCAATTGTTGCTGGAGGATTTTATTAAAATTAAAGGACCATTCTTCTTTCATATTTTAACAATGTTAACCGATGACGATGAGACAATAAGAGAGTTGACTATTTTTTTAATCAAGGAACGTCTTTTGTCGAAAAATAAAACACTTGTCTCGCAACAATTTATTAAAAGTATTTTTCACTACAATAATTGTCAGGTAAAGTATGGAATTTTTATTTAAATTTCAAAAAAAATTTTATTTTTTAGTTTTTAAAATCGGAATTGCCACAAAGTCAAATGGAAATTAGGGGAAATTTTTTTGTTTAATTAGGAAAATTTTAGAGAATTTAAAAAAATATTTATAAGAAATTATTTTTTTTGATGAATTTTTCATTTTTTGAATTAGAATTAGATGGAATTTTATTTTTATAGGATTTTATTTTTATTTTTTTTTTATATTTTAATTAACAAAATTTTTAGCTAATAAATTTTTAACAGAATTTTTATTTTACAGTTATTTTCTTTACATATGACTTTTTATTTAAAAGAATTTTAATTTTAGCGAATTTTAATTTAACAGAATTGAAATCTTAAATAAAATGGAATTTTTAAATTTATTTATTTATTTATTTATTTATTGAAAGTATACAGGTAAAACCCATTCGTACAAAGTACTATACAAAAGGAATTGTATGAATTAAAAAAGAATTGAATTTCAATTCTAAATCAATTTAATATCCAATTATTTTCAAAAATTTCAATTTAATATCAACTAAAATTAAATTATTTTCCAAAATTTTCAATTCTAAATCAACTAAAATTCATTTATTTTCCAAAATTTTCAATTCTAAATCAACTAAAATTCAATTATTTTTAAAATTTTCAATTCAAAATCAACTACAATTTAATTACTTTTAAAATTTTCATTTCAAATCAACTAAAATTTAATTATTTAAAAAATTTTCAATTCAAAATCAACTAAGATTCAATTATTTTCAATATTTTCAATTCTGAATCAAATAAAATTCAATTATTTTCCAAAATTTTCAATACAAAATCATCTAAAATTCAATTATTTAAAAAAATTTTAAATCATAATCATCTGAAATTCTATTATTTAAAAATTTTTTAATTCAAAATCAACTAAAAATCAATAATTTTCAAAATTTTTAATTCAAAATCAACTAAAATTAATTTATTTTCCGAAATTTCAATTGAGATTCAATTATTTCTAAAAAATTCAATTCAAAATCAACTAAAATTTAATTATTTTCCAAAATTTCAATTCAAAATTTACTAAAATTCAATTATTTTTTAAAATTTCAGTTTAAAATCAACCAAAAATTTAATTATTTTTTAAAATATCAATTCAAAATCAACTAAAATTCAATTAATTTTTTAAATTTCAAAACAAAATTAACTAAAATTTAATTATTTTGTAAAATTTCCATTCAAAACCAATAAAAATTCAAAATCTTCAATTACAAATCAACTAAAATTCAATTATTTTCCAAAATTTTATTTGAAATTCAATTAATTTCTTAAATTTCAATTTAAAATTCACTAAAATTCAATTATTTTTTGACATTTCAATTTAAAATTAATTAAAATTCAATTATTTTCCAAAATTTTAATTCAAAATCAACTAAAATTAGATTATCTTCTGAATTTTTAATTCAAAATTAACTAAAATTCAATTATTTAAAAATTTTTTAATTTAAAATAAACTAAAATTCAATTATTTTTCAATATTTTCAATTCAAAATCAACTAAAATTCAATTATTTAAAAAAATTTTAATTCAAAATAAATTAAAATTCAATTATTTTCCAAAATTTACATTGTGATTAAATTATTTAAAAATTTTTCAATTCAAAATCAACGAAAATGAACTTATTTTCTAAAATTTCAATTCAAAATCAGTTAAAATTCAATTAATTTCAAAAATTTCAAATCGAAATCAACTAAAATTGAATTATTCTTTAAAATTTTGATCGAAATTCAATTATTTTCAAAATTTTTAATTTAAAATCAACTAAAATTCAATTACTTTTTTAAATTTCAAATCAACATTAACTAAAATTTAATTATTTTGTAAAATTTTAATTCCAAATCAATTTAATATCCAATTATTTAAAAAAAAATTGAATTTAAAAATTAATTGAATTTGGAAATGAATTGAATTTAGAAAATAATTAAATTCTAAAACAGAATTTAATTTAGCAAATACTTGAATTTAGATAATAATTTTCAATTTTCCAATTAAAATTTGACTAATTTTCTTTTTATACAAATTTTTTCATAACAAAATTTTTAGCTAACGAATTTTTCTTTGGCAAGATATATTTTGTATTCAAAAATTTTTATAACAATAATTGAATTTTAGAGAATTTTTTTATTAAATAATTTGAAAATATTTTAAATAATTGGCTTTTAGAAAAAATTACTTTAAAAAAATGTATTTGAAATAATTTTAATTGAAAAAAAAAACTTTAATAATTTATTTTTAAAAATAAATAATCTTCAATTGATTTTTAGAAGATAATTTTAAAAATAATTGAATTTTAGAAGAGTTATATTAAAAAATTTTTTTTAAATAATTGAATTTTTGAAGATTTTCTAAATTGAAAATTTTGTAAAATTGAATTGCTAAAATTTTTTTTCACAATTCACAGATACTAATTAAATATTTAAAAAAAATTTAATTACTTAGAAAAATGTTTTAAATAATTAAATTTTAGAAAGAACTTTATTAAAATTATTTTAGGAGATTTAAAATTTTTAATTTTGTAAAATGCAAAATAGTAAAATTTTTGCAATTTTAATTTGTTGTAATTTTTTTTTAAATTTTTGACAATTGAAATTTTGAAAGTTTTTATTTGAAACGTTTTTAAATATTTGAATTTAACAAAAAAAAAAAATGAAAAATATTTGAATTTTCCAAAATTTACGATTCATATTTTTGAAAATAATTGAACTTCAAATAATTTTTGATTGAAATTTTCTGTTATTTCTGTATTAATAATAATAATAATAATAACAATAATTAAATTTCAAATTTTTGAAAAAATCTTTTTTTAAAAGATTTTAATTTGAAAATTTTCTATTATTCATTTGCTGAAAAATTTTTTTTTTTTTACAAATTACAGACAATAATTGAGTATAAACAAATTTTCTAATGAAATAATTAAAAAATATTTTTTAAATAATTGAATTGCAGTAAAACTTTGTTAAAATTATTTAAGAGATTCTAAATTTTAATTGATTTAAGTTACTAATTATTCTAATTTTAATTTTTCCAAATTTTAATCAACTTAAATTGTAAATTATCGAAATTTTAATTGATTTAAGTTGATAATTATTCAAATTTCAATTTGTCCAGATTTTAATTAATTAAAGTTTTAAATTATTCAAATTTCAGCCTTTTCAAAATTTTTTTTTTTTTAATTTAAATTTAAAATTATTCGAATTTCAATTTATCCAAATTTTCCTTGATATTTTTTACGTAAAGATTTTTTTTACAAATACAAAATTTGTTCGCTCGGAAATTTTTTTTTTTTTAATGTTAGGGAAAAAAAAATTTATTCTTGTGGCAAATTCTGATTTTAAAATTTATCCATTTAAATCTGTTTTTTAATTATTATTTTTGTTTCTTTATTAGCATGAAATTTTGAAAATAAAAAAAAAAAAAAATTTCTTTCGCAGGCAATTAATAAATTTGCAATTCAAGCAATGAGAGAGAGGGAGAAAAAAGCATTGACACTACCGGGGAGAGAGAATGAAATTAAACGACGAATTATTTATGATTTTATGCTTGAACATCTCGATCCACCTGGAAAATTGAAACTTATTTGTAAAATGACAAGTGAAATTCTTGGTCGTATGTGTGACAATGTTCTTGATATTAAATCAGAACCGGAAATATGTATGCTTCGCGATGTTCTCTATTTATTGACAAGTGAACAAATACAAGTGTCAAATAAACAATTTGATGATGATTCACAGGAGGAAATTGTTAATGTGACAAATTTGCCAAACAGTAAAGCAATACATGAAATAATTGACGGTATTAAGAGACATAAATTACAAGTATTACTTCCAGTTATTGTGAAATTGAAAAAGAAACTTGAATCAATGAAATCATCACTTTTGCCAGATGTTACGAAATTTTTTTTGAAAATTATTTCCGATCACAATAAAGATCAACTCAATGAACTTTACAATGAATATCCAAATTTGGATAGGGAAATTGAAATAGATTCGAGAAAATATGGGAAAAAAGGTCAAAATTTTAATGATGATGATGATGATAATGATGAAGAAGAAGAAGAAGAAGAAAAAGATGAGGAAAAAGAAAAAGAAGAAGATAATGAAAATAGTGCTCTTGAGAGACAAAAGAAGAATATTAAAAATATTCTTAGTCGAAATCCAAAAATTGTGTTAAGGAGACTTTCAACTTTGACTTATCAAAATGCAATAGGATCAAATGCAAATGAAAATGAGACTGATGATTCAAATTCTTCCCCGGAGCCTGGACCAAGTTGCAGTTCAAGCAAGTGAGTTTTTTTTTTTTTTTTTATTAACTTAGAAACAACAGGCCTCGGATTATACTTTTTCGACTATTTCCGACTTTTTTTTTCTTCAAAAATACGACTCTTTTAGACTTATTTTCATAAAATGCAACATTTTCCGACTTTTTTTTTATATTTTTTTAAAAAAATTTTTAAACAAAATACGTTTGTTTTAGTATACAATGCAGATCTTCTTCCGATCTTCTTTATTTCAATATTATTTAATAAATTTTTAACTAAAATTCTTCACTATGTTAATTATTTTTAATAATTTTAATGAATTTTCTTCACAAATTCAATTAATTTAAACTATTTGTCAATTAAAACTTTTTATGAAATTTAAAAATTGTTTATTATTTGAAACAAAAAATTATCAAATAAAATTAACGAAAAAATTTTAATTCAAAATTATTTGAAAAATTTTATTATTTGCAAAAATTTCAATTATTTTTTAATGATTTTTATAATATTCTTCGAAAATTCAATTATCTGAAAGTATTTTTCAATTAAAAACATTTGGAATTGAATTTTTTTATGTGATATTTTATAAATTCTTTATCAACAGAAATCACTGAAAATTTCTCTTATTTTAATTATTTTCTGAAATTTAACAGAATCATTTAAAATTCAATTATTATCAAAAATTTTAAATTAAAATCAACTAAAATTCAAATATTTTTAAAACTTTTATTTAAAATCAACTAAAATTCAATTATGTTACAAAATTTTAATTCAAAGTCAACTAAAATTCAATTATTTTCTGAAATTTCGATTAAGATTAAATTATTTTCTGAAATTTCAATTAAGATTAAATTATTACCAAAAATTTAAATTCAATATCAAATAAAATTTAATTATTTTTCAAAATTTCAATTTAAAATCAACTAAAATTCAATTATTTTCCAAAATTTCAATTGAGATTCAATTATTTCTAAAAAATTTAATTCAAAATCAACTAATATTCAATTATTTTCCAAACTTTCAATTCAAAATCCATTAACATTTAATTATTTTCCATAATTTTAATTCAATATCAACTAAAATTCAATTATTTTCTAAAATATCAGTTTAAAATCAACTAAAATTTAATTAGTTTTTAAAATATCAATTCAAAATCAACTAAAATTAAATTATCTTCTGAATTTTTAATTCAAAATTAACTAAAATTCAATTATTTAAAAATTTTTTAATTTAAAATAAACTAAATTTCAATTATTTTACAAAATTTTCAATTCAATATCAACTAAAATTCAATTATTTAAAAAAATTTTAATTCAAAATCAACTAAAATTCAATTATTTTCCAAAATTTTCAATTCAAAATCAACTAAAATTCAATTATTTTCAATATTTTCAATTCTGAATTAATTAAAATTCAATTATTTTCCAAAATTTCAAATGAAATTCAATTATTTTGCAAATTTTTTAATTCAAAATCAACTAAAATTCAATTATTTTCAAAAATATCAGTTTAAAATCAACTAAAATTTAATTATTTTTTAAAATATCAATTCAAAATCAACTAAAATTCAATTACTTTTTTAAATTTCAAATCAAAATTAACTAAAATTTAATTATTTTGTAAAATTTCCATTCAAAACCAATAAAAATTCAAAATTTTCAATTACAAATCAACTAAAATTCAATTATTTTACAAAATTTTATTTGAAATTCAATTAATTTCTTAAATTTCAATTTAAAATTCACTAAAACTCAATTATTTTTCGACATTTCAATTTAAAATTAATTAAAATTCAATTATTTTCCAAAATTTTAATTCAACATCAACTAAAATTAAATTATCTTCTGAATTTTTAATTCAAAATTAACTAAAATTTAATTATTTAAAAAATTTTTAATTTAAAATAAACTAAATTTCAATTATTTTACAAAATTTTCAATTCAATATCAACTAAAATTCAATTATTTAAAAAATTTTTAATTCAAAATCAACTAAAATTCAATTATTTTCAAAATTTTCAATTCTAAATCATCTGAAAATTAATTATTTTTAAAATTTACATTGTGCTTCAATTATTTTAAAAATTTTAATTCAAAATCAACTAAAATTCAATTATTTTCCAAAATTTTATTTGAAATTCAATTAATTTCTTAAATTTCAATTTAAAATTCATTAAAATTCAATTATTTTTCGACATTTCAATTTAAAATCAATTAAAATTCAAATGATTCAAAAAATTTCAAATCAAAATCAACTAAAATTGAATTATTTTTTAAAATTTTTAATTAAATTTATCAAAACTTGGAATTTTAAAAAATTATTGAATTTTTGATAAATTTAAATTTAAATTTTTGAATATAATTGAATTCTAGTTGATTTAGAATTGAAAATTTTTAAAATAATTAAATTTTATTTGATTTTGAATAGAAAAATTTTAAAATAATTAAATTTTAGTTGATTTTGAATTTTAAAATTTGCAAAATAATTGAATTTCATTTGAAATTTTGGAAAATAATTGAATTTTAATTGGAATTTTGGAAAATAATTGAATTTTAGTTGGAATTTTGAATTCAATTTAAAATCCATTAAAATTCAAATTTTTTTTAAAAATTTCAATTCAAAATCAATTAAAATTGAATTAATTTCCATAATTTCAAATCAAAATCAACTAAAATTGAATTATTCTTCAAAATTTGAATTGAAATTCAATTATTTTCAAAAATTTTCAATTCAAAATCCATTAAAATTCAATTATTTTGTAAAATTTTAATTAGAATTCAATTATTTTCAAAAATTTCAATTTAAAATCTTTTAAAATTTAATTATTTCTAAAATTTTCCATTTAAAGTTTTTTGAATTTGAATAAATTTTATTATAAAATGTAAATGTAAATCGACTAAATCGACTTTTTTTTTTGCTCCTTAAAGTCGCTTCAAGGCCTGACTAGACATTTTATTAAAAAATAAATTAAAATTATTTCCAAAATTATTTTCCCCCTCAAAAAAAAAGTTAGGACTCAATATTTATTTTTGAATGTCGGAAGATTTTCTAAAAATTCAAAAAATTCTACAAATTCAAAAAATTTGAAAAAAATAATATTCCACAAATATTTATTAAAAAAAAAGAGGAAACTAAACTTACCTACTAGTTTTTTTTGAATTCTTTTTGAAGTTTGTGAAATTGTAAAAATCCGACTCTCCAGTTCCATTTGAATACCTGCAACCTTTCATTTAGCCGAGTATTTTTTGTCAAAGTATTTTTTTTTTTCGTTAAAAATATATTTTAAAAATATTTCATCAAAAAAACAATTGTTAACTTACAAAGATTTTCATTAAAAAAAAAAAAAATCAAAAAATAAAAAGAAAATACTTTTTGTTCAATTTCTAAAAAAATTTGCTTATTAAAAATTTGAATTTTATAATTGCTAATTTTTAAATTTAAAACAATTTGATTTTTTTTTTTTTTTGATAATTTCATTAACCTTTGTTCGTGTGAGTGAGTACATTGTTTTGCATTTCCTTTACTTTCTCAATATTTTCAGCGAGAAGTTGTATCATATTACGAATTTCCTCAGACTGAAAGAAAAGAGAATTTTAAATAATCCTAACAGTGAGAGAAAGAAAAACCAAAGAAAAAATAAATGTAAAATTATTTTTTTATTATTTAATTGTTTTATTTTAATTATTTATTTATTTTTTTTTCTATATAAAAAAAATAAAAGAACAAAGCTGTAATTTAAGGTATGTTGCAAAAATTAGTAAAGACTTACATCTTCAAGAACCTGATTAAGTTTTTTGTCCTGACGAATTTGAATTTGCACATCTTGCAAAAAAGAATTGCTTCTATTTAAAAATGAATTCTTCCTTTGTTGCTAAACAAGAAATTAATATAAAAAAATAAATAAATAAATAGAGAAAAAAAAAATTATTTGTTGATGGTATTTTATTTTTTTTTTTTTGCATTAATTAATTAATTATTTTATCAAAATTTAATAATAATTTATTTTATTACTAAAAATATAATATAATAAAAAAAATATATTTATTTACTTTTTTTATTTAATTTTACCGAAAATGAAAAAAAAGGAATAAAAAAATAATTATTATGTAATTAAAAAAAAAATTTTCATATGATTTTAAATAATTTGTAAGACAATAAATATTGAATTAGTTTTAGAAAAAAAAAAAAAAAAAAAATAGTACGAACTGAATGCAAGTCGGGCATCCGGTCACGAATCATTGTCGTACGGTAACAAACTGAACTTCCAACTTGTTATCACAATTATCAGTTAACAGTTGATGATGGTTGATAATCTTTTTTTTTTTTTTTTATCAGTTTCGTCATCGACACTCGTAAAACTGTATTTTAAGGTGTGTTTTCATTTAAAAAAAAAAGAAGGAAAAAAAAAAAAAATTATTTACAGCACTATGTGACACACTTGACAATCACTTATTAAACACGAAAAATATGACTTGCATATTAAAAATATAAGAAAAGGAAGAAAATGCTAAATGCACTGAATACAAAGTACAAATTGTTATTTAATAAAAGAACATTGTATTTTTAACTCGCGGAAAGTTATTAATGACATTTTTTTTTCTCACTACCTTGATGTTAATGAATACTTTTTCATTAAATTATAGATTTTTTTTTTTTTAAATTTCAATTTATTCTTCTTCTTTAATTATTTTAAAGATTTTATTTTAGAAAATTATTTTTTTCATTAATAATTTTGTAATTAAATAATAATAATTTATAACAATACCAAATAATAGTAATACTAATAATTTTAATAAAAATCATAATTTTTTAAAATTATTATTATTATTATTATTATTATTATTATTATTATTATTATTATTATATAATTTTATTTACTCTCTATGCATAGCAGGGTTCGAGGATCCATTACATTGTTCTTATAATATTATTATTATATTATTATTATTATAAATTTAAATATTTATTATAATAATATATACAATATTATTAAATAAATAATATAGAAAAAAAATTTCAAAAATTAGAATATTAATAAAATAAATAATATTATAGACATTTGAGAATAGAAATTTACTTTTTATTGTATTGGAAATAAATAACAGTATAAAATTTAATGAATTTTTTTTTTCTACTAAATATAATTTTACAATATTAATTTAAATATTCTATAATATATTCTATATTCTTTGTAACGATATAACAAATATTTTTCACATTATGGGAAGACGCAATAACTACTTAATTAATTTTTAAACAAATAATTTTTTCTTTGTAAATAGTTTTTTTCTTTTTTTTTCACTATACTTGAAATAATTTTTTTTCTATTACTAAGAAATAAAAAAAAACAATAATATTATTTCAACGTTTTTTTAAATAGCTTTATCACTAGATATTGGAAATAAATTTTTTTTGCCTATACTTATAATTTTCTCACTAGATAATAAAAATGTCTATATTTTTTTTTGTAACTTATATTTTTTTTTTTTGTAATAATTGAAACGATGATTAAATTGAGAAGATATTTTTTTTTATAATTTTTCTACTTTTGGAAATAAGTACTGAAAATGATTTTCTTTTTCGTTTAATAAATACATTTGATAATATATTATTTTTGTGTGTAAATATATATTTTTTTTTTTACTGATAAACAATAAATGACTATCTACTTTAGTTAATTATTCAAATTTCGTATTATGCAATATACTTATAGATTTAAAGGACGTTATTTTAAATATAATTTTTTCTTTCAGATGTAACTCTAAATTCATCTATTTTTTTTTCAAAGGCAAAAACGGCCAGTCTTTTAGAATTATATTTTATTAAATATATATAGAATTATAATTTTTTTTTTTTTTAAGAAAATTTCAAATTTTGTTTTTTTAAATTAAAATGAATTCTTTAAATTCAATAATTTTTTTTGATAGTCATTGCATATTTACGTTTATCTTAAATTCACAAATCAAATACTGAATTAATTTTTCCAGATTCCTTTGGTTTTTTACAATAATTCGAATAATACAAGCCTCGGAACGACTTTAAGGCGCAAAAAAATTCATTTTAGTCGATTAATTAGTAAATAAATGATTTTATAAAAAAAAACTATTTTTATTTGATTAATTTATTTTATTTTTATGTAAAATTTTTTTCAAATAATTGAATTTTTAAAGAAATATTACGATTATTAAAAATAATTGAATTTTAGAAAAGTTATAGTTGAATTTTTTCGAATTGAATTACAAAAAATCGCATTTCTTTAAAAATAAATTAAATAAAGTCGTATTTTTGAAAAAAAAAATAGTCTGAAAAAGTCGTATAATTTGGGACGCGTGATTATGTTCTAAAAAAATTATTAGTTAGAATTTTCATTTTATGGAATTTAATTTATCATAATTATTTTTGAGCTGAATTTTTATTTGTTTGAATTAGTATGTATTTTGCAGAATTTTCATCAAAATGATTTTCTATATTACAGAATTTTTCATATAACCGAAAATTCACTTCAAAGAATTTTTATTTGCTCGAATTTTCTTTTAACATAATATTGGGACATTTTAAAGAATTTTTATTGGATAGAATTTAATTGCAGATAGAATTTTTATTTTATTCTTTCAGATGAATTTTCATTTGTTCGAATTATTATTTGTTACAATTTCCATAAAAATTTCATTTTTCTGCAGAATTTTTACTTAACCGAAAAATCATTTAATAGAATTTTTAATTGATAGAATTTTTATATGTTCGAAATTGCAAATGGCACAAACAAACGATCGACAGAATCTTAAACAAAAATTAAATTATTTTCGATAATTTCAATTGAAATTCAATTATATTCAAAAATATCTATTCGAAATCAACTAAAATTCAATTATTTAAAAATTTTTTAATTAAAAATCGACTAAAATTCAATTATTTTCAAAATTTACAATTCTAAAACAACTAAAGTTCAATTATTTTCCAAAATTCTAATTGAAATTCAATGATTTTCCACAATTTCAATTCAAAATCAACTTAAATTCAATTATTTTCCAAAATTTTTATTTAAAATCAATTAAAATTCAATTAATTTCGAAAATTTCAAATCAAAATCAATTAAAATTGAATTGTTTTTCAAAAATTTCAATTCAAAAGCAACTAAAATTAAATTATTTTCCAAAATTTACATTGTGATTAAATTATTTTAAAATTTTTCAATTCAAAATCAACTTAAATTCAATTATATTCAAAAATTTTAATTCTAAATCAACGAAAATCCACTTATTTTCTAAAATTTCAATTCAAAATCAACTAAATTTCAATTATTTTTCAAAATTTTCAGTTCTTAATCATCTCAAATTCAATTATTTTCCAAAATTTACATTGTGATTCAATTATTTTCAAAAGTTTAAATTCAAAATCTACTAAAATTTAATTACTTTCCAAATTTTCAATTTTAAGTCCATTAAAATTCAATTATTTTAAAAAATTACAAATTAATATCAACTAAAATTTAATTATTTACACAAATTTGAATTTCAAATCAACTAAAATTCAATAATTTTTGAAAATTTCTATTACATTTCAATTACTTTCAAAATTTTAATTTAAAAATCAACTAAAATTTACTTATTTTGTAAAATTTCCATTTAAAACCATTGAAAATTCAATTCATTTCAAAAATTTCAATTCAATATCAACTATAATTAAATTATTTTCCAAAATTTCAATTTTAATTTATCAAAAATTCAACAATTTTCCAAAATAACAATTTTTGATAAATTTAAATTAAAATTTTAGAAAATAATTTAATTTTAGTTAATTTTGATTTGAAAATTTTGGAAATAATTTAATTTTAATTGATTTTAAATCGAAATGTCGAAAAATAATTGAATTTTAGTGAATTTTGAAATGAAATTTTTGAAAATAATTGAATTTTAGTAGATTTTGAATGGAAATTTTTGGAAATAATTGAATTACAATGAAAATTTTGGAAAATAATTGAATTTTAGTTGATATCGAATTGAAAATTTAGAAAATAATTGAATTTCAAGCAAATTTTTAAAGAATAATGGATATTTAGTTGATTTTAAATTGAAATTTTGAAAATAATTGAATTTTAGTTGATATTGAATTAAAAATTTTAACTTGAATTGGTTTTGCATAGAAATTTTACAAAAAATTGAATTTCAGTTGATTGTGAATTGAAAATTTTGAAAAATATTTGAATTTTATTTGATTTAGAATTAAAAATTTTGAAAATAATTGAATTTTAGTTGATTTAGAATTAAAAATTTTGAAAATAATTGAATTTTAGTTGATTTAGAATTAAAAATTTTAAAAATAATTGAATTTTAGTTGATTTAGAATTAAAAATTTTTAAAATAATTAAATTTTAGTTGATTTGGAATTGAAATTTTTGAAAATAATTGAATTTTAGTTGATTTTGAATAGAAATTTTTGAAAATAATTGATTTTCAATTATTTTTTCTGCAAAATACTAATTTAAAGAAATAAAATTTCAGCTCAAAAATAATTATTTCAAAGAAAATTCCATATAATGAAAATTCTAATGATTTTAGATCATAATCATGCGCGTCTCGTATAATCCGAGGCCTGAGAATACGAATTTTATAAATTAAGCATTTTTTTTTTTTAATAAATAAAAATAATTTAAAAAATAATAAACCTTTTTATTAATTAATTTTTAATTAATTAATTTTTTTTATCAATTTTTCATATAAGTTAATTATTAATAATAATAATAATATATAGATTAGAAAAAAATCTTTATAAGATTAATTTATCAACAATTTCTAAATTCTATAAGGGGGTGGGGGGGGCGCGGTATTATTTACAATATAAGTATATATTGCACTTGCATAATCTCTTATTTTTCTTGGCATCTTGAAAATACTTGATTTCGTTTTTTCCTGTATATTAAACATTATTATTAGGAGAAGATAATGCTGAGTACCTTCAAAGTTTCATTTTTTTTTTTTTTTTTTTTTTTTTTTTTTTTTTTTTGCGAAAATTTTAACGTGTTGATGTCCTCTGACGCACTTTTTCTTTCAGATAATTTGCAACCTGATGTTGAGAATGTCGAATGGCAAACTGAAGTGGTGTGAGGCCCTCCTGATTCATTAATAGAGGATCGGCACCAGCTCCAACAAGTTGTCTTGACACTGTCATGTGTCCTGTCAAAGCTGCCGCGTGAAGTGCACTTTCGCCATTCTGCAAATTTTTCCAAAAAATTTTCACAGTTCAATTTTAAAGGTAAGAACAACAATTATATATTTACAATTTTCTTTTTTTTTATTTTTTGCAATTTACTATTATTATTTTATTTTATTTTTTGAATTATAAATAATTGCGACTTTTTTTGTAGTACAAATTGTAGATTTTTCAAAATTTAATTATAATTTTAATACAAAAAGTCGTACAATCTGTTGCCTTATAATATTTAAAATACTAAAATTTGAGAAATATTAAATTATTATTATTATTATTTTATTTGAAAATAATCTAAAATTATACTCACTGGAAGAATACCGAGGGATGGTCGATATTTCAAAAGTTCACCAATAACAGCCGTGTGACCTTTGTGTGCGGCTTTAAAAAGAGGCGTTGCACCATCCTAAAGGAAATTAATTTTTCTTTACAAAAAATAATAAAACAAAAAGCTAACGATCTAAAGAATCAAACTATTATCTTCTAAGTAGGTTAGAAAAGAAAATTATTGAAATTTAATGTCTTTTTTTTTTCTTTTGGAGACGCATGAATAAGTTCTAAAATTTAATTGTTAGAATTTTCATTTAATAGAATTTCAATTTCAATATAATTTTCATTGAGCCGAATTTTGTTTATTCGAATAATTATTATGCAGAATTTTCATTGAATTTTATCTAATACGAATTTTTAATTGACAGAATTTTTAAGACGCCAGATTTTTAATTTGTACGAATTTTTAATTGACAGAATTTTCATTTGTTCGAATTTTTCAATTTGTCCGAATTTTTAAAACTATTAATTTTCATTTGTTCGAATTTTTAATTGACCAAATTTAAAAAAAAACCGAATTTTTATTTGTCCGAATTTTTAATTGACAGAATTTTCATTTGTCCGAATTTTCAATTTGTCCAAATTTTTAATTGACAGAATTTTCGATTTTCCGAATTTTCAATTTGTCTGAATTTTTTATTGACAGAATTTTTAAAATGCCGAATTTCTATTTATCAGAATTTTTAATTGACAGAATTTTTAAAACGCTAAATTTTCATTTGTCGGAATTTTTAAGATGCCTAATTTTCATTTGTTCGAATTTTCAATTTGTCCGAATTTTAAATGTCAGAATTTTTAAAACGCCGAATTTTCATTTCTCCGAATTTTAAATTGACCAAATTTTCAATTTGTCCGAAATTTTAAAACGGCGAATTTTCATTTGTCCCAATTTTTGAAACGCCGAATTTTTATTTTTCCGAATTTTCAATTTGTCCGAATTTTTAATTGTCAGAATTTTTAAAACGCCGAATTTTTTTGTCCCATTTTTTAAGACGCCGAATTTTTATTTGTCCCATTTTTTAAGACGCCGAATTTTTATTTGTCCGATTTTTTGATTGACAGAATTTTTAAGACGGCGAATTTTCATTTGTCCGAATTTTTAGTTGACAGAATTTTTAAAACGCTGAATTTTCATTTGTTGGAATTTTTAAGACGCCTAATTTTCATTTGTCCGAATTTTCAATTTTCCGAATTTAATATTTAAAACGCCGAATTTTCATTTTTCCGTATTTTCAATTTGTCAGAATTTTTAAAACGCCGAATTTTTTTGTCCCACTTTTTAAGACGCCTAATTTTTATTTGTCCGATTTTTTGATTGACAGAATTTTTAAAACGCCGAATTTTCATTTGTCCGAATTTTTAAGACGCCGAATTTTTAATTGACAGAATATTTAAAACACCGAATTTTCATATTTACGAATTTTTCAATTTGTCCAAATTTTTAATTGTCAGAATTTTTAAAACGCCGAATTTTTTTGTCCCAATTTTTAAGACGCCCAATTTTTATTTGTCCGAATTTTTGATTGACAGAATTTTTAAAACGCCTAATTTTCATTTGTCCGAATTATCAATTTGTCCAAATTTTAAATGACAGAATTTTTAAAACGCCGCATTTTCATTTATTCCGAATTTTTAATTGACAGAATTTTGTAATAAGCCGAATTTTTCAATTTGTCCGAATTTTTAATTGACATAATTTTTAAAACTCCGAATTTTCATTTGTCCAAAATTACAAACAAACGAACAAAAAAAAAAACCACAGAAATATTTTGGCGCTAATTTCAAAAATTTGACCAATCAAGGATTTTATTAATAATTTTTAATTCAATATTAAAAATTGCGCCAAAATCTTTCTGTCGATTTTGTTTTTTCGGTCAATTTATAATTTCGGACAAATGAAAATTCGGCGCCTTTAAAATTCAATACAAATTAAAAAATTCGAATAAATTAAAATTCTACAAAGTAAATTTTCCTGCTAATATAAAAATTATATAATTAAAAAAAAATTAGTTTAATGAAAATTCTGCAATAATTATACTTAGTAGTTAATACTAAATTTTTCTTTTAATTTATTATAAAATAAACTCACGTGACGTGTGGCATCTACTTTTGCTCCAGCTTTCAGAAGTCTTTTGACAACATGATCGTGGCCCATTTGTGCAGCGATCCATAATGGTGTAGCACCATCAGTTCGTGTGGCATCCATTTTTGCACCATGATCCAAAAGCAGATTTAAAATACGAACGTGACCATTTTGTGATGCAATAAATAGAGCATTTGCACCGTCCTAAATTAAGGGACGAAAAAAAAAATAATATTATATTTATTATATATACTGGAAAAAAAATTATTTTAATTCAAATAATCGACTATTATCAAATAAATATATATTTAATTGCACCAAATAATTTTTATTTGAAATTTAATAAATTGTATTTGGACAAATAAAATTTTTTTTTTATTTCAAACAAATAGATATTTATTTAAATAAATAATAATTTATTTTTATTATATAACTTAGGTCTTTACAAATTTTCTTATTTATTAAATAAATATTTATTTATTGAAATAAATAAATATTTATTTGATAATAGTCAAATAATTGATTATTTGAATCAAATAAATTTTTTCTTTTATTATATAGCTAATGACGTAATTTGCCAAAAAAATTTTTTAATGAAAGTAAAAAATTGTGTTTAGAATGTTTTTCTTCAAATTGGTATATTTATAATATATATATTTATATATTTTTATAATATATATTTATATATTTTTATAATTTTATAATATATTGTGATTCTTACTTTCATATGAGCGTTAACATTGGCGCCTCGATCGATGAGATTTTCGACGACATTGTAATGACCATATTGACAGGCAACAAATAATGGTGTTCCTCCATCCTTGATAATATTATTGAATATTATTTTTATATTTTATTATTTCTAATTATTATATAAAATTATTATTTTTATTATATTTTACAAATTTTTTTTTTTTTTTTTAAACTTACAATACTACTAGAATCGACAATGGCACCGTGATCCAAAAGCAGGGTTGCAATGTCAGCAAAGCCTCCTTGGGATGCAAAAAATAATGCATTTGTTCCAGTCTGTATATAAATAATTAGAAAAGTAATTATTATTTTTAAATAATAGACGATAATTATTAAATTAATAACTATAATAAGAAAAAGAAATTAATAACTATTGAAAAAATGAAATTAATAATATTTAATAACAATAATATAAAAAAAAAACAAAAATTTTTTTCTATTTTAATGTCAGGGAAATTGAAAAAATTATTCTTGTTAATATGAAATATTAGATAGTATTTATTATTATTGTTATTTTCATGTGCTTGTTATTTACTCATTTGTTAAAATGAGTTAAAAAAAAAAAAAAAAAATTGTGCGCATAATAATTTTGTAATTAAAAATTAGGAATACGTAACAAATAAGTTTTTAGAAATTTTATTAAGGCGTAAAAATATTTGCAAATAAAATTTGTAATTGAAATTTGCAATTGAAATTTGTAACTGAAATTTGCAACTAAAAAAATTTGCAATTTATATTTGCAATTAAAAAAAAATGCAGAAGCGTAGAATATATTTTTTTATGGATAGATTCATTTTGTTTTTAAATTTAAATCACAGATGCGTAGAAAAAAATTTTCCAAAAGTGTATTTTTATCCCCTCCTCTTACTTACTATTGTAAATAAAAAAAAAGTAAATAATAAGTAATTTTTTTAATAATGGTTCACGCATTTATTTTTATATATCAAATTAAAGTGGAAATTAAAATCAATAAAAGTATTTTTTTTTTTTTTTTGATAATGATAATTAATTTTCATGAAAAGAAAATTCTATACAAAAAATTATCTACTGCATTACAGAAATATTGGAAAAAAAAGAAAATTATTAGTAATAATAAAAAAATATGTTTTTTTTCTACAGGCTTCGAATCGACTTTGACAAGAAAAGGCGTTTTACAATCCCAGGCCTCGGATCAACTTTAAGGTACAAAAAAAAGTCGTTTTAGTCGATTTATCTTCAAAAAAAAGGAGAAAAAGACGATTTTTTTTTGAAAATAACTAAATTTTAACTCCTTTGAATTAAAACATTGAAAAAAATTGAATTTCAATTGAAATTTTGAAAAATAATTAAATTTTAGTTGATATGAATTGTAAAATTTTGAAAATAATTGATTTTGAATTGAAATTTTGGAAAATAATTGGATTTTAGTTGATTTTGAAATAAAATTTAGTAACATAATTCAATTTTAGTTTATTTTGAATTGAAAAATTTTAGAAAATAATTGAATTTTAGTTGATTTTGAACTGAAATTTTGAAAATAATTCAATTTTAGTTGATTTTGAATTGAAATTTTCGAAAATAATAGATTTTGAATTGAAATTTTGGAAAATAATTGAATTTTAGTTGATTTTTAATTAAAACTATGGAAAATAATTAAATTTTAATCGATTTTGAATTTGAAAAATTGGAAAATAATTGAATTTTAGTTGATTTTGAATTAAAATTTTGTAACATAATTTAATTTTAGTTAATTTTGAATTAAAATTTTAAAAAATTGAGTTTTAGTTGATTTTGAATTTATATATTAAAAAATAATTCAATTTTAGTTGATTTTAAATTGAAATATTGAAAAATAATTGAATTTTACTTGATTTTGAATTGTAAAATTTCTAAAATAATTAATTTTGAATTGAAATTTTCGAAAATAATAGATTTTGAATTGAAATTTTGGAAAATAATAGATTTTGAATTGAAATATTGAAAAATAATTAAATTTTACTTGATTTTGATTTGTAAAATTTTTAAAATAATTGATTTTTAATTGAAATTTTTGAACATAATTGAATTTTAGTTAATTTTAAATTGATATTTTAACAAATAATAAAATTTTAGTTCATTTTGAATCCAAATTTTTGAATATAATTGTATTTAAATTGAAATTTTGGAAATTAATTGAATTTTAGTTGATTTTGAGTTGAAAATTAATAAAAATTGAATTTTAATTGAAATTTTAGAAAATAGTAGGATTTTAGTTTATTTTGAATTAAAAGTTTTAAAAATAATGGAATTTTAGTTGATTTTGAATTGATATTTTAACAAATAATTAAATTTTAGTTGATTTTGAATTGAAAATTTGGAAAATAATTGAATTTTAGTTGATTTTGAATTGAATTTTTTTTGGAATTATTGAATCTCAATTGAAATTTTGGAAAATAATTTAATTTTAGTTGATTTTGAATTAAAAATTTTGAAAATAATAGATTTTGAATTAGAATTTTGTAAATTAATTGGATTTTAGTTGATTTTGAATTAAAATTTTGTAACATAATTGAATTTTACTTGATTTTGAATTAAAGTTTTGAAAAATATTTGAATTTTAGTTTATTTTAAATTAAAGTTTTTGAAAATAATTGAATTTCAATTGAAATTTTTACAAATAATTGAATTTTATATGATTTGGAATTCAATTTTTTGAAAATAATTGAAGTATGTATTTGAAATTATAGACAAAAATAGAATTTCTAAAAGTTTTCAATTAAAAAATGCTTTCAGATAATTGATATTTTGAAGAATATTTTAAAAAACTCATTAAAAAAGAATTGAATTTTTGGCAAATAATTAAATTTTTAAGTGATTTTGAATTAAAATTTTTTTTTGGTAATTTTATTTGCTATTTTTTTTTTTTTTTTTAATTTTAAACAATTATTATTTAATTTCATAAAAATTTTAATTTGAATAATAGTTTAAGATAATTTGAATTTGTGAAGAATTTCATTAAAATTATTGAAAATAATGAATTTAGTGAAGAATTTTAATTAAAAATTTATTAAATAATTGAAATAAAGAAGATTTGGATTGTATACTAAAAAAAAATGTATTTTGTTTACAAATTTTGTAAAAATGTAAAAAAAAAAATCGAAAAAAGTCGCATTTTATTAAAATTAGTCGGAAAAAGTCGTAATTTTGAAAAAAAAAAGTCGAAAAATGACGTACAATCTGAGGCCTGTTTTTTTTTTTTTATCATCAATAATCACCCTTCATCAGTAGCAAAATTTTTCTCTAATTTAATTTATCTTTATTAAATACACGTGGAAGAATGTTGTGTGCGGAACTTTAAACGCCGCGGCGTCGAAAGGGCAATCACCTATTGATGTTGTAACAAAGTCGACAACCGGTCTTTAATTCAATCCTCCGTAAGAAGTATGAATCTCACTCTCAAGAAATAGGAGAGGAGGTCACTTTCTGTACAATTAGCCTGATAAATTACAAATATTTGCACCTTTTTGAGGTGTGAAAAAAATTTTCATAGAATTTTAATTAAATATTATAATTTTTTAAAAATTATTTTTATATCTTTCTATTTATTTAGAATCTCGTGTCTTTCTCTCGTTTTTTTTTTTTTTTTTTTTTTTTTTTTTTTTTTTTTTTTTTGTTGATTGCTATTTTATTCTTATTTTATAATAATTGAATTCCCATTAAATTGTTGCTTCCTTTTCAACAGCAGATTAACGATTGGCCTTCACCTGATTTTTGAACGCGCAACACACGCGCTCCTGACCCTAAAAATCAAGATTCACTTGCCAACTACTAAAATAGATGCTTTGAGATTTCAATAAAGAGAAAACATTTCACGAATGATTTAACAAGAAAAAAAAATGAAGGTAAACGAACAAAATTTCATTATTTTTAAATTGGCATATTTTTCTATGAAATAATTATTTTTATTTAATATTTATTTTAAAATTAATTAAATAATATTAATATTATTTATTTTTAATATTTATATTATTGATTTTTATAAATTTTATCCAATTGAGCCGATTATTGCAAAAATAATAATTATAGAAAATTAAATAGTAATTCAGTAAATTAATTTAATTTATCAAATTAATTTTATTCAATGAATTTAATTTATTATATTATTCAATGGATTTAAAATAATTTTACTGAAATAAATTCTGTTTTTTCATTTTGACCTTTTTTTCATATTTTATGGCGAGCTATGAGAAATGAAGGGGATAAACTTAAAGGAAATTGAATTTACTTTCACCCGCATCTTGTTTGCAATTTTTTATTTTCTTTAAACGAATCTTTTTTAATTTTTTCTTCACTTTCAATTTGAAAGTAAACTGACATTTAAAATGTCAAAGAAAATAAAAATAAAATGGGACGTATGATTATATCATAAAAAATCATTAATTAATTTTCATTTTATAAGAAATAATTATTTTTTAAAAGAATTTTCATTTTTCGATTTATCATTTCGAATTTTTTTTTTTTTTTAATACGAATTTTTACTTAACAAAATTTTTAGCTACCGATTTTTTGCCAGATTTTTTATTTTACAGTTATTTTCTTTACAAATGACTTTTTATTTAAAAGAATTTACATTTAAGCGAATTTTTTAAAAGAAAAAAAAAAGAAAATTTTTCAAGCCTGATTTATGCACATTATTCGAATTCAGAATTTCGAAAAATATTTTTAATATTTTAAATAATTAAATTGAATTAAATTTTTTTTTTACAAATTTTAGACAATAATTAAATTTTTAAGAATTTTTAACTGAAATAATAAATAATTAAATTTTGATAGAGTTACATTTAAGATTTTTAAAAATAATTGAATATTTTCAAATTTCAAAAATTAAAATTCTGTTGTAAATATTAACATTATTTAAAAAAACGATTTAAATAATCAAATTTTTGAAAAATTTGATTAAAACTGTTGAAATAATTAATTAAACAAAGAAATATATAGATAAAAATTTGGGAAAACAAAATTTTTCCATTGAATTAACATTCATTTAATTATCATTAAATTACTAATTGAATTTGGAAGAGTTGAAGTTAAATTTTTCTTTTTTTGAAGTATAGTTAAAAAAAAAGTAATTAAATAAAATTTTTAGAAATAATTGAAAAGGGGGTTTTAAAGAAAGAGTTTTAAAGAATTTTTAATTGAAAAATGTTTTAAAAAATTGAATTTTCGATTTGTAAAATTTTCAATTAAAATTTTAATAAACTTGAATTATTGAAATTTTTTTAAAAATTATATAAACAAAAATTATATAATAATAAAATGCTTGGTCTGTTCTTCTGTCATAACTTGAAGCTGGCCTTTTCTGATTTCACGTTTTTTTTTTTTTTGAATAGTAATCTTATGACGTGTCAAATTTTGACAATTCTTTTTCTCATTTTTGCCAAAGTTGTATAATTGTGTTTCCAAATTTCGGAATAAGTTTCTTTAAAATTCGAAATTCGAAAATTCAATTCACGAAGCTGAAGTAAACAACGTTTACCAACGAAATTTTTTTTAAAGTTGTATATTCATTCAAAAATTGTATACAAATACAAAAAATTTATGATGAGAAAAAAGATGCGCCAGGAAATTTCGTACAAGATAGTAATTTGAAAAAAAATTTATTTTTAAAAATTAATTTTTAAGGTACTAGGGGCCAATGAATACCTATTAAATATTAATTATAAAAACACAGGCCTCGAATCAACTTAAAGACACAAAAAAGTCGTTTTAGTCGATTTATATTCCAAAAAAAAGTGGATTTGATTTTTATTTTAACAAAAATATTTTACAGATTTTTTAAGAATAAAATTTTTTTTTAATAATAATCCTTTTCGAAGGGATAAAGTTGAAATTTTTAGAAATAATTAAATTTTAAATGATATTGTTAATTTTCAAACAATTATTTAATTTTACAGAACTAAAAATAATAATTTATCAAACAATTTTTGGAAAACATTTTTTAAATTTAATTGAATTTTCAAAGATTTAAAATTGAGATTTTTGAAATTAATTGAAACTTTAAGTGTTTTGTAATTAAAATTTTAGATGATTTTACTAAAAATTTATTAGAAAATGCGGACAAAATACAATAATTTGAAAATCATTTTTAATTAAAAAATGGTTTCAGATAGTTGAAATTTCAAATAATATTATAAAAATAGTTAAAAATAATTGAATTTCCTTACAGTTATAATTGAAATAGTTAAATTTCAAAAAATTTTAGAAGTAGTTAAATTTTAGAAGCTTTTAAATTTAAATTTTTGAAAATAATTGAATAATAATTGAAATTTTTGATAATAATTCAATTTTAGTTGATTTTTGATTGAAAATTTTAATAATAAATAATTTTGAGTTGAAATTTTTGAGAATAATTGAATTTTAGTTGATTTTTAATTGAAAATTTTGAAAATAATTGAAATTTTGATTGAAAATTTTGATAATAATTAATTTTGAATTGAAATTTTGGATAATTATTGAATTTTAATTGATTTTGAATTGAAATTTTGGATAATAATTGAATTTTATTTGATTTTAAATTGAAAATTTGAAAAAAAATTGATTTTGAATTGAAATTTTTGAAAAGAATTGAATTTTAGTTGATTTTGAATTAAAAATTTTGGAAAAATTGAATTTTACTTGATTTGAAATTGAAATTTTCGAAAATAATTTTAATGTATTTGATTCTGAATTGAAATTTTGGAAATAATCGAATTTTAGTTGATTTTGAATTGAAAATTTTGAAAATAATTGAATTGTAGTTCATTTTGAATTGAAAATTTTGGGAAATAATTGAATTTTGATTGAAATTTTGGATAATAATTTAATTTAAGTTCATTTTTCATTAAAAATTTGGATAATTAATTTTGAATTGAAATTTTTAAAAAATAATTGAATTTTAAATGATCTTGAATTAAAAATTTCGGGTAATAATTTAATTTTAATTAATTTTGAATTGAAAATTATGGAAAAATTGAATTTTACTGGATTTTGAATTGATATTTTGGAAAATAATTGATTTTGAATTGAAATTTTTGAAAATAATTGAATTTTAATTGATTTTGATTTGAAATTTTGGAAATTTAATTTAATTTTACTTGATTTTTGAATTTAAATTTTTAAAATAATTGAATTTTATTTCATTTTAAATTGAAAACTTGGTAAATAATTAAATTTTAAATTGAAAATTGTGGATAATTATTGGATTTTGAATTGATTTTGAATTAAAATTTCGGGTAAAAATTGAATTTTAGTTTATTTTGAATTGAAATTTTGGAAATTATTAGTTTTCAATTGAAATTTTTGCAAATAATTGAATTAGTTGATTTTGAATTTAAATTTTGAAAATAATTGAATTTTAGTTGATTTTGAATTGAAAATTTTGAAAATAATTGAATTGTAGTTCATTTTGAATTGAAAATTTTGAAAATAATTGAATTGTAGTTCATTTTGAATTGAAAATTTTGGGAAATAATTGAATATTAATTGAAATTTTGGATAATTATTTAATTTAAGTTCATTTTTAATTTAAAATTTGGATAATTAATTTTGAATAGAAATTTTAGAAAATAATTGAATTTTATTTCATTTTAAATTGAAAACTTGGTAAATAATTAAATTTGAAATTGAAAATTTTTGATAATTATTGGATTTTTAATTGATTTTGAATTAAAATTTCGGGTAATAATGTTTATTTTGAATTGAAATTTTTAAAAAATAATTCAATTTTATTGTGATATTTTTTTTTAAATTATAAACAATTGTATTTCATTAAAATTATTAAAAATAATTAATTTAGTGAAGAATCATTTTAGTTTATAATTTGTTAAATAATTGAATTGAAGAAGATCTGAAGAAGATATAAATTTTATACTAAAAAAATGTATTTTATTTACATTTTTTTTGTTGAAATGTAAAAAAAAAATGTCGCATTTTATTAAAATAAGTCGATAAAAGTCGTATTTTTGAAAAAAGTCGGAAAAAGTCGTATAATCCGAATATTATTAATAATAATTTTTAGAAATAATTGTATATTAGAAGAGTTCTAGTTAAAAATCCGAGGCCTGGATTTATTTAATTAAAATAATAATTTAAAAAACAAATAAGTACGAAACTACAAGAAAAACACAATTTTACAAATAATTAACAGTTTATTTATTTTTAAAGTCAAAATGTTTGCGTTACATTTTTTTTATGTATTTTTATTTTAAATATAATTTACAATTATAAATTGTATTTTTTTATATATTTATAATTTTAAAAGGATAAATATAATAGAAACCATTATTATAATATAAAAATAATTATAAATTTATAAAAAAAAAAAAAATTAAAAACTAGCAAAATCCCTGACACTTATTCTCGTTGCAATCAAATCGACCATAGACGAAACTTGTAATTCAGTTTCGGTAATTTTATAAATTTTTTTTATTTCTTCAACATTGGAAAATTCGATGCCAATTTTATTAATTGAAATTTCTTCACCTTGAATTATATTTGTGAAATTTTTCATTATCGTTTCTTTCTCATTTTCTTTATTCTCATGAATAAAAACAGCTAAAATAGATGTGTCATTGTTTTCACTTCCAAAAAGTTTAAGCGCCTTTGAAATACTTTTTGTCATTGATAAATTGTATAAAATTTCCATAAACACAGTTTTTGTCACTAATTCACCAAAAATTTCTGAACACACTGCTTTATTGGCTGCTACAACTATTTGAAATGGATCAATTATTAGCGATGGTTTTAATAGGCAGCATTGAATTTTTCCCGATATTAAACATTGTCTCACTTGTTCGGTATTTTTCACATTATTAAATAATGCCAGTGTAATGCTTTTCTTGCTCTCGGGATCCAAAGGAATTGTTGTCGTTGTTGCTCCTGTGGTGGCCATTTTTTTTTCTCTTTTCTTTTTTTTTATTTTTTACTGCGATAAAAAGTAATATTTTTTCACTATTTTTTTTTTTTTTTTGAATGTTTTAAGAAAATATATAATAATTGGAATTTATTATTTTTAATTTTTAATTCAAATTTATATTTATCTGTATTTAAAATTAAATATATAGAGAAAAATTCTAATTAATAATTTTTAATGGGATATAATCAGGAGTCACTTAATTTGCAGGCCTCGGATTATACGATTTTTTCGATTTATTTTAATAAAATGCAAATTCCATTATTTAACAAATTTTTAACTAAAATAATTCTTCACTAAATAATTCATTTTTAATAATTTTAATGAAATTCTTCACAAATTCAATAACCATAAACTATTTTTCAAATTCAAATTTTTATGAAATTTAATAATTGTTTATAATTTTGAAAAAAAAAATTAGCAAATAAAATTACCAAAAAAAATTTTAATTCAAAATCACTTGAAATTTAAATTATTTGCAGAAACTTCAATTAATTTTAATGATTTTTATAATATTTTTTGAAAATTCAATTATTTGAAAGAATTTTGCGATTAAAAACTATTGGAATTTAATTTTCTTATGTGATTTCTAGAAAATTCTTCATCAACAGAAATCATTTAAAATTCCAATTATTATAATTATTATCTGAAATTCAACAACAATATTTTGAAATTCAATTATTTTCAAAAATTTCAATTGAAATTCAATTATTCTCCAAATTTTCAATTTAAAATCCATTTAAAATTTAATTTTTTCCATAATTTTAATTCAAAATCAACTAAAATTCAATTATTTTTCAAAATTTTAAATAAGATTCAATTATTTTTAAAATTTTCAATTTATAATCAACTAAAATTCAATTATGTTCCAAAATTACAATTCAAAATCAATTAAATATCCACATATTTTCGGAATTTTCAATTAAAAATCAATTACAATTCAATTATTTTCCATAATTTTAATTGAGATTCAATTATTTTAAAAAATTTCAATTTAAAATCAACTAAAATTCTATTATTCTCAAAATTTTCAATTCAAAATCAACTAAAATTCAATTATTCTCCAAATTTTCAATTCAAAATCCATTATTTTCCAAAACTTCAATTTGAAAACAAATAAAATTCAAATATGTTACAAAATTTTAATTCAAAATCAACTAAAATGAAATTAATTTCGAAAATTTTTTATTGAAAATCAATTATTTTTAAAATTTTCAATTCTAAATCAACTAAAATTCAATTATTTTCTAAAATTTCAATTAAAAGTCAATTATTTTAAAAAAATTTAATTCCAAATCAATTAAAATTCAATTATTTTCCAAAGTTAAAATTCAAAATCAATTAAATATCTAAAAATTTTCAATTCAATTATTTCCAAAAAATTCAATTGAAAATCTACTAAAATTCAATTCTTTTGTAAAATTTCAATTCAAAACCAATTATATTTCAAAATTTACTAAAATTTAATTATTTCCCAAAATTTCAATTAAGATTCAATAATTTCCAAAAATTTCCAATTCAAAATCAATAAAAATTCAATTATTTACAAAAATTTCACTTCAAAATCAACTAAATTTAAAATATTTTTCAATATTTTAATTAAGATTCAATTATTTTCAAAATTTTCAATTCATGATCAATTAGTATTCAATTAGTTTTGAAAAATTTATTCCCAAATCAATTAAAATTCAATTATTTTAAAAAAATTCAATTCAAAATTTACTAAAATTAAATTATTTTCCAAAATTTCAATTTAAAATCAATTATTTTCAAAATTTTACAATTCAAAATCAACTAAAATTCAATTATTTTTAAAAATTTCAATTCAAAATTTAATAAAATTCAATTATTTTCCAAAATTTCAATTGTGATTCAATAATTTCCAAAAATTTCATCTTAAAATCAACTAAAATTCAATTATTTTTCAAAATTTCAATTCAAAATCAATTAAAATTCAATTATTTTCAAAAATTTCAATTTTAAAGCTTTTAAAATTTAATTATTTCTAAAAATTTTCATTTCAAAATTTTTGTAATTTGTTAATTTCAATTATAACTCTCCTTAAATTCAATTATTTTTTAATGATTTTTATAATATTCTTCGAAAATTCAATTATCTGAAACTATTTTGCACTTGAAATTGGTTTTTGCATTATTGTATTTTTGTCTGCAATTTCTAATAAATTATTTAGTGAAAACATAAAAAATTTTAAATTTAAAATCACTTGACGTTCAATTTATTTTAAAAATCAAAATTGTAAATCTTTGAAAATTTAATTAATTTTAATTTAAAATAAAATATTTAGGTGTTAACCAATTAAATTTTGTTTATAATAAAAAAAATCGACTTTTTTTGTGCGTTAAAGTCGATCCGAGGCCTAAATTTGGTATTCCTGCGCTTAGTCTCAAGGCAACTTCAGATCATTGCTTCTGTTGTTAAGAGGTTAGGTTAATATTTGCCGCAAAAAATTGGTCCAAACGGACGATGTAAGTTTATCTTTACTACTGTAGAGCAAAAAAAAAAATATATATATATATATATATTCTACAATTAGGAATATAAATCTTTTTTTTCTAACTCAATAATTTTTACAGTTATTTATAATTATTATCGGTAATTATATATATTTTTTTCGTTTTATATTTTTTTATATACTAATATTGATAAAATATTCATTATATTTTCGGAAAATTTTTTTCCGAAACAGTGAAGATTAATTTCCATTATTTTCTGTATAGGGAAAAACGATTTTTCCTCTTTATTTCCGATACATTTCCTTAATATAAATCTCTTTTTTTTTCTCTTCATTTCGGAAAAAAATTTTCCAATTCTTTCAACGGACAAAATTCGGCAATTTTTTTTTTAACAGTAAAATATAACCTAACCTCCCAAAGTCAAGGTTTCAAGTAATAGTGACAAAAAAAAAAAAAAAAATTGTGTTTATACTTACTGATTTTAAAAATGAAATCAACAGTTGAGTATATTTAAAGAACGACGTTAAATTTTACTAATTTTTTTTTTAAATTATTTATTATTACAACTATTATTTAAGGTGTAAGAAATTAAATTAATAATCAGGGAATATATTTTTGTGGCGGAATTAATCCAATGCGGCGTGGAATAATAATAATAATAATAATCTTACGCATGCGCAAGCGATAGAAATTTTTGCCGCGAATTTTTAAATTTCATTTTTTTTTACACACAAGTTTATCAATAAAAAAGATAGAAAATTTCAAAAAAAAAAAAAAAAGAAAATGGTAAATATTATACAAAGAAAAAACTTACCAATCTTTTTGAATTGGGATCAGCTCCTTGTTGCAATAGTTCGGCAACACTGTCGTAATGACCACCAGCTGCCGATAACATCAATGGTGTTGTACCGTCCTAATTTGAATTATTCATAATTTACTTTTTTTTATTATTATTAATTAATTCATAATTATGAATATTAATTAATTATTAACTTTTAAATTTTAATTATTCAATAATTATTATTAATTATTAACGTTTAAACTTTATTTATTCATAATTATTGACTTTTAAACTGCCAAGTGGTAAAAAAGTTGCACTTTCTCTCCCGGTCCGTTAGACCGTGATTTTTTTTCTTCCATATTACTGTTAATTTTTTTTAGATTTTTTTTTTAATAATAAATCGCGTGTAATTTTTTCCTTCCTATTTTGTATTAAAAAGTAATTTACATTTTTTTTTCTTTTTATTTTTTTAATTTTATATTACAATAATGTTTTAAATAAAATAAATAAAATAAATTAAATAAATAAATAAATAAAATAAATAAAATAAATAAAATAAATAAAATAAATAAAATAAATAAAATAAATAAAATAAATAAAATAAATAAAATAAATAAAATAAATAAAATAAATAAAATAAATAAAATAAATAAAATAAATAAAATAAATAAAATAAATAAAATAAATAAAATAAATAAAATAAATAAAATAAATAAAATAAATAAAATAAATAAAATAAATAAAATAAATAAAATAAATAAAATAAATAAAATAAAATAAAATAAATAAATATTTTAAATTAAATATAATTTTACGAAAAAAAATAAACGGTCTGATAGACCGCTATGGCGGTTTAGAGGTCAAAATTAATTATTAACATGGAAAATTAATTATTAATGTTGACAAATTATTTTCTATTTTATTTGTTGATAATTATTAATTCTGAATTCTTTTTAATTATTAATAATTATTACCCTTTTATTAATTTAATAATTAATTAATTTAATTTTTACCCTTAATTTACTTGTTCCTTTTTTTTTGCGAAATAGAATAAATTTTTTTTGAATGTTTCGCTTATTAATTATTATTATTATAAGGAGAATAAGGAATGCAATGTGAAATTGTTTCACAGAAGTAAATTTTTTTTTTTTCAAAAGACGACAACAGAATTTACTGACCTTGTCCTTGCAATCAACATGAACGCGTCCAGAGTCAAGAAGAAGCTGAAGACGTTTTGCGTCGCCTCGAGCTGCTGCTAAATGTAGCTCCACGTCCCACGGTGACTCTTTCTATTATAGAAAAATTTTTTTAAGGTATTTTAAAATTTTTTTTTGGAAAATTTTAATTTCATTTATGTTTAATTTTAATATATACATATATAATATGTAATAAATTTATAATTTTTTCATAAATTTTTTTCTAATTATTTTTTTTATTATTTATTTTATTATTATTATTTCTTCAATCTATATTTAAAATTCTGATAAAAAAAAAAATGATGAATATAAAATAATAAAATGGAAAATGATTTTTATAAAAAAAATTATTCCAAGAAAAGAAAATTATTTTTTTTGATCAATTATGAAAATTATATATATATATATATATATATATTTAACGATGAATAATATAATAATAAATTAATTAATTAATAATAATAATAATTACAGACCTCGAATCGTCTTAGAGGCGCAAAAATAATCGATTTTTTTTTGAATTTTAATAAATTTTATTTAGTAAATATTTTTTATTTCTATTATTATTGAAAATTATTAATTTGGCGAAAAATTTTAAATAGTAAAAAATAATAAAATTTTTTTTAAAAGAAGGGGAGAGTCGAGATTTTTTGAATTAATCAAAATTATGGAGATTTTGAAATGGAAATTTTTGAAAATATTAATTAAAAAACTCTTTTAAAAGAATTTTAGGTAATTTTTAATTGAAAAAATATTTTAAATAATTTATTTTTCGGAAAATTTCAATTCAAATTATTGCTAATTAATTAATTTTGCCATTTAATTTTCGAAAAATTTCATTTAAATTATTGCAAATAATAATTAATTTTGCCATTTAATTTTCAAAAAATTTCATTTAAATTATTGCAAATAATAATTAATTTTGCCATTTAATTTTCGAAAAATTTCATTTAAATTATTGCAAATAATTATTTTCGCAAAAACTGTTTATAGATTCAAATTTCTTAAAATAGAATATTGGATCAAAATGAGTTTAAAAAAAAAAAAAAAAAAAATGGTGGAAATAGTCGAAAAAGTCGTAGAATCTAAGTCCTTTAATTAATTTATAAATTATTTTTTTTTTTTTTGTTCCAATAATTTTTATATCAATTTTGAAGATAATAAATTCTTTTTAATCAATTACGAATATTATTTCTAATCTGAATATTAAAAAAAACAAACAAATCTTTATCCTATTAGAAAATTTTCCAATCAATTACGATAATTATATATTTATCCATTAATCTCTTAAAGACAAAGTAGACAAATTTAAAGGCAATTAAAGTTCTTTAATATATCAATTATGAAAATTATTAATTTGACAAAGAATCTATTTAAAGATAATTAATGAACTGAAATATAGAATTCTATTTATAAAAATTCTAATTAAATTAATTAGTAATTAATAATATTAATTTTAAAAACAAATTAAAAATAATAATATTTTGAATTTATCACTTGGCGGTATTTAATAATTAATATAATAATAATATAACTTCGTCTTCATTCAGAATTTTGTCTTACAATTGTTTTTATACATTTGACATTTGATTCCTGACTTTTTTTTTTGTTTCTATGATTACAGATGATTTGAACAGTTACTTTTAGAAAAAGGATGTCGTCAACAATAGAAAGAAGAAAAAAATTGTTGAAAAAAAAAAATAATTACCTTCATAGACATGTCAAGGAAAAATGCAATATCCAATGTTCTTCTTGTTCTATAGAACTTGTGTATTTTTTTTTCTCATTTACTATTGAGAATAATTGAAACATTATAAGTGCAATTCCATCATTTTTGCATACGTGTCTGGGATGTTCGATTTACCGCCCGAACATTATATAGTTATATACTCAACATTGAAACCATTTTCAGTATCGAATTTATTTATTTGCATTTGAAAAAATAAATTTCTCCCACGCTGTAACCATTGGAAAAAAAAGAGAGAGAGAGAGAGAGAGAGAGAGAAGAGAAAAAGGAGAATTTTTTCCAAGAGACACGGAAAAAAAAATTCGGATAAATATTTTCAGGTATTAACAATATTTTATAATTTTTTTTTCTATTTTTTTTTTTTCGATTAACACACAAAACGTCAAAATATACTTGACACTCTCTCACTACAGGTGACTTTAGCGTACTAATAATCGAATGTTCCTTATGGTCTTCGTAGGAGTTACCTTTTCATTTTCAAGTTTTCCTTGCGTTGGCGCCACTATGCAATACAAAAACATTCTCGAGGAGTCGGTTATTCAGGTTGTTTCCAGGTGTAAATAAGGTATATTTCTATTTTTAGTTTATATTTAATTATTTTTGGCAAAATTTTCAAAATTAGAAAGAAAAAATTTTATTTACAAAAAAATTGCATTTTTTTTGTATTTTTTCTTTATTTCACTGTAAAAAAAATTGGATTTTTTATTTTACTTCTTTTTTTTAATTTTTCTTTCTTGATATTTATTTAAATCATCAAAAAAGTTTTCTTGGGTAAAAGTCTGAGCTAATATTAACCCATAACACCATGGGTCCAGTAGGCCCGAGAATTTTTTCTCGCTTAAATTAATTGAATGTAGAGTAAGTGTACCAATTACGGCGCGTTTATATAAAATGACTATGATATATTTAATAAAACTGTTACCGTAATTGATACAAAGGCATCGTAATAGTAAACTACGGTATTAGTTTTAATTTCTCATATTTGTTTAAATAATCGATTTTTATAAAGTTAAAATTTTTTTTTAATATCTAAATAACATAAACTTTTAGTTTAATAAGTCTTAAATTGACTTTATACAATAGAAATGTCGAATTTTCTATTTCAAAGGTGTTTTGACTTGAATAGCGCCGTAATTAGTACATTTACCTTACAATAAGAAAAAAATATTTATTGGTGAAATTCTGAGCTATTGAAATTCACTCAAATAATAATTATTTGATATTGATCCTTGGAGTTCTTTCCCTCCTTGGTGTAACAGATTTCCACTTTTACTCTTCGAGAAAAAAAAAATAAATTTAACAATTAAACTTTTTTAAATTTTTTAAAGAATTTTAAATAATAGCGCCTTTTTTACCAATGAGAGTTGCGCATGCGCAGTAGTATTGCGTAGACGGTCGTTAGCTTCTTTTGATAAAGTAGAAAATTACTATACCGTTTTTCTTCCTTATCGATCGAGTTATACTCAAATGTCAAATTTTTTGACGTAGATTTAGTGCCTCTGTCTCTCTCTCTATTTTTTATACTGTTTATATTGTTGAATTTTAAATATTTATATTTATTTATTTATTTTAATCTAAGTCAGTGTTTAAAAATTTTTCTCATAGTGTTTCTAATTTTAATGAATAGAAGAAAAATATCGAATTTTTCAAGATTAAAAATTTTTTATTAAAAAAAAGTAAGTTATTTCACAGTTATCAATAGAGAAAATATAATTAAAATTAAGTAATGTGACTCATTTTTTTTTTTTTTTTTAAATAGAAAATTTCGATATTTAGTACATTTAGAAAAATATTTTGTAAATTGCAGAAATAAGTTTTCGTTTCTCGAACATAACCTATAAATATACGTCGTAAAAACAAATTTTTATTTACAAAACAGAAAAAAAAGTAATTGAATTTTTTTTTTGTGAAAATAATTTTATCTAAATTTTAATTTTCAAATAATTTAATTTTAAATCAATTGTTAAATTTTATTAGTGAAATCAAACTTAAGAAAATTTTAATAAAATGCAAATTCAATCGATCAAAACGATCGAAATTGAAAATTAACGAAATTTTAATATTTCTTAATATATTAATTCAATTTAAGTTACAAAATTATTTGGAATTTTATTTTATCTAAATTTTAATTAATTTAAGTATTAAATTATTTCAATTGCAATTTATCAAAATTTTGATTTATTTAAGTTTTTCTTTTTTTTACAATTAAATAATGTTATTTTCTTTGATAAAAAAATATGAATATTTCTTAATGCTTATATTAAATTGATTTAAGATTTTATGTAAAAAAAAAAAAAGAAAACAACTATTTATAAAATAATATAATAATTATATATTATAATTAAATAATTTATTTAAGTTTTCATTTTCAGGTGTAGAATAAATAACGAATGGGAAATTCTAATACGAGTATTAAAAAGAAAAATTATTCACAACGACAATATGCAAGTCAGGTTTGTTGAAATTTTATAATAATTTTTTTTTCTATACTATAATTATAATAATTGCTCGTAAATTTTCTCTATAATAAAAGTTATAATTTAAATTTAATTAAAATTAATATTTAAATAATAATAATAATAAAAATATTTCAATTTAAATTTAATTTTAATTAATATTTTATTTAAATTTAACTTTTTATTTTTAATTTTTATTTTCTTTTATAGTTCAGTCTCAATGACATTTTGGGTAGACGATGTATTGGAACGCCAGAATATGATTATGAGCCATATCGACCTTGGTCTCGAATTTCCAGAAGAAGGTAACGTGTGTCTGTGTGTAACAAAATATCTTTTTCTTGCGTAACGTTCATTTATTGAGTCCTTAAATAATTTTATTTACCACATAAAAATTTCATCTCTTTATTCTATATTTATTTAAAATAATGTTTTCTGTTTGGACAAAAAAAAAATTATAATTATTCCCTATTTTTGTGAAATTAATAGATTTTTGGGAAAAAAAAAATTATAATTTTTCCCGTATTTCAAAAAAAAAAAAAATAATAATAATAGAGTTTTGAGAAAAAAAAAATTATAATTTTTCTTTATTTTTGCAAAAAAAAAAAATGTATTTAAAAACTATTTTTACGAAATTAATAGCGATTATTATTTATTATTATTTTCAGCTGGAGCGAGGGAACGTTAAATGATCCGTTTAATTTGTCAAAAACAGCATGGCCAGTGCCGAGATTTGAGGCAATTTTTCTTCCTGAATTTATTGTTCGTGAAGAGCCATTAAAAACAGAATATCAATTTTTGGATATTATTTCAAAAGGAGCCTATGGACGTGTCTATAAAGTATTGAGGCACAAAACACGGGAAATTTATGCATTAAAAGCAATTAGTAAAGCAAAAATTGTCGCCGAAAATGCAGTTTCTCAAGCCAAACAAGAGGTGGCAATTCAAAGGGCAGTTGGTCATCATCCTTTTATTGTAAAGGCCTCTTATCATTGGCAGGGACGAAAAACATTATACATACGTTAGTATTTCATTTTTTTTTTAAATTAATTTTCATTCTATTTCTATTTAATTTTCTTTTTCTTTTTTTTCTCTTTATTTCATTGTCCAAAAAAAGAATTGTATTTTTTTTTTCTAATTTCCATCTTAAATTATTACAAATTTCCTTTATGAAACTTGATATTTAAATGATCAAAAAAGTTTTCTTAGGTGAAAATCTGAGCTAATATTAACAAAAAAAAAAAAAAAAAATTATTGAAAATTAATTCTTTATGAAACTTATTTATTTTAAAGGAAAAAAAAAAGTTTTCTTGGGTGAAAGTCTGAGCTAATATTAACCCTTAACAACATTGGGTCCAGTAGACCCGAGCAATTTTTCTCGTAAAAATTAATTGAATTTGAATATTTTTTTATATTTTAATATATCACTTTGAAATATTAGTAATTTTCTAAATTTTTTTTGATTGCAACTAATTCGATACAAAAGAATAAATTAGCTTTAAACATTAATAAATTAGCAATTTTTTTTTTTTTTTAATTTTAACCCAAAGTCACATTTTATTTTGCAAAATAAATACACTTTTATGCAAGTTCTGCTGTTGTAATTTTTCTCTTAAAGAATAATATAATATTAAATTTTTTAAATGATAATATTAAAATTTTAAATAATTCATGAATTTTTAAAGTAAAAAAAAGGCAATTTTTTGGTTTTTATTTTTCACAATTTTTTTTTCAAGTAACTTTTAAAACACGTTTGAATACGCGTCGGGTACAGCAGACCCATTGTACAATTTACGTTCGAATTGTGCCAGTTAAGTGTTAAATAATTAATTTTCTAAGTATTTTATTATTAAATAATTTTTTGGGGGGTTTTTTTTTTCTTTTACAGTAACAGATTTCATTGGTGGTGGCGAATTATTCTCGCTAGTTGAAGAATTTGGTTGTTTGCCAGAAAAAGTCGTTCGAATATACGTTGCTGAAATAGCCCTCGCAATTGGTAATTAGTTAAAATTATTATAAATATTCATAATTTACATTTAATTGTTGAATTTCTTCAAAATTTAATATTTATTGAAAAATACGAATAAAAATTTTGTTTTGTTTGTACAAAATATGTATTAAAAGAATAACAAAAATTAAGTAAAAAAAAAAAATATTACAAATAATAATAGTAATAATAATATAATATATTAATTTAATAATAATATTATTATTATTATTATTATTTTTATTAATATTATTATTATTATTATTATTATTATTATTATTATTATTATTATTTTTATTATATTATTTTATTTGAAAATAAAGTGCTTTGGTTTATTATAAATTAATTTATTAATATTTGTTAATTATAAATGATTTCAGATTTTTTGCACAATGCGGGAATAATTCATAGAGACATAAAAGCAACAAATGTACTTTTAAACGATGAAGGTCATGCAATTCTCATTGATTTTGGTTTGTCGAAATGGCTACGTCCAACTCATCGCACGGGAACATTTTGTGGAACATTGGAATACATGGGTATTTATTTTTATATTTTACAAAAAAAATATATTTTTTTTCTCTTATTTTATTTATTAAAAAACAAGTTTTTTTTTATCTGAATTACGTAAATTCAAAGTTTTTACTATTATAACATCATGATTATCCCATAAAAATTATGAATTAGAATTTTTATTTTTAAAAAATTTTATTAGATTAGAAATAATCTATTTTTTCTGTTCGAATTTTTAATTGATATATTTTTAAAAAGACGCCTAATTTTCATTTGTTCCGAAATTACAAAAATGATCGAACAAACAATCGATAGAAAGATTATGGTGTAATTTTTCAAAATTGACCAATCACGATTTTCTTGATAATTTCTAATTATCAAGAATTATTTTTTATTATTATTATTATTATTATTATTATTATTATTATTATTTCTAATTGATCAATTTTCGAAAATTGCTTTCACTCGACTGTTTGTTCGGTCATTTGTAGAATTTCGGACAAATGAAAATTCGACTTTTTAAAAATTTCAGCGCAATTTTTAAAATCAAATTAATTCCAATTTTATGGATAATTTTTGATTGGTTGTATTTAAAAATCGCGACAAAAATCGATTGTTCGGCAATTTGCAATTTCGGACAAATGAAAATTATAGAAATTCTGTTAAATAATTTTTCGTATAAGTAAAAATTCTACAGAAAAATCGGTTTTATAGAAATTTAATGAAATATAATAATTCGAAAAAATGAAAAAATTCATCTAAAAAATAATAAAATGAAAATTCTATATGCAATGAAATTCTTTCTAATAAAAATTCATTTTTTAAATGGCTTTATATTATGTTAAATGAAAATTTTGAAAAATAATAATAATTTGAAACAATTAAAATTCGTCTCAATGAAAATTATAATCTAATGAAATTCTATTATATTTTCAGTTTTTAGTCACTTTTTCTAAAATAGTTAATAAAAAATAGATTTTCACAGCAAAACAAATTTTTTTCACAAACATTAATTAATAAATGAAACAAAAATTACAAGAAAAAATTAAGAAAATAAAAATTAAATAATTTTTTTTATCGCAGCTCCTGAAATTTTGAAACGAGAATATTACGGACACGAAGTTGATTGGTGGTCTCTTGGGGTCTTGACCTGTTTTCTTCTGCTGAATGAGGTGAGTTTTTTTTTTTTATAAATTTATTTATTTAACTAATAATAAGGTGGGACCACTTATAAAACATGATTATTAAAATAAAATATTTCTGTTAAGAAAAAAAAAAGTCGAAGTTAAATAACGTGCCAAAATGGCAAAATAATTTACAAAAATTATAAATTTTCGCGAACGAATCATCTCACAGAAAATTAAAAGGCATTAAAATAAGCTGCAACGTTTATTATTTTAATCCAATTTTGTCTTATTTTAATCCATTTTGGTATATTAAAATCAGCAAAATTGGATTAAAATAATAAGCGTTGCAGCTTATTTTAATGCCTTTTAATTTTTTGTGCTTGCAATGGAAGATGCAGATAGAATGAAGGAATAAAATTAAAATAGTGAGGGAAAATAAATTTCAATATCATCGATGGTCAATGAACTTAAGAAATAAAAATACGATGAAGGCAGAGAAATTTAAAAAAAAAAAACTATAAAAAATAAAATATAATACAATAAAAAACAATAAAATTTAATACAATACAATAAAATATTCTTAATTAAATTATAGATATATTTAAAAAAGAGAAATTAAAAATTTTATGAATTTATAATTTACTAAACGATTCAAATAATTCAATAAATTCGCTTTTTTCCCGCGCAAATAATTAGCTAGTATTATATATAGTGGTATCGTTTAGTTCTCTTGAGATTTGTTTACTTTAAAAGAGAGAGTGACAATTATGATTTGTATTCGATGCTAGCGAAGTTATATGACTCCGTGGCGCAACGGTAGCGCGTCTGACTCCAGATCAGAAGGTTGCGTGTTCAAATCACGTCGGGGTCAAGTTATTCTTTTTTTTCTCAAAAAATTTTTTTTCTATTTTTCTATTTTACTTTCCTAAATTCTGTTTAAAAAAAAAATTATTTTTGAATCCTTTTATTTTTACACGCTTCTATTTTACTAAATATTCTAAATAATATACTAAATAGAAATAAATAGAAATAATATATTCTAAATAAATAATAATATAAATACAGTAATTATATTCTAGTTAATATTTTATTTTTATTAAATTTAAAAAGATGATTTTAAAAAAAAATTTTTTTACTTAATAGAAAAGAAAAAAAAATAACGCCCCCGGGTGGGCTTGAACCACCAACCTTTCGGTTAACAGCCGAACGCGCTAGCCAATTGCGCCACGGAGGCTATTGAAATTTCTAACCTAAAATTTTTGGGTCTAGTTAAAAGAAATTAATTATTCATTAAATTCGTGAGATAAACACCTGTAACTGATAACGCAGTGTCAACTCTACGGTTTTTTTTCTATTCATCGTAAAAAAAATTTATTTAAATTTGTCTCTTTAAGAAACTGCCATTTTTGTCCTTACATTGTGAACCTATAACCAAATTATTTTAAAGCCACGTTTTCAATGTGCGATATTTTTATTTAGCGCGAAAATTTGAATTCGCAGATTATTATTCTTTTTTACTTATTTTTATCATTGTCATTATTGTTATTTTTATAATAATAATAATAATAATAATAATAAAAATAATAATAATAATTTTTATTTATAGTAACTAAAAATTTCAAGGAATTCAATTTTTCTCTTTAAAAAATATTTTAAATTCTTTAAGGCGAAATTGCATAGGCAAAATAATTATAATGGCAACAATTATTCATTTCAGCGATGATGATATTTTCAATATTATTTTTTATTAAATTAAAAAAAATAGATTTAAAAAAAAAATTCTAGTTAGAAAAAAGAAAAAAATAACGCCCCCGGGTGGGCTTGAACCACCAACCTTTCGGTTAACAGCCGAACGCGCTAGCCAATTGCGCCACGGAGGCTATTGAAATTTCTAACCTAAAATTTTCGGGTCTAGTTATTAGAAATAATTTATTCATTAAATTCGTGAGATAAACACTTGTGACTGAGTCAACTTTACGATTTTTCTTCTATTTATCGTAAACAATTTTTTTTTAAATTCGAAATTTTTTTTATTTATTTTACTTTACAATTACATTAATTTTCTAATTATTTTAAAATTATTTTTTATTTCCTCCTTCTGTTAAATTTTATTTTATTTAAAATACTATAAAAGATTTAATTATTAATAATTTTTCAAAATTTTATAATTGTAATGAAAATTATGGTAATTAAATTTGTTGAATTTAATTAATATTGAATTACATATATATATATATATATATGAAAAATTCCAAAGTTCCAAGAACAATTGCAAAGAATATCTTTATTATAATATGCGAGTAATATGAACCGGCGTAACGCTCGAAATGCTAATTAAATGCACGTTGCGTGTCTCGTTAGCTTTATTATCACTTCCAGTTCTCACATTTATTTACCCACGTGATTATTATCTCCTTACCTTTCAATAAACTCTTAATAGCTCTTCTTGTTCTTTTCTTAAAATACAAATCTCGAATAAAATTAAAAGTCAGAAGTTTCGTTTAAATTTATATTATGAAAATTTCTTTCCAAGTTTTTTCAATTAAATTAAAAACTAATTAAAATTTTTTTCAAATATAAAATTATTTATCAATTATTTATTAATTTAAAAACTGTTATTATATTTTTCATACAATAGATATAGTTTGAACAATAAATTAATTTTTAAATAAAAAAAAAAAATTTATAATAAAAAATGCCAATTTAAAAAATTTTAGGTTATTGTCTTTTCAATTAAATAAATATATTAGTACGTTGATTCGTAGAAATATTCGATGATAATAACAAAGATTAAATTATGTTAAATTTCTTTCAAACTGTTTTTATTATAAATTTGTTAATGATGTTTGATATGATAATATAGGGATTTTTTTTAACTTTTTATCATAACCTTAAAAAATTTTTCCTTTCACTTTTTCGAAATCTGCCATAACAGATATATTACCATGGAACACCATGAAAAATTCATTATTTACCATGGATTCTTAAATTTGAATTTTTCCAAATTTTTAATTTTTTAAATTAAATAAATTAATCAAATTAATAGATTAAAATAATGTGATCGAACACGTGGTAAGTCTTTTATTCTTTTAATTTTAATAATTTAACATTCTAATTTAATAAATAACAATCGAAATCTTTTTATTTATTAAAAATTTTGTTTTACTTACGTGTTTGTCTTATGTTTGTTATACTTATACTTATTTCAAAAGTGCATTGACTTATACCTGATGAGGGCTAAATAGCCGAAACATGTAGTAACAACGTTATGTCAACCAATAAATAAACATCTTAACTGTAAAAGGCCTCTAAACATCATTAACAAGATTAAATTATGATTATGAAAAAAGTGAGGTTATGTTTTTTTTTCATTATTTTTGCTGTTTTTAAAATCCATGTGGCAAGTCCACCACAAATATTAACTAATTTACGAAATTTTATTTTAATTTGATATCACAACATGATATTTCGAGTCGTACCTTTTCAACATAAATATTATTTCGAAATATTATTCATTAGCCACACAATACTTACCAATTGCAATTTTTGTCTCTTTAAAAAACTCCCATTTTTGTCCTCACACAACATGAACCTATGAGCAAATTATTTTAAAGGAACGTTTTCAATGTACGATATTTTTAATTGGCGCGAAAATTTGAATTCCTAAATTTATTATAATTTGTTTTTTTCCTTACTAGTAATTTTAAATTTCTATTTTTAATTTACAATGAAATGAATGTAAATTAAATTTTTTACTCCTTATTATTATTTATAGTAATTGAGAATTTCCAAAAATTCAATTTTTCAAGGCAAAATTGCATAGGCAAAAAAAAGACCAAATAATTATAATGGCAATAATTATTATTGTAACGATGATGATAGTAATAATACAGATCATAATAGATTAATAAGAGCGGTACATGAATTTTGTTTAACAATAATTAGCGGTACAAGTATAATATATAAGGCGGTAGTCGTCTAAAAAAAAAAAAAGAAAACTATTACGAAAAAAGAAAAAACTAATCGCTAGCAAATTTTGGAAGAACCGCTTTTGTTTGTTTTTTTTTTTATTGGGATAGACAAGATTTGTTGGGAGAAGAAAAAAAATGATGCATGAAAATCGACTCTCGCCGATAAGATAATATACTCGCGGGGACTACTAAAAAAAAAAGGGCGAAATTTTTTTTTTGTTTCTCAGACCGAAAATAATTTTTTCTCAATAGAAATCAATTTTTCGGTCTTGAGACAAAATTATTAGCAAAAAAAAAATAGATCGCGATGGTTAATTTTTTTTTTTTTTTTGTACCGGCATTTCGATGCAATGTTTTTGCGTCCATACAGCGCGCCCCCTTAAGAACCGGAAATTTTTAAAAAATCGCCATCAGATGGCGTCAGTCTGAAACTGCTCTCTTTGTCGTGATACAATTTCTATAGAAATTTTGTTAGTTCATGGCGTATTTGCGCAAGAAAATAGTTTCATGAATGAGAATGAAAAAGGATAAAATTACATTTATCCTTTTCCATCTCATATGCGATTCGCTAACTTATGTCATACGCTACAAACTGATAAAATTTTTTTTTATAGATATGTGAATTTATTTTTATTTGCTGTTAATCGAGAATGAATTTACTGCTTAAAAAAAAGATTGTGTTTTTTTTTTATTTCTGTTATTACAGTTCCCAATGTCTCTCTCTCTCCTTTTTTTCAGGGCAATCTCACATTTTCTCAATTCATTAAGCCGCACATACTCTCGCGTCATTTTTTCCTTTTCATTAATACACACACACATACATGGATTCACATTTTAATCAACACATACAAACAAAAATCTTTCTCATTCATTAATCTGTTCACTTAATAAGATACTTTTTCGGAATGAAATACGATTTTCTGTAAATGAATTAGCCGCTTAAGAGGAGCTTTTTTTCAGAACTAATCACTAGTGCCGCCACTGGGACTGCTGCTGCTTTTGCTACTTGCGTCTTGCGTTTTTTCGGCTTCTTTAACTTCCTCGGGTTTTGGCAAAGCTTCTGCTTTTTGTTCCTTTTCTTCCAATGGTTTAGCGTCATCGTGGGGTTTTGATTCCTCGGATTTTGGTTTTGGTGCTAATTCCTTGGGTGATTTTGGCTCTTCAGCTGGTTGAGCTGGCACTACTGGCACTGATTCGGAATCAAGTGTCTTGAGCTCTCTCTGTAAACAAAAAAATTTTGCCATGAATTTTTTTTTTTCAATTCGAAATACACAACGGCAGTTAAATAGAAATTTTGTTTCTTAATTCTATGTTTTAAATACAGTCGACAAGTGTAAATGTGACGTGCCAGGAGAAAAAAGATATTAGGGGGAAAAAAATTTTTTAGGTTAGGTTTGTGATTAGTGGATTTTTAGTCGCGTTACAAATATGCTTGTTATGATTTTAACGGAATTTTTGAAAATTTGGGACATTTCTGTAAATAATTTTATTCGTGGCGTATATTGGTTAAGGCCAAAGCAGAATGAATTTATTATTTACGTAAAGCAGACTGGAAAATATGATAGAAAAGGATAGATACTATTTCTGTCGTTTTCTATCTCATGTCTTGTTTCCGTAACCAACTTCATGCTGCTTTGGTCTTTAGGGCTAACGCACAATAGTTTTTCAAAACGCTGTCAAACTTCTATAATAATTTTTTTAGTTCGTGGTGTTTGTTGTAAAGGCCGAATGAAGCATTAAAGGCCTAAGCAGAATAGATTCTTGAACGGGAACGCAATCGTGAACGGAAACGTAAGAATGGGTGAGAGAAGAATAAAGATATTTGCTATCCTTCTCTTACACATTCTTACGTTTCCGTTTACGATTGCGTTCCCGTTCAAGAATCTATTCTGCTTAGGCCTTTAAGGCCTGAGCAGAATAGAAACGTAATCGCAATCGTAAACGGAAGAATGAGTTAGAAAAGGATAGTCATATAGTGTTGTTCTTCTCTTACTAATTCTTCCGTTTGTAATTACAATTACGATTCCGGTACATATCTATTGTGCTTAGGCCTTTACACCTTTGGTAAAAAAAAATTTTTATTTTGCATTTTTCAAAATACACAAACCTGTTTGGTTGTTCACTCTAACTGATAATGGACAATTAATTAGATTTTTGCATTTCGAAAAATCAAAGTAAAAATTTTTTTTACCAAAGGTGTAAATGCTTCATAATATGTTTCATTCTTAAAGGCCTAAACAAAATAGAAACGTAACTGGAATCGTATTCCTAAACACAACCGAAAGAATGAGTTAGAGAAGGATAGACATATTGTTTGTCTTTCTCCAACTCTTTCTTTCGGTTACGTTTCCATTCTGCTCAAGCCTTTAATGTTCGGGAAATTATTGTGCTTAGACCTTTTGAGGTCTATCTCCCTTTACTTTGTCGTCTGCTACACTGTAAGAAATTTTTAAGGCCAACCCAGAATAGAAACATAACCGAATCGCAACCGCAAACGTAACCGGAATAATGAGTTAGAGAAGGATAAACAATCTATCTATCCTTCTCTAACTTATTCTTCCGGTTGCGTTTACGATTACGATGCCGATTACGTTTCTATTCTGCTCAGGCCTTTATTGAAAATCAATCCTTGTAACTTTACTATATTTATCGAATTTTTAATAGAACAACGAAATTCCAAGGGTATACAACGATTGAAAATTTAATGAAAGTGTAATTTAAAAAAAATGTGTAAACTTACTGTGATTGTTTCTTTAAAAGAGCAAAAATCGATATGCATGTAAACAAAACCATAATAATTATCAATAATTGTCAATTAATGCAATTAATAATTTCCTATTACACAATATCATAATCGACATATATATATATATAACATTTGTAAACAAACATGGTTGGGAAACAAGAGCCCAAAATATATTCGTCCAAAGCGAAATTTCAATCCTACCCAACTCTGCTTTAGACGAACATATTTTGGGCTCTTGTTTCCCAACCCTGTTTGTTTACAAATGTCATATATATATGTTGATTATGATATTGTGTAATAGGAAATTATTAATTGACAATGCATTAGAAATATTTATCAAGCGTAAATTACTTAAATTTTCTTCATTTATAATAAATAAATTATTGATAATTATTTGAACCATAAAAATAATTAAAAATTTTCAAGTATTGTGATTGTCGTTAAAGTTGGAAAGCCGTAATTATTGACACGTCTTTAATTTTTATTAAAAAATAATTAAGATTAATTTGTTTTCCAATTTTTAATTATTTTATCAGCTTCTATAAATCCAAATACGTTCATTGTCCCTACTCGTCATAATTTTCACAGCCTGTTTTTAGTAAAAATTTCGTAACTTTTAATTTTAACTTTATCAAATTATTAAAGTAGGGTTGATTGAGAATTATGACAAATGGGGATAAGGGAAACCAACCTTTTAGTGAAATTAGTGGGCTTCCGATAGTTTTGCTAATATTTTTTTGCAAATATAAAAATTTCTTTATAAAATCAAGTGAGGAAAGCAGGAATTATAGTTTAGTAGAAAAGAATTTTTACCTTTTCATCGGCAGCTTCACTATTTGCTGTTTTTACAATTGTTGAAGGGATTTCTTCAATTTTCGCTGGTTCAGCGGCAATTTTAGTTGGTTCTTCAGTTTTGCTGGACTCTTGAATTTTCACCGCTTCAGTGGGTGCAGATTTTGCCTCTGGTGCTGCTGGTTCCTCAGATCGTGCTCCCTGTTTACCTTCTTGTGGTGCAGTGGCAATTGGTGATTCACGTTTAATTTCCTCTTTCTCAGGGATTTTCTCCTCTTGTTTCTTAGGTTCCTCGGGCAATGGTGCCGTCTTTTCATCAGCTACTGGTGTATCGGCAACTTTTTCAATTTTCTCCAAAGTTTTCTCCTCGGGTTTTGCTTGTTCCGATCTCTTTTCAATTTGTGCTTGCTTCTCCTCGGCTTTTGCTTCGGATTTAATTTCAGGTTTTGGTGTATCCTTGGGTGCCTCTGCTGGTGAATCGGCAATTGGTGCTGATGGTGCTTCTGGAATTGCAGCTGTTTCAGATTCAGATCTAGCGACAATTTTAGTTGGTGCTTCGATATTTTCTGATTTTTTCTCATCGGCTAAAATTTGTTTCTCCTCTTTTTTTGGTTGTTCTTTCTTTTTTTCCTCAGAGCTTTCGGCACTTTCAGAACTCTCATCACTTTCTTTGCTTTCAGATGAATCGTCAGAGGGTGTTGAACGTACTTTATGCTCATGATTGTCGTGAGCATGATTTTCATGACCCTTGTGTGCCTCATGACTTTCGTGATCCTTGTGATTTTCATGATGAGTGTCGTGTTGTTCTGCCGCCAATGGTACAACAGCCGATGGTTCGTCTTTTAGATGAGTGGTGGTATCTAATTTTGCCGGTTGTTCTGCTTGAGTACTTGAGGCGACTTTTTCCTCTTGTTTGGATTCAATTTTTGTCGATTCATCAGCAACTGGCATCATGAGAACAGTCTTCACCGCCAGAAGGCATATCGTCAGGACTAGAATATATTTCACCATGATGCTACCTAAAAAATAGAAATTTAATTTGAAAATTGTTGGGGGTTTGGAAAAAAAATAAATTGTGAGTAGGAGACGGAATTGTGTTATAATGTGAATGGAGTTTGAGTAATTTTTCAGTTAAGAGATGATCCACCATGGGGATTGAATGATGCTCTATGAATGAAATCGTATGAATGAGAGAGGAGGTGGTCCGATATAGCAGTCAATGAGTTAGAAAGAGGAAATCAAGAAGAAGAAGAGAAATAAAATTTAATCGTTGGGAATTGATGTAAGGGTCAATTTGTCACCTTTTGTCATATACTTTAATGGCTCTGGGGAAAATAAAAATCCTTTCTATTTTTTTTTGGGTAGTTTCAATTTCTTTTTTCTTGATTTGGCAATGCACCGCGAAATCGTGTTGATCGTAAATCAAAGATTGCAAAATGAAGTAAAAAAAACTTACGGTTTTAAATTGTATATACGAAATTATTAATTTTCATAGTAGGAATTAGATTAACTTTTTCCGCGAGAACAAAAAATGTATAACTTTACAATCGAGTTGTTTCTTTGGGATTAGCATAATATTTTTGCTCTCTCTTTCTTTCTTACTACTGAAACGGTAAAGTCACGTTGAATCAATAATTCCTTAGCAACAAGCAATATATATCGACTAAACATTTAGAAAAAAAAAAAAAAAAAAAAAAAATGTAATTACTCATATATTATTATTTAACGAGGAATCATGCGGTATAGGTGAAATATTAAATTTCTGAAGACTTTTCACTTGGCCTCGAGGCTACTCTTGTCGTTAAATTTATTTTATATTTTATACAATAACATAACGAGAGAGGAGTAGTAGTAGTAGTAGTAGTACTACGTATCGTTTTCGAAACCTTTTCTTATGCGGTCTTTCGTTACAAAACTTTAAAACAAGTGACCTTTTTGCGCTCTTGGTTCACTGAGAATACTTATATATATATGTACTTATTTCAAGTTAAAGGAAGGTTGTAATATCTTTTGTTCGAATAATTTTCAGAAGAGATTTTAACAGAGAGAGAGAAAGGGAGAGATTGAATCCAGAATGGAAATTTCCACTTGTCAGGTTGTCGACTCAAGTCTCCATTGAACAAAAAAATAAAAATAATAATAATAATAAAAATAATGTTGATGGGTCCCTATTACTTCATCAAGACCATTAAAGAAATAATAAGATTACAGAGAGAATTTTTTTTTTTTTTTTTTTTTTTCAAAGGGTTGGGATTTATAAAATTACATGTAGAGAAAATAAACAAAATAATTTTTGGAAAAATATTTTTTATAATTTATAATTTACGGCAATAAAAAAAAAAAAATTATTTCAATCAAATAAATATTTTCTTGAACCAAATAATTTTTTTTCACCCAGAAAAATGTTTTAATTAAACCAAATATAATATATTTGTGTTAAATAAACGAATATTTGTCTCATTAGTCAACTAGCCTATTTATTTGGTATAAATAAATTTTTTTTTATTTAAATTAAATAAAAAATTTATTTGAATTAAATAAAAATTTATTTGAATTAAATAAATATTTATTTGACTCTCGAGATAAATTAAATCATTTTTCTGGGTGTTTAAATCAATTAAATGGTATTTATTTTAAATACAAAATTTAATTGGTTCAAATAAAATTTATTTGGTTCAAGTAAATATTTTATTTGACAATAATCAAGTAATCGCGAGTATATTTGAATTAAATAATTTTTTTTTTCACTTGGTCAATAGCCAGTAAATTCTTAAAATAAATTATTAATAATTAAAAAAATAATTTCATATTTTAATATTAAATAATAATAATAATAATAATAATAATAATAATAATAATAATAATAATATAAAAATAATAATAATACAAATATTTTTTGTAATAATAATTGTGAGTAATAAGCAAAAAAAAAAAAAAAATTATTTAAAAAAAATATATTTTAAAATAATAATTTTCAGTAATCATCGTTTATTTGTAAATAAATAAATGAGAAAAAAAGAATTGTTTACTGAAAAATATTTCAGGAAAAATTTTTTTTTTTTTTTTTTTTTTTTTAAACAAATGGAACAAAAAATGCGATTTTTTTTAAAAATAATAATAATTTTGAGTAATAAAAAACAAAAATGGAAAAAAAAAATTTTTTTAATGCGGAAGATGGTAATTTTTAAATTCTAATGTAATAAAAAAAATTGTAATAAAAATTTTTTTACTCATCGTAGCTAGAAAAAAAATAATACTAAACCAAAATGAATAAAAGATTACAGTCGACACAATTTTTTAAAAATATTTATTCTATTGAAGAATTGTTTCTAATTGTTTTCACTCAGGAGGAATTTCCTCATTTTTTTTTTTTTTTTTTTTGTTTTAGGTGAGTCAACGCATGTTTTGATATATCTCGATTAATTTACGTAAGTTGATAATTTATTAATTCATATTTAATTAAAATTAATTCGTACGTAAAAAAATAATTTTTTTTAATACCTACTTTTTATTTAATACTATTTTATTATTATTATTATTATTATTATTATTATTATTATTTATTAACTAATTTATAATAATAATAATAATAATAAAAATAAAAAAAAATAATAATAAAAAAAATATAATAATTTATAATATTTTTAATAGTAACTAATTATTACTATTATTAATTATTATTTATTAATAATTATTACTAATATTTATTACTATTTTTTAATTCAATGTGAAAATTACTAAGAATTGTTTATGGGGAAAAAAAAAATTATTTTGATATTAAAAAAAAAAAAATCACGTATATTATAGATTTGATTAATAAATATTAAAATCGATAGTAATTTTTTTTTTCCTCATTGATAATTAATTTAAATTTAAATAATCGATGAAAATATAAATAGAGAGAAAAATAAAAATTGAGGAAATTATTTCTATACTAAATAGAATATAATATTATGATGAATATTGATATGTAAATTGTGTTTTTAAATTTTTTTTTCTTTTTTTTTTTTTTTGTTAAAAAAATAATGGAACGCGTGATTGAAAAAAAAGTGTTATTTTACGTGACCTTGAAATAGAATTGAGCTAATTACTGATTAGTGGATTTGTGCTGTAGGCTATAAGGGAAATTTTAATCCAAAAAGGGGGGGAAAAAGGACGTCACACATATATAAGAAAATACCGAGATAGAACGCTTTATAGAATTACGCAAATGCACATAACCAACACAATATACAAATATTATGAGCAATTTGCGTCTTTGCTAATTATTATTATTATTTTTTTTTTCTCTGACTATATATGGGGTTTTTTATATATATAAAGATATGTATATTGTCAAATATGGAATTCTTGATTTTTTTCTCTCTTTTTTCGTTTTTCAATTAATTTTTTTTTTTGAAAATTATTTTTTTTTTATTTTAAATTATGAAAATATTTTCTGTTTTATTTTAAAAATTTTCTTTTTTGAATAATTTTTTTTTTTTTGAAATTTTTTGCATTGTATTAATTTTTAGAAAAAAAAAATTTTTATTTCAATCAAATAATATTGGTTACTTAACTAATTATCAAAAAAATAATTATACTTAAACAAAAATGATTTTTATTTGAAGTAAATAAATTTTTATTTGAAGTAAATAAATTTTTATTTGAACCAAACATTCTTTATTTGACACAAATAATTTTGATTTAATTTAAATAAATTTTTATTTGTATGCAAATAATTTTCATTTGAATTAAATAAATTTTTGTTTTTTTTTTTTCCAAATAAATTGTGTGACAATTTAGATTAAAAAAATTTTATTTGAATAAAATAAATTTTTTTTCCCAAATAAATAATTGTAATAATTTAGATAAAAAAAAAAAAACTTTTTTTTTGTATTAAATAAATTTTTTAATTCAATCAAATAAATTTAATTTGAATTCAGTAAATTTTTATTTTTACCAAATAAATTGTAACAATTTGAACCAAAGAATTTTTATTTGAATTAAATGAATTTTTATTTGAACTAAATAATTTTGTATTTGAACCAAATTATTATTATTATTTTTTTTTTTATTTATATTTTTCATGATTCTTAATAATTCAGATCAGAAAATAATTTCCCAAAAAAAAAAAAAAAATTTATCACAAAAAAGAAATTTATTTCGTATTGTTAAAAAAAAAAAAATTGAGATGAAAAAAAGGGGAATTTGAGAAGAAAAAAAATGATATGTGAAAAAAAATTTCGAAATTCTACTAAAATTAAAAAAAAAAATTAAAAACCTCCTCAAGGCTTTGACATTGAAATTATTAATCAGAAGAAATTTCAAAATCAAAATACTGATTTTGCTGGAGTGTAATATTAATATTTACATAAAAATATTGCAAAAGTTTTTTCGATACTTTAAATTTCACAATGATAAAAAATTAAAATAGTGTATAAATAATAATAAATAAATAAATAATAGTAAATAATTAAAAAAAATAATAATTAATAATAAATAATAGTAAAAAATTAATAATAAATTAATGAAAAAAATAAATTTTTTTTAAATTATACACAGAGAAATATTTTATTTGCATTTATTTGTGACAAATAAAATTTATTTGACGCAAATAAAAAAATATATTTGTAACAAATAAAATTTATTTGACGCAAATAAAAAAATATATTTGTAACAAACAAAAATTTATTTAATTCAAATAAAAATATATTTGTAACAAACAAAAATTTATTTAACTCAAATAAAAATATATGTTTGCAAACAAATAAAAATTTATTTGCCTCAAATAAAAAACATATTTGTAACAAACAAAAATTTATTATAACTCAAATAAAAATATATTTGCAATAAATAAAATTTATTTTACTCAATAATATATTTGTAACAAACAAAAATTTATTTGATTCAAATAAAAATATATTTGTAACAAACAAAAATTTATTTAACTCAAATAAAAATATATGTTTGCAAACAAATAAAAATTTATTTGTCTCAAATAAAAAACATATTTGTAACAAACCAAAAATTTATTATAACTCAAATAAAAATATATTTGCAACAAATAAAATTTATTTTACTCAAAAATATATTTATTTGAAATAAAAAATTTAATTTAACACAAATAAAAGTTTACTTAGTGTAAAATAAAAATTTGTTATCTAAACCAAAAATACAAAATTATTTGAAACCAATTAATATTTATTTGAAACAAAGAAATATTTATTTGTCTCCCGAGAAAATTTCTCTGTCTTTAAAAAAAAAAAAAAAAAAAAATTAAATCTTTTTGATTTTGATAACAAATAAAAAAAATTTCCATTTCAACATTGAATAATAAAATTTTCGTTTTTTTTTTTTGGAGAGTGTAAATGAATGATTTTTTTTTTCGGGGAAAATTTGTGTACTCACTTTTTTTTTATCGATGACGTCAAAAGTGAAGATAAAAAAATGAGATTCACTGGAAAATTTGCACGGTAAAACTCGGTCCTTTTTTTTTTTTTGATAGAAAAAAACTTTCGAAGTTTTTTTTTTTTTTTTTGAAAAAAAAAATAATTGACAAGTGCGTGAACAGTCGAGTTCGCGCGCGCGTGCGTTCACAAAGCTCGAACTTTTTTATAAAGGAGTAGCAAGAGATGTTCGGGATGAAGGTTGGGTCGAGTGTCGAGTCTTATTCGATGGGGCCCGGCTTATATATCCAATTCCCCACCCCAATCAGTAGGGTTCTGTTAAAGGAGGCCCCAGCCCTCTTAGAGGCCCCTCTTTTTTTTTTTTTTTTTATTTTACACGATACTTATTATTATCATATAATAAAAATAATAACAATAATAATTATTATCTAATAATAATAATAATAATAATAATAATTATTATTATTATTATTACATAGTAATAACAATAATAATAACAATATTTTTATTTAATTTTTTTAAAAAATTATTTTTTGCCATCAAATAGCAATAATAATAATAATAATAATAATAATTTTTTTTCAAATTATTATTTTTATTGTAATTGTCATTGTCATCATCGATTCCTGATATCTTCATCTTTGTCTTTTTTTCTTTTTCTTTTTTCTCTTTCATAATTTTCTTCTTTGTTGTCTTTAATAATTTGTCTTTTTCTCAAAAATTTATCAGAAATTAATTTAATAACAATAACTATAAAAAAACAATAATAATAATAATATTATTATAGTTATTTTTGTTATTTTTACTATTATTGTTGTTATTTTTTATTTTTATTATGGTTATTTTTTTATTACAGTTTTTATTTTCCATTGTTATTTTTGTTATTTTTAGTTATTTTTGTAATATTATTTGTATTTTTTGTTATTTTTGTATTTTAATTATTATTTTTTGTTATTTTTGCATTTTTATTGTTATTTTTTGTTGATTTTATTATTTAATGTTATTTAATTTTATTTTTATTATTATTGTTGTTATTTTTTATTTTTATTATGGTTATTTTTTTATTACAGTTTTTATTTTTCATTGTTATTTTTGTTATTTTTTGTTATTTTTGTAATATTATTTTTATTCTTTAATTGTTTTTATTTTTTAATGTTATTTTTTTATTATTATTGTTGTTATTTTCGTATTATTATTATTGTTAATTTTTATTTTTTGTTATTTTTGTATTTTTATTATGGTTATTTTTTTATTACAGTTTTTATTTTTCATTGTTATTTTTGTTATTTTTTGTTATTTTTGTAATATTATTTTTATTTTTTAATGTTAATTTTTATTATTATTGTTGTTATTTTCGTATTATTATTATTGTTAATTTTTATTTTTTAATGTTATTTTTATTATTATTGTTGTTATTTTTTATTTTTATTATGGTTATTTTTTTATTACAATTTTTTATTTTTCATTGTTATTTTTGTTATTTTTATTTTTTAATTGTTTTTATTTTTTAATGTTATTTTTTATTATTATTGTTGTTATTTTCGTATTATTGTTATTGTTAATTTTTATTTTTTTGTTATTTATGTATTTTTATTATAATTTTTTGTTATTTTTTTGTTATTTTTTTCTTTTTATTGTTATTTTTTGTTGATTTTATTATTTAATATTATTTTTGTTATTTTTATTATTATTGTTGTTATTTTTTTATTTCCATTATGGTTATTTTTTATTAACAGTTTTTATTGTTATTTTTGTATTTCTGTTTCTATTTTCTAATGTTATTTTTTATTATTATTGTTGTTATTTTCGTATTATTGTTATTGTTAATTTTTATTTTTTTGTTATTTTTGTATTTCTATTATCATTTTTTGTTATTTTTGTCTTTTTATTGTTATTTTTTGTTGATTTTATTATTTAATGTTATTATTGTTATTTTTATTATTATTGTTGTTATTTTTTTATTTCCATTATGGTTATTTTTTATTAACAGTTTTTATTGTTATTTTTGTATTTCTATTTCTATTTTCTAATGTTATTTTTTGATTATTATTGTTGTTATTTTTGTATTTTTATTATTGTTATTTTTTTTATTGTCATTTTTTGTATTTCTTTATGGTTTTTTTTTTGTATTTCTTTATTGTTATTTTTTGTTATTATTGTTAATTTTGATTATTATTGTTACTTTTTTATTATTATTATTGTTATTAAATTAATTTCCGATAAATTTTTTTTTCAATTAAATGAATTTTTTAATATAAATAAAAAGTTTAAAAAAAAAAAAAATATTAATTAGATAATATAGAGGTCACATAACGTCAATTCTCACGAAAGTTGCAAAAGTTGAATTTTCCTGGAAGCAATAAATTATCAGATATACATATAATATTTTAATGGAAAATGTAAATGTTTCATTGATTGCTTGCAATGATTTTATGAAATAATTATGATGATACTGAAATAATTATATTTATAATTTCTTGGACTTTAATATGACAAAGAAATTGTTAATTACAAAAAAAAATAAAAAATTAACAAACAATATAAAATTATTAACAATCATATCATTTATATACAATACAGAAAAAGCATATTATTTATTATTTAATATATTAATTAATTTATTTCAAAAATTTAATTATTTTCATTATTTATTATTTTTTTTTCTATTACTATTATTGTTATTACTATTGTTATTTTGTTATTATTATTTTTATTATTATTTATTTATTTTTTAAAATTATTATTGTTATTATTTTTGTAATTACATATTATTTTTTAATTATTATTATTATTATTATTATTATTATTTTTTTTTTATTATTTTTATAATTATGGTTTATTGTTATCTTTCCTTTATTTTTTTCTATTTCTTCTATTACTTATTCTTTTTTTTGTTTTCAGAAAAAAATTGAAAAAAAATTAATTTTGCAGTAAATATTTCAATATAAATAAATAAATAAATAAATAAATAAATAAATAAATAATATTTAATATTTGGAGAAATTTAAATATTAAAGTTTTGAGTTTGAAAAAAAACATGTTTTTTTTAATACACAGCTTTTCAGTAGATTCTTCTAGTTTTATTTTTTGTTCTTTTTTTTTTTTTTGGTCAAATGTAAAACAGCTGTCACGTTAGATAAAAATCTCGACCCCCTATCAAAAAAAGATTTGAAAAGGGAATAAAGAAGAAAAAAGAAAAACAATCTTTTAAGTTTGAAAAAAGAAAATTCCTCGTATTTTATCATAGATCCAATATTTTAAAAAAAACTCTCAGATTAATGAATGTTAATTTGAAATAAATATTAATTTATTGTTAATTTATAAATATATTAATTAATAATAACTTAATAATTTTTTGTTTTTCGGGGACAAAATAAAAAAATTCTAATTTCTTAATTCTATTTAATAAAACTATAATAAATAATATTAAAATAATAATAATGACAATAATAATAACAATAATAATAAAAGTAATAAAAATAAATAACTATAATAATAATAATAATAATAATTGTTATTAAAAAAGTTCAAATTTAGTAAGAAAAAAATTTTTTTATATAAATAAAGTAAATAATAATATAAATATTATTGACCCGTCAACATTCTAAATAAATAAATAAAAAATAATTATTAAAAAAGGAAAAATCAAATTATTTTTAATATTAGAAATTAGAAAAAAAAAAATTTCGATTAAAATTTTTTTTGAAAATGGTTTAAGGTTGAACATTTTTTTTTTTTTTAATCTATGGGTTTCTTATTGCCCTACATATATTTTTTAATATTTATTTCAGACTTGCCCTAAAGTCGTCGTCTCAAATTTCTTATAGCTTCGAAACCACACTTAAAGGACTCGTCGAGCAGGTCCTTGAGGCGTGTCTAATATGACAAATAAAAAAAACGAAAAATTGAAAAGGGACAGAAAAATGAATGTAATAATATTGTCTAAATTTTATTTTATTATTTTTTTTTTTTAAAGAATTAAAATTTTAAAAAAATTTGAATTTTAAACAATTTAAAATATTCAAAATTTAAAAAAACTTTTTTTTTTTTTTTTTTTTTTGATAAAATAAAAATATTAAATATTTTTCAAAACAAAATTTCCAATTTTTTTTTGTCCCCTTTTTTCATTTTTTATTGTATTTCATTTATTGTTATTTTTCTAGTTTTTTTCAAAAAAAAAAAAAAATTTTTTTTATTTTTTTTTTGATTTAATAGAAGAAAAATCTTAAACACAGTAATTTATTTTGAAATGTGGTGTAGACATTTTAACCCTTTAAAAAAAAAAAAATAAAAAAAATAAAGAAAAAGAAAATTAGAAAAATGATTCATTTTAATCTTTTTTTTTGCGTCGGAATTCTACTGTACTATAAGTACGGTAACGGTCCTCAGAGCTCTAAACGTCAGCTAAAAATTTCTTTTCATTTTTAACCACATTTACCTTGACTTTGTCCATTCTAACTGCACACGAAGCCACATTTCTTAAATGTCTTGAGACGTTAAAGATTACTTGGAGAATAATGACAAGTCCCGTCAACAAGTCTAAAAACCTGCTGCGAAAACTATTTTATATATTATATATATATACATGCAATTTCATTTCATTTATACGGAAATTGAATAAATTTTTTACTATTATATAATAACAAATTGTAAACTGACCTTTATTTCGAAATTAAATATTTAAATGCAATTTATTCTCAAATTTAGAGTATTTTAGTTTTATGTTAAGAATATAATCTTAATTTAAGAATATATTCTTAATTTTAAAAAAATTGATTTAATTTAAGAAAATATGTACTTTGAGAATATAATCTAAATTTAAGAATATTTACTTCATTTTTGGTGTTTACTCTTATTTTGAGAATAAAATTTTGAATAATATAACTGTGCTTTTAGTTCTCGCTAACTTGAATAATTTTTATTATATAATTTCTATCTTAAATTAAGAATATAATCCAAATTTAGAAATATATTCTTAATTTGAGAATATAGTCTAAATTTAAGAATATTTTCTTAATTTGAAAATAAATATAATCTAAATCTAAGAATATATTCTTAATTTGAGAATATATTCTTAATTTTAAAAAATATGATTTAACTTAAGGAAATATACACTCACTTTGAGAATATAATCTAAATTTAAGAATATTTTCTTCATTTTTGGTGATTACTCTTATTTTGAGAATAAAATTTTGAATAATATAACTGTGCTTTTAGTTCTCGCTAACTTGAATAATTTTTATTATATAATTTCTATCTTAAATT